GTAGGTCGTTGCTAATCTATCATCGTCTTTTCAATAATTTAACAAACAAGATCATTTATAACCTACATAGTTATAATGTACTAGCTGTGCCAGCGACTTCGTCCGCTAAGAATATGTATTTTGGGCATCCAAATTCGTTTTTGCAAAGTCCTTCTTTTTTATAAACTTAAGTAGTTACCCAGCCCAAAAAATAGACATATAACGTCGCGGCCTTTTTTTAAGTCATTTATATATCTTGAACCGTTTTTGCAGCGTACGCCTCGGTAACCCATAATTATGAATAATGTTCCCAGAAATTTTCATATTTCCCGCTGTATCTTCGCTTGTATTACTCACATGGCGATGTTTTATACCCTATAGCTTTTCTCGATAAATCCTCTAACCAACACAAAAAGAATTTTTCAATTCGAATCCGTAGTTCCTGAGATTAGCGCGTTCAGACAAAGGAACAAACTCTCCAGCTTTATATATTAGTATACATGTAACAAATCTATTAGACAAGAAATAAAATTAACTACAGTAGGTACTTAGAGGGACTAAGGAAGATCTTCAATATAATAGTATCTAATGTATATATATTTATTCCGAAAATTCTTAAACTACGTAAGTATAACAATACTTACGTAGTTTAAGAATAAAATGATTGTCAAATTATTATAAGCAAAATTACGAACTTGGTACAATTTTGTTTTTTTTTTAAATTTCCAATCTTTTGACTGTTATAACATATTCCTATACGAATATTGAATTTTTGAGAATCCCAATAACTCAATTGGACACAAACCGTGTCTAAGCCTCAATTAGGCTGTATAACCCCGAACCTGCTGCATCCGAAACGTTGTTAAAATAATTTGATTTAATATATATCACGTTTTAAACCGTTAAATGTTTGATTTAAATATGAAGTGAAGTTATTTTCGAAGATCCCTCGCAAAATCACACCCCTGCATTACACAAGGCATTCAACCGCAAAGTGATGCCATCAAATTAAAAAGTTGAACTACCCCCCGACCTGTATCATCAGTATCTAATGAAGTAATGTTGGGGAATAGGCCCGGGGTGTACAGCCGCGTGGCTAACACGCGACCCCGTTCAAATTATTTTATTATTATAATAAAACGGAGTCAAATGTGTCAGTACGCGTGCTCGTTGTTACCCGTGACAGAGCGAGGTTAATGTGTACTTCACATGTACGTTGTAATTAACGTTACGTGAATCTACAAATGCGGCGATCTATTTGAATCCATAGCGCTGACCCGGAGTGCCATGGTACACCGTATGTGTATTTTATTTGAACTATGTGCGTTAGCAATAAGTTATCTAATATAATTCTCGTGACGAATACCACGGCTACTACAAGGCATCCGAAACGACGGGCTGAGTTAAGATAATTTTCAAATAAGTTTGACTAGTATATATTACGTTTTAAACCGTTAAAGAGTTTTATTTAATCTATCTCTATTTTAACAAAAGACATTTAATTTGTATTCCCAAGGCTCCACTACGATGTTAATTACGAAAATTAATCAAGAATTCGTATAAGAGAGAGACACATCAAAGAAACACGTCTATAAGTAATACACGTAATACGAGCGACGTCATTGCTGCCGCTAAATAGCTACTAAATGACACTTGCAATAAGTAATAGCGGAGTCATAACAGTTAATTTATAAAACGGGCGCTACGTGCAATACCTAAAACAGCTAAGCTCAATAAACATTACGACCACGACCATTAATAGCCTGGCGGTCAGCGCCACCCTCCGACCACCCCGGACCAGGTGTAAAACTGCCCGGTCACGGAAAGACAGACATGCAATACCGCTAATATGTTTTTTTTATTAAAGTCCATCGGATGACGCGCGGGGTTGAAGCATGAATATTCATGCTTTGATTTGTTTGTGTATAATGCTCGTGTAATTTTTAATACACTCTTAAATATTTAACCGTTTTAAACGCGACTTTTTTATATTCATCGATACTTAGGTTACGCGTTAGTATAATTGGAAGCTTTTCGATCTATACTTATATATGAAGCTGAAGAGTTTGTTTGTTTGTTTGCGCTAATCTCAGCACAGTATTGAAAAATTATTTTTGTGTTGGTTAGATCATTTGTCGAGGATGGTTATAGGTAGCTAGAGAAGCAAGACTAATACAGTGAGAAATGTGAAAAAAAAAGTCGCTGTCACAGCTAGTATTTTATTATTTTCGCGTTGTAAACCTTAGCTGTATTGAAAATGAACGAAAAAAGTTGCATATCGTTTTCGAGAAAGTTCTCCCTTCAAGACTCGTAGAGTATGTTGTCGGCCTGTGCTAAATATTTCCATCACTCGCGTCACGTTTCTCACCGTCGACATGTATCACTGTGAAATTGTCAGAAAGCAGTAAAACACAGTGACTAATCGAGGATGTGTTGCATCATCATGTTTCACTCTTGTTGAAAAATTATCTTTGTGTGTTATCTAGACACTTCCTTGCTTAAAATATGACTATTTCATGGTGTACTAACATAACAGTGTTTTGCCACTGTGTTTAATATTTCTTTATTAAAAAGAATTATAACAGGAAGAGACCGCTTTTCTTTATATGACTTTTCTTTCGTATAACTATTTTTTTGCTTGGTTGGTGATATAGCCCAGCAGCATAGCATCTATTTTGGCTTAGCGCGATTCAGCTTCACAGCTTATTCATCTGTGGGCGACGGTCGTGACGGACGGAAGTTCTGTATTCCTACCATCCATTTAATATCTAGAATTCCACACAAAGCGATACTACTAAGCCATAAGACCGACGAGCCCGTAAAGAGAAGAATCCCATCCAATAGCCGTTGTTCTGAACAAATTTCTTCTTCTATATCATAACTTAGTACTTCTCCTTTTTATGTACCAAACTAACAATTTAGATCCATTCGCGTAATGACATAACGATGACAATGTAATTTGAATTATAATGTGAATAAACGTACATACTCTATATTGTCTCAGCTATATAGTTCCTCATCTGTAACTAAAAGGCGTTGCCTAGGATTGCGTTAAGCGCGAGAGAACCGAAGCTCGAAACACGGGGAAACAATAGATTGTTTTGGTGAGTTGTCTGTAAATACCGATCACTGAAGCTCTTCGACGATCTTTTTTAATTTTTTATGTCATTATTATCACACTCGACGTTTGTTATGCTTCTCAGCGATCGTACATAAGTGGAAGTTCTACGGTCTATTGTCGTTGTCTTTGCTCTCATCCCATCCTTATGTAAATGTCATAGTAAAGAATTTTTAATCTGTGCTTTGAGGTAAATTAATTTTTAAGATTTTTATTAATATTGGCATGAAATTGTGTTTTTTCCTAAGTGCTTTTAAGGTCGTTCATTAGATTATATATATTTCATCGCTATTCCTCTATGGTTTTAAATCGGCCATATTTCATGTGGTCTTTTGCCAAGTTAGAAAAAATGCACTATATTAAATTAGCGTTATTATTTTTTAAATAAACCAATACCGCGATCGCTCTATGAAATAAAACTCCCGAGTGTAAACTTCTGAACCCCTCCGCAAAATTATGGGAAAAGCAAACTGTATTACGTTTCCTATTGCTACCGTACGCGCCGTGGGACTTCGATGAAATTATGTTATTAATTTTGTGTTTATCCAACTGAGACCTTCGGTTTGCGCGTGACGTTTGATGAGCGTAATAAATAATTATTTAATTAACCTTAAATGATCTAAATTAAACACTTTAACGGTTTAAATCGCGACATATCAAATTAATTATACAAGTTAATTATGCTAGTATTTTATTTTACCTACGTTAACGGTCGTAAAGTAGCAATATATTTCTAATAATTAAGGGGTTGTCGGTTTGATCTCAACCAGATCCAACATGTCGGCCCATTCGTATTTTTGTATAATAGAGGGAAGGGGGAAAACTAGCGAAAACTGTCTTACTTGTTCTTAACCAGAAGCCCGCCGTAAGTGGGCGGCGTTGCCTATATCGATCGCCAGTGCCGCCCATGACCAAGGCTCGGTGCGAATGTGTGCCGTCTGCCTATAAAATGTTATTACTATTATTTATAGTCGGCATAAGTTAAGGGCGCTATAGTAGAATACCTATCGCTTTCGGCTAGTTGCCTACACAATTTCAATTGTAATTTGCTCGTTGAATTATTTGTAAGTTGTGTTGTCAAATACTGTCTATAGTTTACGCGAGTAGTACACATTTAAATAAAACACTTTAACGGTTTAAAACGCGATATATTAGTTTGCAGCAGCCGTGGTCTCCCCGTGACCACGGCTGCTGCAAAGCATCCGAAACGTCGGGCCGAAGTTAAAAATCATTTTCAAATAAGTTTAACTAATATATCGCGTTTTAAACCGTTAAAGTGTTTTATTTAAATTAGTTGTGTTGTCTACAATAAAAGTAAATACTACGAAACGAGGTTTCGGATTTTATAAAGCTGTGGGGACGATATAGTTTAAAATAAATTTAACGGTTTATGACAAATCCCTCTACCTAAAGTTCGCTGCTCTTCGCATTTCTTGTTTAGTAGAAGTAGGGTAGGTAGGGTCCGAGTCCCAGCTGTATTATTTTTCATTACCTTTATATTATTTCGATAATAGCTACTTTTGTCTATAACAGTAAATCAACCGTTTGATTAAATCGTTATAAATAGATGCAATAAAACAATTTTCGTGAATCGTAATCTTCGTAACGAAAAAGCACTATGACAAAAGCGTAGATCCATTAATCGCGCTGATTACAATCGAAGGTTTTCTCTAAGCTTTCACATAGGAATCGCTGCGACGTCATACACTGCGATTATTAAATTATAAATTTAATGTGGTGAATTATTGCCTTACCTACATCAAAGGGAAACTGATGTTTGTGAAGTGGTTGCCGGTGGGAAAATCGACTGTATGCCACGGTTATAAGGGGCAACTTGGTAAGAATTGTACATAATCATCGTATGTACTGAAGAATGAGCCTGGCGTGGGTGTTCGGTTGAATTATGGAAATGGTGCGTCGGCACGGGCCGAGTGTTCAAACAATACCATAACGGGACGCAAGCAATTTTATTCCATACGAATAGCATACATATTGAAAGAATGGCTTTTTAATAGAAATATGAAAATGTCAATTAACTTGCGTATCGTTAAGAATTGGCCCACAGCTGGGCCCAGGACTCTTTCCTCTAGGTTGAAAGTTGATTGACTCGCTGATATAAGTAACAATGTATGGCTAATCATCAAATCAACGGGTCGTGGCTTCGATTACCATACTGATACAGTTTTGATAAACGTTTTTGTAATAACAGACAATTATTCTGGTTCACTTGATGGAAGGTGGAATACCCCAGCCATATAGCATCTAGACATAATGTGCTACCGACCTACTTTGGCTTTGGTTATTCAGGAATCCAGTCTGATTCCGAAACGAGCCTAACTTCACAGCTATCGTACATTGCAAGCTGTCACGCGACCTCGCCGTGATTGGTGGAAAAACGTAGGAATGAAATCGCAAAGCTTTTTTATTTGTTCAATTCATGTTACCTATAATACCCAGTTTTTGTTATTTTACAGAAGATCTATAACCATAGATACCAAATACTGTCTATAGTTTACGCGAGTAGTACACATTTAAATAAAACACTTTAACGGTTTAAAACGCGATATATTAGTTAAACTTATTTGAAAATGATTTTTTACTTCGGCCCGACGTTTCGGATGCTTTGGTCGTGGTCGTCGTTTGGTCGATTTTTGGCGTGGTCACGGCTGCTGCAAAGCATCAACGTTTTAAACCGTTAAAGTGTTTTATTTAAACATAGATACCAATTTTAAAATTAGACTGTACATACATGTATATTTAGTTTGTCAAAATTTCTAACTTATAGCCGTTAATTGTAATATGCTTTCTAAAATAAAAAATATATTTAAAATTATTAAAATAATTTTGACGGTTTCAAACGTGAAATACATTACTTGACTTAATAACAATTTATTTTAACTATGGCGATGTTTCGGGTGCTTTACAGCACACTTATCGATGTCAAAACTGCTACACTAGCGCCATCTGTTTCGTAGTTGTTAGTATTTAGGGAAACTAACTGGATTTTTACAGAACTGACTCAAGGGATACTCTTGTTTCTCGGTATGATTTTAGGAATATAGTAATTTTTGCTGCTGTTAAGACATGAAATTAAGAATTTATATTAAGAAGGATTTTCCCTAATCTTTTATTAAAACCAAATTAAAATAACACTATTAATCGTTATCGTGTTTCTACGCGGCAATGAATACGTATGTAAACAAAATTATCAAATCGCGTGCAAATTTTTGAAGCGTTCTTTGTTTTTATCAAAACATATTTAGTCAGATAAACTAGATATAACTCGCTATCAGAAATATATAGTTGCATTTCTTTATTGATTCTTTATCTCAGAATCAGCCAATCATATTAATAATATGTTTGCGATGTATTTTTTATTCGCGTCGCTCCTATTTTCGTCGTCTCCAATAGAATTTGAATGTCTTTATCGAGATTCATTCAAAACACGATGTTTTATACGGAACGTGAAGATAAAAAAAATATCGTAACGTAATATTATAGCATTAAGGCGTCAAGAAATGCGCTAACACAAAAAGAAATCAATTCAAACCAGTAGTTTTAATGTATGTATTATTATATTATAGATCTAAGTTATAAATATGTAAGTTTAGTAATGAGTTTATTGTTCCAATTTTAATTTCATAGTAAGTAAGGCCGAGATTAATTAAATATCTCACTTAAACAGATCATAAGTTCGTGAAATTCTATTTCTCTATTACTTCAATGCTTTCTAAAGATCAAAGTTAATTTAGTTTCCAGTTAGGGCAGAAAATTACTACCTACCTCCGCAGTTACACTCTGTCTCATTATTATCTATTCTAATTATTGCTGACATAAACATTCACGCTCGTTTAACTAAACTCCTAGAACCAGTTCCTACTCAATAAAATACGCGTTCTACTCAGACACTATTTGAAGTTTTCTAGTTTCATTTTACATTTTTACTCGGCTCTATAGAATGCTTTGTGTTTTCGAATTGGATTCTAAAAAGAAGACTTTGAAATATCTAAGAAATCAAGAAATCAGGAAAAAATATACCTTTTTGTCTAAGTAATGTGTTGTATATGCTTCTTCAGTGATCGATTGTCATTTACAAACAAATAGTTATTAAGTCATTTTTGTAACTTGAGCTTAACTATTAAATTTCTCGGGAGTTCGAACTCAAAACCTCTTTCGATTAACGTCCTTAAGACAGAACGGAATACTATTTGAAATTCATATAAAGTACAACGCACACAAAATTAAATCCAACATTAACGTCGCAAACTTTGAATGCTTTTTTTTTAATAATAAGAATCTTTACTAACTTAACTAGTTTCAGAGTAAAAAGTATTTATATTTATATACATTTAACACATACATTTAGCAGTTAAACTTAACACTACACTCTCATTATTACAGCTAATACGAGGGTGAAACTGAAAGTACTTAGAAAATAAATAACTGATTAAATTTGTAAGCTTTTCCTTTATATTATCTTTCTAAATTTACGTTACACAGACTATTCAATTGGCCGCCAAATCGTAAAACAAACGACAAACTATTACTACGTATTATTCGTAAAGAGTTCCATTTTTTAAATTTAAACTTTTTTAATTATATCGCTTTCAAGTGGGCAGGTCTAAAATAAACCCGACTAAGAACGAATTAAATAGACCAGATTATACACCCTTTTCAAAATACTATTATAATCTATAACGAATATTTTAAAAGCTGTATACAGTTAAAACGCCTGTAAGCAAAGTCAATCGAACTGTCGAGATAAACAAAAGATTAGAAGTTCGTAAGTTATAAAATGTATTGGACATTATCGGGGCGGGTCTGGTCTATCTGTAACACAGTTAAATCTGCAATTGCCTAAGCTCGTCTAGCCGTGCTGGAGGAGCAGATGGCGCAATCCACCCGCAAAGGTCATGGAAGGAATTCGCGCGCGGTCCGGTGCGCTTGCGACACTAACTGCGCACCACAGAGGTTCCATTTGGCACCGCACTGCAGGTTGCATAGATATTTCGCTGCGCTATTTATTACGCTTATAGCTCAACTTTTTACTTAGCTTATAGCTTAAGTTCTTGCAATGTTCGAGGTGGAAAATAGAGATATATGTACACTTGTTTAATCTTTATACATATATTCAATACAAAATAGTACTTAAAATGTCATCTTGTTTTTTGTGTCCGCATTACGATTTTGTTAGGTATCTGTTAGGCATTACCAACCGTAAATGTCGCATTTCCCCAAGACTCCCTAGTAGAGCAACAGCACGGAACGCTGACGATGCCGGTTCAAGTCCTGCCCGAGTCGAAAATTTTTTCAATCTATTTTCGAATTTAAAGTATAAGATCATGTTATGTTTAGTACTCCTGTTTCAGTATACAGACAATACAACTTCAAAAAACCAAGTTGTAGTTATTTGCTGAACCCCTGACATTTGATATGTCAAATGACTCACTCGATAAGCTTACCTCGATGATGATATAATAACGAAGAAGTTAAATAGATACGAAATTTAAGCTATACTGATTATCGTTTCTTAGAGTCAAATCCCGTTTTCCCCTCCTGGGGACACGGGAACGAACACATTGATCAGACTTCTGTGCCCTACCCGACGGCTGGTTGCTGCAGCCAGCATAAGGGTGTGGTTGTCAGTTCAAGTGCGGTGTCGCCTTTTCGATTTATTAATAATTTTCATGTATATAGTGTAATGTGAACTACTTCGTAGTATTTTTTATGTTGTGTACCTTAAATATCTGTCGTTTACGCGAGTAATACACAATTCAATAAAAAATCCTTTCAATTAAAAAATCGAAATGTATTAGTTAACCGAGGTTTTGATAAATTAAAAGTAAGTTAAAATATGTCATGTTTTAGAATAAAATACATTTAAACAGTTAAAATTGTTTAATTTAAATGCGTAGCTTAATTGAGGAAGAACAAAGTCTGTATAACATACGATTTTTAAGAAGTAACTCTTATAACAGAAAACCTTAGTATACTTTAAGTAGAGTTTTATGGTATCGCAAGATTCTGGCAAGCATATTATATTATTGTACTAGCAGTGTTGGATTATATGAACGAAAATATTGACACACCAAAAGGTCACATTTTGAAAGCGCCCAGCAAAGCATTTAATATTTTGTTACGGTTTGTAGTAGAGGTTATATTTAAGAAAGTGAAAATGTTCGCCAAAGCTTCCATTATCGAAAATCTGTTCGATTTTCAAATAAACACTCATGAAACCGATTTTCGTAGTTGATTTTAACGACGACGGATTAAAATCGCCAAAAGCCAAAGTCGATGCATAAAAAGTTCAAAGTTAACTATAATCTTTTGTAGTGATGATAATGCGTTACTGGCGTGGGCTTCGGCCATTGTATGCAAATGCCGAGCGCTCTGCAAAGAAATTGGAAATAGCATGTCTGCTATTTTGACGACGCTGTTTGACATCACTAGATGAGAACAAATTGCCCTCTTAGGCGTCGACGCGAGAGAATTCATTTAAGCCAATTAAAAAACAAAAGAATGTGTTTTTAACATAATATGTTAAAAAACACATTTTAACACATTTAGTGTCGTAAAACACGAATTATCTTAGTTAATATAAATAAAACACTATCTACGGTTTAAAACGCGATATATTTTAGTTAAAATTATTTTAACTACGACCCGATGTGTCGGGTGCTTTGCAGCAGCCGTGGTCATAGGGAGGACTCGTAACAAACAACATATCGGTAAATGGCGCCGTGAACATTACTTCGAAACAGATGGCGCTCGCGTCGCAGATTTGAGTTTGATATTGGGGACAATTTGAACTTTACTCCCTCCGTGACTACGGCTCTGGAATCATTTTAGTTCGCGGTTGGAATAATTTTAATATATTTTTAAAAAGGAATCATTCTTTCATATTTTTTGGGTGTCTTGAACCGTTTCGCAGCGTACGAATCTGAACCCCAGAGAGACGAAAATTTTCCCCCGTTTTGTTCACATTTGCCGCTGTATCGTCTGCTTTATAGCCATATAGCCTTTTTCGATGAATGCTCTCACCAACACAAAAATATTTTTTCAATTCGAACCCGTAGTTCCTGAGATTAGCGCGTTATATTAGTATAGATTTAATTTTAAGAAGAAGAATGGGAGACAACCTACTGGCAATGGTTTACAATAACTACAGTTATTAAACGCCAATAATAGATAATATTAACAAAGTCAAAGACAGGTTATAACAGATTTCCAATCGAAACAATATCTTGGTAACGATCTCTACCAGCAGATTTGACTCAAAAGCCGAAGCATGCCTGCTTGAAATACTGCCCCGTGGGATTGGTCTTTGTGATCAGAGGATTTGCATAATAAATTTCTTGTGGTATTTCTTAGAATAAATCACGCAGTAATGTAGGAAAGTTTACATTTGAATACGATTTTCATAATGCTTACGGATTTGATGTTATCGTCATCATCAACATCGTCAATCTACACTTTTGCTAAGAGTCGGGCTTTCCAGGGATGTATAGACAAATATTTTAATGCACAGCCGGGGAATCGAAGTGCCGACCTCACTATATTACTTACTGAAATATATAATTAGTTAATATAATGCTATCACGTGCTAGAACATATGTAAAATATTATAGTGTACACTGTGTAATTTCATGTTTAATTATTTCTTAACCTGCAAAGCATACGACATTGTACTTTAAAATGCGAGTGCTAAGGTTGTAATCACATTGCGCGAGAGGTGCATGTATCAATTGGTTGAAGAAATTCGACGATGACTAGTTGAAGACGGTTAATTCAATAAATTTGTTAGATGCACGTAACGCAGTGGATGCCGGTTCAAAACCCGCTCGTGGCACCGTTTTGTTTTCAATCATAATTTTTAGTTTACGCATAATCAATGCAATAAAATTTCCAGAATAAATTGCTAAGTTGAACTGTTATTAAAAGTGAAATAATGTTCTCGTGGGGCATGGGGCGAACACATTTCTGTGTCCGTTTCACTGATGCGATTTTATTGACATTCTAGTAGTTGATTAGACTTTTTGCCCTGCCCGTCAATTTACTGTTAAACCCAGGACCTCTCGCGTTTAACGCAATGCTAGGCATCACGTTTAACCATTTATTTACAAGGCGGTCTGTTACAGAGGGAAGAGATAGGCTGGGTTGCTAAATATCATTACGCTAGGTTCGTACAAGCCTACATAGTTGTAATCTGAACTGTTATTAAGTAAATAAAAATTATTTCCAGACTTCCGAGCTCGAATCGCTTCTTTGCAAGCAAGAGGGCGCCTCAATAGCGCCCGCCCACATGGATCTTTTTGATGGTGGGACCTCGTCGCGTGACGATGCCTTCCTCCGCCCCGCACTTTGGGAGGACATCGCGTCTTCCATCAGGAACATTGACCCTGAGAATGCGAACATGCTCGCGCCTCTGGGCGCCACCCACGTCAAGCTGGAGACTGACGAATTGCTGGAAGAGTGCGCTACACCACTACTTAGTCCTTTGGAAATCAAGACGGAGAGACTCGGTGCTCCACCCACGTACGCCCATCCTCAGCCAGCCCAGCATCACCCGCAACAGCCGGCCTACTCCAAATACCCACCTTCGAGGCTGGTGTACATGTCTCCGTTGACACCACCTGGTTCGGACCAGGGCAGTCCGGGAAACTCTATGCAGGTATAACTAAACATGGTGCGTTAATCCTGTGTGGAGATGGAGTTAAATTTTCCATGCACATTTGAAATTAAATATTTGTAAGGATTGAATACGTTACTGACAAGATAATTTGACAAGTAGGTACCTAATATTACGAATGTCATAAGTTCCTGTACCACATAATATTATGAAGATAATATTTTCGAATCATCCTTTCAAATATTTAAGGAATCTTGATCCTTTATTTTTAGTGATGTTTACGATACTTACGACATTGCTTTGCGTGCTTGCGCTCAATTCTCGGATGGTACCATCTATGCGATGTAATGTTATTATTTATCATGTTAGATTTAAATCGGGTTTGGAATTTGGGAGCACAATGAAAAGGTAAGTATAAGTATTTTAGTGAAAGTATGTGACTTCTACATAATATCAAATTATTTAATATGTTTAATAATACACAAATGTAATATAAAAAATCAAGTTCAGACAAGAATATGTTGTTTAAAATGTTTTATGTCACAATGTTTGTTTAGATCCTAGAGTACCCTTTTTTGTTATACCAAGGCGAATGGTTTTTCAGTGTGGCCCTAGAAGAACGCCACCGCCGCCGTATCATCCACCGCCGATGCTACGACCGCCATTGGGACCTCAACATCAGACACATTCTCAACACCACCCTCCGGTAAATATTCGTAAAATTTTAAGTTTTTGACACTCACAAACGTCTCAAACCAGTAACGGCTTCACCAGTTTTGTTAAGATTTTATGCAAACTTATTTAAGTATAGTTTTAAAAAATGTGATTCTTTATCAAACGGTTAAGATGTGAATGTAACTGAATCGAATCCGCGACTTCAATCACTCAAACTTTTCTTTCAACAGGTTAATGTGGCGCCATTGTTTCCTAGTTTGTTTGGTAACTAAGACCATAACCGTAATTATTGGTTTTATTATTCTAGCCTATGCCGCAAATGCAAATGGCTCCACAGCCGCCTGTGCCCCCACCGATGGGACACGGCCCCATGCCCCACTCAAGACTTGCCCCACCGTCGCATTCTTTGAAATACAATAGACGGAACAATCCTGAGCTGGAAAAGAGACGGGTTCATCATTGTGACTTCCTAGGTATGTTTAAACAGACCTTCTTATCCTATATAAACCTTTTGCGTTGCTTTATGTTCAGAGTGCTCGGATTTGAATCCAGGGGAAACATACAAAATAAAGGCGGTCTCTAAGTGCACATAATACTGAAAATCTGTAACATTTTTACAGACATTTAATTTCAAAATATACTAATATAGTAATAAAATTCGTGTCCTTTACTTTCGAAAAATAGCGTGATACATACAAAGACGGATAAAATTATTTAAAAAAAACTTCACTAGTTACTCTTTCTATATCAAACTTTTTAATCGTTTTCCTATTGTTTTATTACTATATTAAATTAAATTAAATTATATTATATTATATTATATTATATTATATTATATTATATTATATTATATTATATTATATTATATTATATTATATTATATTATATTATATTATATTATATTATATTATATTATATTATATTATATTATATTATATTATATTATATTATATTATATTATATTATATTATATTATATTATAGTTTAAATGTTTGATGATCTTCCAATGACCTATATTACATTTCAGGCTGCACAAAAGTTTACACAAAAAGCTCACACCTCAAAGCCCATCAAAGGATTCACACAGGTAAACAACACATTTTATACATATGTATTATATTATAGGGCGCTCAGCGACGTGTAATGCAAAGCGAAATTATAAAAGTAACGCAATGCGAAACGTGTTAATTTAAATTGAAATTAAATGATACATAGTTAATTAATTGAAGCACTAAGTTAGACGAGTCAATTGTCATTTTGTTGCACATGTCTCGTTTGTCGACGACGGCGATCTACTAACAGTATTCGATGTAACAGGAGAAAAGCCCTATACCTGCCAGTGGCCTGAATGTGAATGGAGGTTCGCACGTTCCGACGAGCTGACGCGTCACTATCGCAAGCATACAGGTGCAAAGCCATTCAAATGTACGGTTTGTGAGCGATCCTTCGCACGGTCCGACCATCTCGCCCTACACATGAAGCGACATCTGCCGAAAACGTCCAAATGACATACGAGGCGGGGCCCGGACCAGCCCCCGGCGCCTCAAATCTCTCAGGTAAACCCCTCAAATAAACATAATGGAATTTAAGGCCCCTAACTCCTAAGCATCTCTGAAGCTCTCATCCAAATTGCCGAAAAAAGCCGAAGTCTATGCCCGCTCAGGGTTCCCTTGATCTAGCCGCAAGTGTCCGGTTGCAATTTGAATCCCCTTACTCCTAAACATCCGTTTATTTCTCATCCATATTGCCATGGCCATTGCAAAGCTGTAACTAAGGGTGCCCCGAGGAGGGCATCCTCAGGGCACCCTTGGTCCTGCGCTAAGATACACAAAAAAAAGATTTTGAATCCCGGTTGTCAAATCCGATTTTTTAATATGGTGCACTTTACCAGAATAGTTTGTTTATTTCCCGGGATACAAACTGAGGACCATTTGCGCTCAGCGTTTTATTTCAATTAGACACAGTTTAGACTTGCCTGTACATGAAGGGGATAAGTGAAAATGTTTATAAAAATCTTTGAGTTTCAGATCTAGAAAGTGACGTGTTTTGTTCTAAGATTACTTGCCTATTGTTTCAGGAGGAATGTAGTGAAAATATTTTTCTGGAATGTGACCTAGACTCAAGCTTGATGGACACGTTCTACAGCGTGCTGTGACCCGCTGATGGAATCCAGTTTCCCTGAACGTGGAAACAATCAACAACACTTACCTTTAGACATTATTCAGTCCCCTGGCTTTTAAACTTAAATTGTTGTGCAAAGTCAAAAACGATTCTTACAATGTGCACGTTTAAGAAATTATAGATGAGAAGACCAAGTTTTCATCAGTCTTTTCGCCTCGCAACCAGAGGGCGTGACGTCTGAAAAACATTATTAGGCACAATAGGTATCAATCATTACCAAGGAAATTGCTTTACATATCTACATATACATACATATAATTAATATTGTAAATTGTTAGACCTGTTCAAGTCATCAATTAAAAACCTTTAGTTATACATTAGCTATAAGTATTCCTAGATGTCTATGTATTTTTAAAATGACAATTAATTTAGTGGTACGTAGCGATTCGCGCACTTTTGCAACCTGAAGATTTATAATATAATAATTAGTATTGTAACATCGTTGTGTCTTCTTTATGATGGAGGAGGACAATCAAGCACGGGGTGAACTTGATGGTAGTAAATACCCAAACCATATAACATCACCATATAACAAATTGCACTGTCGACCTATGTCGGCTTTGATTATCGAAAATCTACAAACTGACGATTAAACTCGATGGCTTATTCAACTGTGGACGGCGCCTAATGGCCCGGAGAGAGTTTCTACCACTTTACATCAATATTTTCAGACGAAATCAACGTGTTTTCGAAAATATAAATTCGGATCGGACCCACAACCCGTTGATTATTAGCCTTACATTGATAACATCACACCAATGAGCTGGTTTCGAGTCTCTTAACGAAGCAGTTACAGGCTACAACCATGCAACTCTTCTTTCATCTAAAAAGAGTCACCATGCTGATGGCTAATAGCATAACTATAAAACCAAGCTATATACAATGTGAACACTCGAAGAAGGACCTAAATAGCGCTGTACAAGAATTAGGTATACCTTAACAAATTGTGTAAGGGTTTCACGGCCATCGTTCAGCATATCATTGTTATTCGGGCCGTTCGGCCGACATGAGCGAGAAGAGGTTCTCGACGATTGCTAGATGAATAATATAATCATAATTCTAATTGAGGAGCTAACATCTCCTGATGATGCCGTCCGCTCGTGATGGCGAAACGTCGAGAACCTCTTCTCTCTCACGTCGGCTGAACGGCCCGAAAAACAATGATATACAGTAGAACCTCTATAAGTCGAATATCAAGGTTATGCCAAAAAATTCGAGTTATAGAGTTTTCGAATTTTGAGTAAGAGAGGTAAAATACTTTTCACAGCACATACAATGAAACACCTGACATCAAGCAAGCAAACACGTGTTAATGTGAGTCATAAATTCGTAGTAATTCTATTCATTCATTGCAAATTCTTAAAGTCTTACTTACTTATTGGTATTCGAAACATAGATGTAATAAAATGAGTCTAAAATAATAGAGTTGTAAAGGTTATAAAATAAGACGTTGCTATTTTCGACATACAGAGGTAAAAAAATTTTTTTCGAGTTATGGAGGGAATATATGTACCGAATTGGCTTGGAGGGACTCACTGATTATTTCGACAAATAGAGGGTTGAGATTTCGAATAACGGATGTTTTGGTGTTTGAAAGGAAGGAAACACAATTGTTTTTCGAGATGTGGAGGTTTTTGACTTATCGAGGTTCGACCTAACGAAGTTCTACTGTACTAGGTATATTCTGTTTGATAATTGCATTCAAATTTAAATTTCGAAATAACAACATTCGATTCGTGGATTGTACATACTTTTTTACGTAAACATGTGCGTGTATTGTGTTTTAGGTACTCGATTTACTTAAAGGTATTTGCTCATCGCGTCGGCAATGATCGCGAAGTCGCTCCGTATTTGTAGTATTTTTAGATACGACTAATTTATTGAGTTTGTTAAACGTAAGAGAATTATGAATATCCAAGATATTATAGCTAGTTGTAAGTTATTCATAAGATGAGCGTTTGTTTGTTTCATTTGTATAGATAGGTGACATCGAATATAACGACCTGTAATGATACTAACGACTTATCAATAGCATTTTTGATCCAAGATCCGCGCATATGAGATTATTAGAAATCGTTTATACCTATTGTTTATCTAGATGTGCCTACGAAATCCCATCCACGTAGAAGATATTTTGGGCATCGAAATTTGTTTTTGCAAACCTCCTCATCTTTATAGACATAGTCCCCCCACCCACGACGATGTCCGCGTTCCGTTTCTTTTGCACGTTGATCTTAGAAGATAGACATATCCTCGCATATGTCCCTTTTATTTAGTTTATTTCAATGAGAATAATTCTTTAACCGTTTTTGGGTATCTTGAACCGTTTTCGCAGTGCACGCAACAGAAACCCGTAAAGATGGACAATTTTTCCCATTCTTTCCACATTTCAAAAAACAAACAAACTCTTCAGCTTTATAATATATATATATATATAAATGTGAATACATCTTTAAAACATTTAAACAGAAGGATGTGATAAGGCACACTACATTGTCACACCATTTTCGTTACTAGTAACCTCATACTAATGGTAGTGGATAATGTAGAATCTGGACTGACTGTTACTGCAAAAACCTGTGTGAAAATCATATTTGGAATTCAATTGTTTATTGATTTGACGTTAGTGCATAGAACATCTCTGAAAGTAGATAATTACGATCAAATGCCTCACGAGTTAAATAGTAACTTTGCCACAATTATCTAAAAGGGTTATTCTTGAAACGCAATAATTTAATCTCGTTAGAGTATTTCAAAATATCTGCAGGTACAGAAAGGTTCGAAATTTAAAATAAATAGACTGTATATTACTGTAGTAGTGTACTGTAATAATATGAAAACGTTAATATTTTTCACATGTTATTGGACGACTCGGGCAGGACTTGAACCTGCATCGACAGCGTTCCGTGCTGCTTTAACCAATTGAGCTACCGAGTCCTACACGTCATCGTCGAATTTCAACCTATTGATGCATGCAACTCTCGCGTAATGTAATTTCAACCTTAACAAATACGTTTTAAGGTTGAAATCACATTAATTAATAAACTTATGTATAATTACTTTCAAGAATAACTCCTTCAGGTCGTTATGTTCGCATTCCCATAAGAACTTTCTAGTCTCGATTTAATACAGATTTTATATTCACACAGAAACTTATTTTAATATTATTGTATAGTTCTCAGTAAATAGATAAGTGCCTTCTTATTGCTATCTATTTCCACATAATACGCTTACATTTTGCGCACATTAACTTTAAAATAGTTTTATATTCGTAAATATTATTAATCAATTCGAAAACCTTATTGTGTCCGTCCGTTTGTAAATAATAGCTGATATGGAAACTCACCAGGCAACGGTTTTCAAGTGACATCTGACGTCGACATAAGTCGTAAATTGTCAGATTGTTTGGAAAGTCGACTAAAGTTTCGTATCACTGTTTTGAGAATTGCCCCAGCGCAGTGCCTTTCGATTGCCTTACAGTTTTTTAGTCTGAATAAGTACGTGCTTAATATTAAACTTTATAACAATTGTGTAATATTATATAATACTGCAATTTTATCTATAATGTGCCTTATTTTTTTATATGAATTGAAATAAATATTTTTAATAGATCCTATTATATCGACGTTGTAACATGACAAATTTAACAATAATAAGACTTAAAATGCAAGCTTAGCCAGTCTTAACGTCAGACTTCAAAGGTTGGACAAACAGATTATATTGTTACTCTTTCACAAAAATTCTGAATTATAAAATTAATATAATTATTTAAAATGTTGAAGACACCAACATCATCGCTTTAGAATGATAAAAGGCGACAAAAGGACTTGACAAAAACAAATAAACTTTCACTATAAATAAAAAATAAAATAAACTTTATCCTCTTTGAAATTTAAAAAAAATATTTAGATTCGTCGTAAAATGTCTGTCTGTCTGATTGTCAGAGATTCTTCAAATTTAAAGTCAATCACGCAATGCTTAAAATTTAATATATTTTGTTGTAAGCATATTTTATGATGACGACTCTTATTTTCATATCTCTTTATTAAAGAATTAAAGGATCACATATTCTTTGTGTTGTAATATCTAATTCGTTCATCTTGCCAATCTCTCTTGCGTTTAGTATAAATTAATCATATTTTAATAATTGGAATTTAATGATTAATTAAGTCTAGTATATGAATTATTTGCCATAAAATTTAGTCGTTTATCTTCCATTCGAATGGCTTTTACTCCTTGTACCATTGTGTCAACTGAGATCATTAGTATAAGTCCACAGTGATGGATCTCTCTATATCCACTTAGTCGTCTAAATATTTTAAAATGTGTTTGTTTTTCTCTCACTATATAAGCCACCAGTTATTTTTTAAGTTCAAACATTATAAAGCAGAAATAGTTTTATGTTCTGTATTTTGTCAAACCGAAAAAATCCTAGTTATATATAAACCGATATAAAAAAAACCATAACTACTCTAAGCCTAAAATTGCTTTGGTTAGATGTTTCAAAAAGGATATTATCGAAAAACTTAGAAATGGCAACTTGTAACTTTTATATAATTTGCGACGATCAATTACTATATAGTTGTATCAATAATGCCATATTATGTAGATAGGTATCTTGTTAATAAAAGTGTGGAGTTGCTAGCTTAATTTACTAGATACATATCAAATCTACCTTTTACGTACAAAATTGTAAATGTACTTATTATCTGTATTAAAAATTGTATTATAACAATTCAATAATTTGACAGTTAGATTGTACGGGCTAATTTCGAGAAACATAGTCAATATTGCAATATAATTATGATTTAAATAAAACACTTTAACAGTTTAAAACGCGATATATGTTAGTTAAACTTATTTGAAAATTATTTTAACTACGGCCCGACGTTTAGGGTGCTTTGCAGCAACCGTGGTCACGGGGAGTCTCCCCGTTTTTATTTAAATGTGTACCGCTCGCGTAAAGTACAGACAGCATATAATTAAGAAATATTATATTATAAGTGTTTTTAAAGTCACAATAAACAGATGAACCAGCTATGTATATATTTATACTTATAATCGTTTATACTTAATAATATTTATAAGTGTGTGATCGAGTTAGTGGTAATGCCGAGGAGTACGATTCATAACGAATTTTCAAATTAAGAATTTTTTTACGAACCGTACAAAAACACCTAAGCAGGCCGCTTGTAAATTAAGGGTTTGTTAAAATGTGTAACATCACTTTTATTAACAAGAGAACTTCCACTTCTTTGTTTTTTAATTATGTAAATTCTAGTTATAATGCATCTGTTTTATATGAATCATACCTCAGTGTATTCAGTACTTAAATATTTACTTAATCTCCGTACCTTTTGTTCAAAATCATTTAGTTTCGTTATGTTTTGTTAATTTTAATTATAATTTTATGAAACCTAGTTGTATGTCGACTAAGTCACAAAATAATTTATTACCAATGAAATGTTTTTATGTTAATTTTTATTTTTTGTGTGACCAATTATATAATACACAGTACATCGTAAAACTTATACTTTGTAATGAGCTCATTAATTTCTGAGTCATTAAAAAAAAAACAAAAAAAATGTTCTATAATTTTACAAACTAAAAGACACATTTAAAGAAGTCTTTAGCTATTACAAAATACAGATGATCTAATGCTGTGTAAAATGTTTTCGGTCCTACAGTACTATAAATTTCAGTGAAGATCATAGAGAACTAGTTATGAATACATTGCTATTTTATAGATTAAAATTTAAATTAGTTTCACCAAAAGTCGCAAATTTAAATAATTTTTAAAATTGCGTATTTCAATTACAAAATGATTTAAACTACTTTCTAAATATAGATTTGCATAAAACAATTACAGACTTTAAAGATAGACATTATGATAGTTACCTAGATAGTAATAAAATGCCATTTCATTTACACGGTGTAAATATTAAGAAACATATTTACTTAGATTTAATTTTGCAAACTTTGAGCTGTATAGATATAATTTTATTTTAATGCAACTCATAATCTTAAATACCTAATATAATTGAGCGTTGTAAAATATGTACTTGCAACTACACAAAACAAACTAAATATAGTCCACTTAAAATAAATACGGTTGTATTATTTTCTCTTTTTAAAATTCAGTAGAATTGTTTTTCTTTTAAATTCAGTTGAATTGAAAAATAAGGTTTTACTTTTTCGGGACTTCTAGGGTCTTCAATATGAAAAAGGAAAATCACGTAATTTCTCGTTCCATATTTGAAGAAGTCGTCATTAATTTGAATTTCGACTGTGGAACGCAGATTTTTAAGGCGTCGTACCTATACTTTTAATCACGTTAAAACAAGTGCATAGCGCCTGTGATATAGTTTCCCTTATTTATCTTCTTTCTTTTAAATATCATTAAAAAGAAAGAAGAAGAGGACAGAGAAGCACGGGGTCCACTTGTTGGTAGGTGATATACCCAAGCCTATAGGATCTAAACAAGATGTGCTGTCTAACTATTTTGGCTTTGGATATTTGGAAATCCACAGACTTAAACCGAAAAGTAACTGAACTTGACATCTTTTTCATCTATGGACGGGGGTTCGTGACGCGAACGGAATTTCTATATTCCTACCATTTAATATCCAGATTTCCAGACGAAGTCCAACATGTTTTAGAAAATGTATAAGTGAAAAATTTGAAATGCGGTGGGGATTGACCCGTTGATTATAACTATAGACCAACGTGCCCGTCAACTACGACCATCTTCCCTAATAGAATTAAATAGTTACTACCTAACTTTCAGTATTCATGAAAAATGGATTTTTGCATTTTTAAGTACACAATGATAAAAGCATTCGGCTGATGCTACAACGCAAGTGGTAATGGAACCTGCTATAAACTGCTTAAGCAGAAAAAAGTTGTTAGTAGTTAGTAGTAGACAAGTGTCAGAATGTCTATAAACATAGTCAACATGATCAAGTTGATGTACAAATGAATCATCATTCAAAATATTTTCGAATAGCCGATATTTCTTACTTTAATTGGGAACATCATTCCGGTCAGCGATCTTGGTAAATCCTAAACGTCATTATCCAGTTATTACATAGTGAAAGTGTTGAAAATTCTGTTTCTCCCGTTCTTCCATGTTCTTCCGTTTCTCCAGTAATGGGAAACAATTTTAACGGTTTAAAACGCGATATTTATTACCTAACTGACGTGACTGTGACTGTCGCATCCGAATAGTTGGGACGTAGTTATATTTAAATTAAGTTCACGAATATATTTTGCGCTATAAGTGTTTTATTTTAAACTAGTTGTATCAGCGACTTCGTCCGCGTAGAATAGTTAGTTCGAGCATCGAAATGTATATTTATTTTTTGGTTATCGGAAAGCTACAAAAATGCACAGCATATCACAGCATGAGCACGCAATATTTTATAGCAACTTTCCTTGATAAATACTCTAACTAACACAAACATAATTTTTTAATTCGAACCTTGTTCGAATTGAAAAATTCGAATACTTGCTGAGATTAGCGCGTTCAAACATCCGAACTTTTCAGCTTAATATATGAGTATAGATTATGTCATTAAAAATCCGCTTCTTTGATTATTGATTATTTTGCGTCAGCTAACATCTAGCGAAGGTAAAATCAAGCCCCATTAAAGTAAAGTAGAATACCAGTGTATCTGCTAATCACGCCTAACAAATAACTATCCAGAGTCGCGAATGTGCTAAATGAAATACGGTACAATCGGTAACAGTTTGTACAAATATATCACCGTTAACCACACTTATATGAGGAACACATCTAAACGCCCCCATTACAAATCTAGTAGCCATGTGAATTGTACAATACACAATAATATAGTATTTTGACAGCAGCTCAAAATGTATAACAAAATTTGGTGGTTGTCGGTTGCTTCAGTGCTTGTAATTGCAACAGCTCTGACAACTTACGAAGAGAACTTCGACGAAGGCAACGATCTTGATGTGCCGAGTGAAAGGAAGGGAAAGATTTGTAAGTACTTTTGAGAAATATATCTCTACTAGATGTGTCAACTTTATTCCGCGTAGACTTATTTTGGGCATGAATTATCCTATACATCCTATACATCTTTATAAATGTTATGCTATTACCCACGACGATGTTCTCGTCGCGTCGTTCTTGCAAGATAATATTATAAGATAAATATATAGTGCGCGGCTCTTTTAGAAAGTAATCATACTTTGAGACATTTTTTGGGTATCTTTGGTTTTTGCACCGAAAACAGAAAACCAGAACGATGAATAGTTTTCCCCTCGTTTTCACCACATTTCCCGCTGTTTCTTCGCTTCTAATAGTCGCAGTGCGATGTTAACCTTTATTAAATAAATAAATGTTCTAACCAGCATATAATGTTCCAATTCCAGTAGTTACTAAGATTAGCGCGTTCAAACAAACAAACTCTTCAGCTTTATATATTAGTATAGATAACACCGCCTTTGTCGTTGTAATGGCTTTTTTCTGTTTAATGATAAGTAAAAATAAATAGTATTTTGTTTGCATTGCAAAAGCTAGCGTTATTTGTCGTTAATTTTTTCTGTATGTCTGTTTCTACCTATTTTACGTAAGTCTATTTCTATCTCCACCTCTGTAGCCAAATGATTAAACGTATCTCCTAGCATTGCGTTGAGCGCGAGAGGTCCTGGGTTCGAATCCCAGGGAAACTAAAAAAAATTGTTTCGGTCGGGCAGGGCACAGAAGTCTGATCAACTACTTTCTCGTTGAAAGAACGGATCAATGATACGGACACAGAAATGTGTTCGCCCCATGCCCCACGACGGGGAAACGGGCTTTCACACTATTTATATCTGACCGCCCCTGTAGCTAAATGGTTCTGGTTGAGGTTCTGGGTACGAACCCCGGGAAAACAATCGTTTCGGTCAGGGCATAGAAATCGGATCAAAATTTGCCTGTAAATAAAACCGATTAGTGAAACGGACACAAAAATGTATTCGCCCCATGCCCCATGGGGCAAACATGATTCACTATTTATCTACTTAAACTCATAATGGTTGTATGTAAGCTTATTCGCGTTTCGACTAAGCAAGACAAAAGTCAAAACTGCAAACTAGTACCTTCCAACACGAAAATCTCTTAATTAGAAGTTATTGGTGACTTGGCGGCCTTCTAATAAATATAATATTTTCTTCGTTTGCTCTCCTCTGTCGGTTCCGCGAACGTAGTGTCCAGCCCACAGCGAAATCCATTTTAAAGTTAATTAAATATTGAAGTTTTTTTTTTGTTTGTTTCAGTGTTCCCGTTTATAAGTATCGTTCGCTTCGCTAACACTGACTGTGCCAGTGCAAATACTATGAATGGAATATGTCTAGCTCGACGGGAGTGTAACAATCTGAATGGAACGATAACAGGGACATGTGCTGCACGCAGAGGCAGATGTTGCGTAGGTAAGACGCAATAATCATCAGTGTATTTTTTCTAACTTGGCATCTTGGAAAGCAAAGACACAATTTACATTAAAACCTGATTTCTTTACAATGTTTCCGAACGCCTCTGTAGCTAAATGGTTAAAAACAACATAGCAGTGCGTAAAGCGCTAGAAGTACTGGGTTCGAGTCCCAGGGAAAAATATATTGTTTTCGTCGAACAGGACACAGAAGTCTGCAAATAAAACGATCAGTGAAACGGACACAGAAATATGTAAGCTGCATGCCCCACGAGGGGAAACAGGACTTCACTTACCTCACAAAGTTCATATTGATTTACAATAAAACCACTTTGGACGGGATTATATATTAAACTAATAACACTACCTCAAATTCAATTAGTAGAAACCTAAATTTTATAGAAAATGAATAATAGTCTCGAAAATAAATTTTCGTAAATGGACAGATTAAAATTTCTTTACTTAGACATTTACATAGTAATGGGATGTAAGCATTGTTAACGACAACATAGGGTATGTCCCACGCATGCACGACCGCTAAAGTGTTACAAACGTCGAGTTAAATAATAATTACATAAAAAAGATTTCATAAAAATTTTTTTGACCGTTTAGTCAATACATAATCTATGTTTCATTATCCGTGTGACATCTGTGGCATCGACTTCACTCTAGAAAAGGTCATCTCATCTCTATGGTTTGAAATCGGCCATATTTGTTGTGGTAATTTGCCAAGTTAGAAAAAATACACTAAGTATATATTTACGCAGGCGGAAATCGCTTGCATTTTTTAAATTGTAATATGCGAGCACGTGTAAATTGTACAGAGAATATTTTTTATGATAGAGGAGGACAAAGCATATTGTTCACATGAGGGACGGAGAACGTAATACACAAACCAAAATGGGTCGACAGCTCATCTGCCATAAGAGGGTAGGTTAAAGAATGTATTTTACAATTTCCTATTGATTTCTAGTCTCACGGAGTTGCGGCAGTACTACAAATGTGAACAATACTTACTTCACGAGCCCTGGATACCCGGCAGCCTTTGCTGGCGGTCAGGCATGCAACATTATTGTGAATCGATGCAACAATATGATATGCCAGGTAATTTAATAGTTATACATACTCATGGTAATCAATTTCTATTTAGATTCAACCAATAGCTCAATTGGTTAGAGCAGCAGCACTGAAAGATTTGGATGCCGGTTCAACTCCCGCAGATAGATTTTTAAGTTATCATGTGCAGTGGAAAACATATTGTTTTCAAACTGGTGTAAATCTTTCCAATTCTTAATTATCATAATAGTTAATTTAAAATATAGTTTGGTTTTTATTTCAACAGTAATTCCCAGTAATTCTTCAATTACAAGACGTAAACGATTGTTTATATATTTTTATATACTACGAAGACTATACATATACACATACTAAAATAATTAAATAGAGGTACAAAAAGCAATAACAGAGAGAAATACTCCTTGTGCGCCACCATATTTTTGCGTCCGTTTCACTGATGAGTTTTTATTTATAAGTAGTTAATCGGACTTTTGTGCCCTGCCCGACCGAAATAATTTACTGTTTCCCCGGTATTCGGACCCAGGACCTCTCCCGCTTAAAGCAATGGTAGGAAACGCGTTTAACCATTTAGCTACTGAGGTCTTATCTAAATAGAAGAGAATTCACGATGTCTGCTCCAAAGCAGCCGAAACGTCGGGCCGTAGTTAAAATAAGTTACCCGTTTTATTTCGCGTTTTAAAACAAATGACAAACTTTCAGCTTAGGATAGACTTCCTAGATTTTGTCCTAGCTCAACCGAATGGGGATGGCGTCTGTAATGTCGACTCGCTTACGATAACCGGCGGTAATACAGTGGTGCCGGTATTATGTGGAGATAACACAGGACAAACCATCTTCGTGGACTTCAACGGGAACGCAGCTATTACGATAACAATAGCTGCTACATTGGCTACAACATTTGGACGACGCTGGAACATGAGACTAACGCAGCTCGGCTGTGACTGTCCTGGCTTAGGTTAGTGAACAATTGACATTACCCATAAAATTTGTTAAAGGAAAATCACATAAAACCATACCAGGATAAAAAGGGACGTATTTTAGCATCAGTAACGGCGTCTGTAGTTTACGCGAGTACACATTTAAATAAACTTTTAACGGTTTTAAACGCGAAAGTATTAGTTTAATTTTTGGGATCTAGTGTTTTTAGGAATCTCCGATGTTTTAACACAACCGGCTGCTGCGAAGTATCCGAAACGTTGGGCCGTTGTTGAACGTTGACGTTGGGACGTTGTTGAAATAATTTGTAAATAAATTTAAATACTACATATCGCGTTTGAAACCGTTAAACCGTGTTTTGGTTAAATTAAGATCGCCCACAAAGCTTCGTCCACGAGTTTAGTTAACGTCGGGTCGGTCGGGTCATATGGAAAAGTGATAGTGTTGCGCGTTTAAATAAAACACGATTACTCTAGCACCATTTGTTTCGTCGCAGCAGATTCAGCTTTGACATGAATAAAGAATTATTATTATTTAGGACGCCCTTCATATACAGTTCCTCCGTGATGCAATAGTTAAAATAAGTAATTAAGTTTATTTTGTAACACCTGTGGTGAAAATATAGTATTTTTTGTTTTGCTTCTTTTTGTTTTTAAGTGTACTATTCGCGTGAACTGCAGACATTAATTAATATTACGGGTTTTAAACCGTTAAAAGAGATTTATTCAAATGTGTACTACTCCCGTATTCTACAGCCAATCCTTAATATTCCGCGTTTAATCGGTATTAACGAAATTTGAAGAAATGAAATTTCGGTAGAAACGTAATTTGACGGTTCAAATTACGTTTTGTTTCAGCGCCAAACGGTTGCCTTCAATACTACACTGGCAGGACAGGCACGATTACCAGCTTTAATTATGGAGCGGCTGCTAACTCGGCCCTCAGCGCCTCTTTGGTGACCGGGACTAGGCAAATTGCTAACACCAATTACGGTATTTGCATTAGAATGGAGGCTGGCTTTTGTGGAATACAATACAGTCAGGTAGGTTAATTAATTCATGAACACTCCTAACTAGACTGCCTCCGCGATTAACTGGAAAAATATGTTTCGTTACGTGATCCTAGGTTTGATCCCTGGGGATACAAAGTTTTCACTCCAATGCACCTCGCGCAATTACAACCTTTGAAAACTTTTTAAAATTACATAAATTCAATATTATAATTAAAATTGGGCGAGAGGTGTATGTATCAACATGGGTTGAAAAATTCAACGATAACTTATAGGACACGATAGCACAATTGGTTAGAGCAACGGCACGGAACGCTGTAGATGCCGGTTCATGTCTTACCCATGTCGTATTTTTTTCAAAATCGATTTTTAATTTCAACCTTAATACCTTCTTATTGAGGTTCAATGTTTTATGATTTGCTAGTTGAGATGTCAATGAAGAATTTTTTAAAAATCTAAATAGAACCTTAAATTATATAACGCCATCATGTGCATTTTTTGACGTGTACTCTTATTTTAGACTGGTGGTGATCCATTTTCGTTTACGTTAACTGGAGACGTCGAAGGCGCCGACAATACAGTACTTGGGACTGCGGTGGGTTCCGTGAACGGTGTTGGTTGCACAACGGACTTCGTGGTAATCCCCAACCCCATAACAACGGCTACAAACGTACCAGTTGGATCGGACCGCTTCTGTGGTCTTGGTTTTATACCAGTTACCTGTAAGTTTGGTCTTTTTTTTTCTTTTACCAGTTACCTATAAGTTTTGGTGTTTTTTTTTTCTTTTACCAATTACCTATAAGTTTTGGTCTTTTTTTTCTTATACCAGTTACCTGTAAGTTTTAGTCTTTTTATTATATTTGTACTTATTAACTTAGCACGGTACGTTACACCACTCAATCTTTTACTGAAATTGTTTTCAAACTCAGGATTGTGTTAGTTGCTCTTGTAGTTCTTAATCAGGTGTAAATATTAGACTATAATATAAGTTACCTTTTTTAATATTACTCTTATATAACTTAAATATTTAACTAAAAATAGATTTTTAACTTATTTAATGCAATCGCGTGCAATTACATTTTGAAAAATATTAAAGTTCCTAAAAGTATTTATCTTGTATAAGTTGTCATTAATCACGTGTTATAAAACTAATGAGCCAGAAATACAATCTTTCTTCTCCGCTGTAAATATAATGAAAATGTTTATTTTCAGCAACACTGAAACCGTTCGTTGTGTACGTGGTGACCAATGCTAACGAAGGTGCAGTAGGTGGAACGCCACCAGACATCGCAAACCGAGGATTCTCTTTGGCATATACACAAACTGCATGTTAGGCAAACCAGCCGTTGGGAGCTTTGGAGTCGTACAAACGTGTTCCCAGGGCTCCCTTAGCACCGTAGAGGGCTGGTGGTGTGTTTAGTGGTTCTGATCGGCTATACGATTTACCACACTCCCCACGTCACACTTGGCCAACGTGGTCATTCACACCATCAATTTACAAAAAAAAACAAACCAGCCGAGACTTCAAATGGCACAAAAGTGTGAAGTTTGAACTGCAATTACTAAGTACTGCCACTTGAAAAGAAAATTACTTATATCAAATTAATGACAAAGATTTTCTTTTTGACTGTGTAAATAAATAAATAAATAAATTGTTTTTTTTTCTAAATATTTTATTTCTTTGCGTAAAACTAACTGCAAAAATAATACTCAGTACTTATCTCTTGTACTACTTTAAAACTAACTAAATAGGGACATTTCCTCCACACTGTCTTCTCATACATTTTGAAAGATGTACTTCTTTATTTAAAAAAAGAATGAAGGAGCAAGAAAAATTGAATCATTATACAAGTCTGATTCTAGTGAATCTGTAAAAGATTTGTACAGCGTACAATCACACAGAATAACTTTACTTATAAATATGACCAATGTTTGCACATCACAAACAGCTAAAGGGAAACGATGATTAAAGCAGGTTTAAAACAGAGAAGTACTTCAGCCCTATCAATAATGTTTACGATACTTGCCTATAATTAGGCTTTACAACAATTTCTTTGGAAAATACAATTAAAATTAAAATTTATACAAATACAAAATTCACTGATATTTAAGGCATTTTACATAAAAATCGAAAATTAAAAATGGCAACATTATCATTTCATTTGGTTTGTTTAATGTTGCCACGAATCTTATGCAATTTAAACTGTCAAAAGTTAAATTTGTAAGTGAATTATTTTATTTATGGTTTAAAAGATTACTTTGTTATAAAAATATTTCAATATACTAGTACCTTCAACATTAAGGTTGATTAAGGCCTCTCGATTTGAAAGTTTAATTAAACGTCGTTAAAAAGCATTGAATGCGTATTTTCAAAATGTCTACTGTCTATGGACGAGATACATACGTAATATAACAAATCGTATAAGTATTTATATACAATATGGCAATAACGTTATCGAATGTACTAATTAACTTTTTATTAGTTTATTTTAATACTACCCAATTAAGGGTTCTAGAAAAACATCATTTGAATGCTTCTGTGTGTGTGTGTGTTGTATTTAATCATTATTACTAGCTTGTAATTAAAAAATGTCAACAGCAAAAAAAACTACCGTCAAAACACAGTAGAAACCCTTCGTTAAACCATAAAAACATGACTAAACGGAAAAGAATAATGCAGTTTAATTTTAACAATCAATTATTTCAGAGAGTTATTACAACTGCGTTTGCGAAAATTGTATCAAACAGTTTGTGAATATAGATGACATTTAAATAAGACACTTTTAACGGTTTAAAACGCGAAATATATTCGTTAACTTTTTTCCGACAATACGCGGCTGCTGCAAACCATACGAAACTAAATAATTCGTTTTTTAAATGTGTACTACACGCGCCAACTACAGACAGTGTTGAATAAAGGCGACGTCATAGAAAGCGGATTTCCACTGCATTTGAATTTTGTAAACTATCCTTATATGCTTTATGAAGTAAAAGTAATCTTTGTTCAAACTATTTCTTAGTTCTTGAGAGGAATAACTCTACCTTTGGTTGTTTCTAAATGGTTTTTCATCTTATCAAACCAATTTCCAATAGTAGTGTTGTTCTTAAGGTCTTGGAAAGCTCGGCAACCCTCAATGCTACTCAAGATCCCAAACACACTAATATCTGCTAAGTTTGGTTTTTCACCACCCAGGAATGAGGTGCCTTTCTTCTCTACAGCCTTCATCCAATCGTTGGCTGCATCATACAGGGACTGTCTCTCATCATCCTTAATGTTATGCCTGAAACATAAAGATAACTTTATAAGTGGAATGGAAGAATTTTATACCTTCGCGTTCTTCTCTTATGAGAAAATATTTGAAGAGAGTTTGAACATGAATTATCATCTGTTTATGCGAGTAGTACATATTTAAATAAAACACTTTGAAGGTTTCGGATTCGTTTCAAATGCTTTGCCTCACTGTAACCACGGCTGCTGCAAAGAATACAAGACGTCGGGCTATAGTTAAAATAAGTTTAACTAATATGTATCGCGTTTTAAACCGTTAAAGTGTTTTATTTAATTAAAGTATTTAATCAAAATTTGTAGTTTCTTCTTTCTTCGTTCTTGCATTAGTAGTACTATTTCATTATCTAGTTATAACTTTTGCAAGATCTTAATGATACTAAGTAGCTCAATTAGAAATATTTACTATATTATAAAGGAACTTCAAAAACTACCTCTTCTTAAGCCGCTTAGAAATAACCCACATGGCCGCAGCACCTCCATACACCATCAGAGCTACCTCCCATCCAGGGAAAAAATCTCGCCAGCCACCCACATCTTCAAACCACTTAAATGTCTCAATAGCTTCACCAGTAGTGCGATAAACATTTGGAGATAACATATGAACCAGTACATTGTCTGCCCATTTACGCCACTCACGTTCTTCCCTTAAACAAATAATATGAGATTTAAAACTAAATCAAATATAAACATTAACAGTTTAAAACTCTAGCTATGGTCACAGTGGGAGTACGGCGTTAATTTGCAGTAGCAAAGCAACGCAGAAGTTGCTGCAATTCAAAGCATTCAGAAAAACATATAGGTTGACTTATATATTTCTTGTTTAAACCTGTCAAAAGTGCTTTGTTTATATTTCTTTATATATACCATAGTAATAAAAATTAAATGGTGTTGCATGTGTATATAGATGAAAATATTCTGTCTGTCTGTGTAACAATTTATAACCAGCATAAAGACCCTGTAATCTGCAGTTGAGTATTTTTATAACGAGATCAATTGATTGGTAATATCAGAGATAAACAAAACTAAAAATACATATAGATTTAGTAGTAACAATTGTATATAGCGACAACATAATGAACAAGGAACTAAAGATGGAACAGATAATAAGATATTAGAAAGAAACCAGAAGAATGCAGTGAGAGTTGAACCTTGAAATCTTCCGCTAAGCCAGAAAAGGTAAATGCATAGAATAGCAAATCATGTCCCCAAAAAGAAGATAATAAATATATCAATTGTAGTGTTGTAATATTCAAAAGTTTTGGTAATAATATGAGAATTAAACAGTTCAATTAACTTACATTTCGATTGCTTTCCTTCTTTCATCAGTTGGAGCGTTTTGCATGACGAAATACTTATTCGTTATATCTGTCATCTCTTTCCCTGAATCGTTCACATATCTAGTCGCAGGATAGTACTTTATAATTTCACGAAGATGTAAAGCTTTGTCCTTCAAATACGTCTCAAGAACTGATATTATTGCAGTACTATCGAGAAGTTGCTGAAAATTTATCAATGGTTTTAAAACGGTCTTAAATATAAATAGTAGTTGTATTACTAGGCAACATTATTCTGTTAAACAATAAACTCTCTATAACATAAGACACACATTATACACTCTGCCTGTCTGTAAAACTGTGAAATGTATTTATATTCATGATAAACAAATGCTTGGCTAAAGTGTTTTGATTATTTCGCCAAAAAGGTTACATAACATATAATAAGACAGAAAATATAACACAAGTAACCACAAAGTATAACATGTCTTACAAAATTAATGCATCGTATTGTTCTATACAAATATCCAAGGTCGGCAGCGCATCTTGTTTAGATGTTATATGCCTTTGGTATTTTAGCTACATTCAAGTAAACCCGTAGATCAAAAGAACCCCCCCCCCCCCTATGCTTGTCTGTCTTCTTCTACCATAAAACAGAGATAAACCTTTAAAAAAAACTATCGGTTTTAAACCTTGCCTTGTTATAAAGAACATTTTACATTTACACTGTATGTTACGGTAAAGATTTTTGCAAGCGGTTTGAAATATTTACCTTCATTGAATTAACGAGCAAAGTGTTTTCAAGTTTAAAGCAGGTAGGATCTAGATTATCCTAATATAGTCTCAACAATAAATTGAAATGTCAACATACCTGGTATCCACCGTCAACTTTGGCAAGCAAAATAGGAACCTTCTTATATCCTGACCATTTGATGGCTTGTCGCAAAACAGCATCCACCTCGACTACCTCGTAACTGATACCCTTTGCATCTAAGTATGAGCGGACTTTGCAGCAAAATGGACATGTTCGATATTGAAAAAGTACTAAATGTAAATTGCTTGTATCAGCTTCGTTTATCACCTGTCAAATAATATTAATAAATAACATTAACTAATATACCATAAACTAAATATACCAATGCGCTAGAGGCACATTCATACATAGGTTCAAAAAAATTGATGATGATGTAGGACTCTATATTTCAATTGGCTAGATGGACAGCACGGAACGCTGTGGATGACGGTTCAAGTCCTGCCAGAGTCGTACTACTACAGTCCTAGCATTTAAATACCACACTTTAAGAATTTTTTTGTTTTAATGTATGTTTTGTTTACCTTATAATGTGCCTTGTATTCTGGTGCCTCCTTTAAAAAGGCGTATTCATCGGTTTCGACTGCATTATTTCTCTTCTTCACATTGACTTTATAGTGGGTGTAACCTCCATAACCTGCACCAATCAGTATCCCGACACTGGCGCTGACTAAGGTTAACTTTGCGGTGGATTTGGGGAGCTTAGCTTTACTTGAATATAGGACTTTGGAGACTGTTGCATTTTCTTTGATAGAAGGCAGAATCACCTTGCGAAAAATTGTTAACGTAGGCCGCCACATTTCGCAGCAAAACTACAATCATCTAGTGAAATTCTATTATAATAAAATCGCAGTTCACCGGATATTTTTTTTAAATGATTAGCTATTGAAATAATTAAGTTAAGAAAAATGTGTTTCAAAATAACACTTTAGGGAAGATAGCGGTTTTGAAAAATGAACATTCTCGTAATTCGTAGTATTTTTTGAAAGTCAAAAGAACAATAATAAAAGTCGGTCTCGAATCTAGAGGATAGTACCACGATCTGTCAAGATTGAATGAACCACAGAGAATGAAACGCACTGTGCTCACAGACTATAAATACAATTAACACGAGAAGAGTTTTAAGCCTCATTACCTTAATAAATAAGTGTCTTATTTCAAGATGTATTTATTTATTTTTTTATCAATACTAAAATAAACTATATGTTACCTTTGGTTAGAGCCACAGATAACCTGTAATATATTGAATCTATATTTATTGTCGTTGTCCATCGTTATGGCTGTCATTTCAGTGTACTTCGATACGTTATAATTTTTTGTGAATTTCTGAAATGTTTTGTCTCGAGTTGTATTAATTTGCAACGAGGAAGAAGGAGTGAAATTAGTGTTCTTGTTTTAGACTAAATTAATTCTGGTTGGAGTAAAAAGAAAGGTTGGTAAAATGTCCAATGGTTTTCATGGTGGACCCTTTATTGGCGCGTTAATAGTGTACCCTCTATGTTGGTTATATATTGGATGGTTTACCAACTGTTTTCGTTGTAAATAGGCGCGTGGTTATGCTCGAAGCATGCCATCGACCTCGCGGTCGCGGGGCTCAGCCGCGCCACGGACGCAGGTCATAGCGCCCATGTCGGAGCGGCAACAATTGGCTCTTGTGATGCAAATATCGTCTCAAGATGTACCTCCAGGTAAGCCCTCATCTTTGGCCCGTGAATATCTACTCTCACCTGGCTGTTGTTGACTTCCCGCCTTTTTTTATTTAGCCGCTCCGACCCCATCAGAAGAGCGAAAACGGACCAGACAACAACGAAATGAACGCGGAGAAACCCCCCTACATGTTGCAGCTATCAGGGGTGACCACCATCAAGTTAAAAAGCTGCTTGCTCGAGGACAAGATCCAAATGTTACAGATTTTGCGGGTAAGTATTTTTGTAAATCTCAATAGCCTATTTTACCCTATTATTACATACATACCAACACAAATTTTAGGGAAAATTGCTTCCTACCTCCAATTTCCTCCTTATTTAACTAAATCCCTATTTTTACTGATTTTTCAGTGCCTAATCATTATGTATTATTAATGTCTTATTTGTACATTATGTTATGTTTGCATTTTATCTTCCTGTTATTTTGTTCTAACTATTACTGAAATAGTATTGTTTAATAATTAGAATCTACCACCTATTTACTATTGTCAAAATTTTTTAATGTGCAAGAAATTTATTACAAAAATAAAAATAGAGGCTTTGGCAAAATTATCCAATAACTGCAAACATTATACTATTGCATGTTACAAACTAAATACATACTATAAAAATTCAAACTAATGATGTTATCCAACTCTTGGTAAACAACACAAAACATTTCTGTATTTCTGAGTATAAGGTTTGATTTATACTCAGAAATATACACCCTATTTCCCCTTTGCAGAAGTCATTAGGTTATCTGACTCTCACTTTCCCCTCAAACCTTCCGGTTCCTTTGCGAAATCTTATTATTTGTTCCATTGTTAATCCTTTAATGTTTTCTGTTATAATGCATTCAGTTTTCGCATGAGTTTTCCTTAATTTTGAGAATAATGATCATTCAGTGAACATATGTATGTTTGTTTCCTCACAGTCTTTGCAGTCAGGACATAAAGAGTCACTACATAATCCCATCATTGTAAGATGTCTTCTTAGGCCACAATATTCAAGTTTGATTTCTATGATGAGTTGAATGCCGATGAATATTGGCCCTCGATAGTCTCATTAAGTTTTCTTGTGTTTCTTATTTATACTATGTATAAAAAAATTTGACTGTCACATATCGACAATTTCCACCTTCAGTTGGTTTCCTCCATGATACTGTACTGAAAAATCCTTTGGTTATGTTATGTAGCTTTTGGCTGTTGGAAGTCTTGGTTACTACCCACAATATTTTTTTATCTGCTTCTTTGCAAGGGAGTTGTATGATTTTGCGTTGCCATCATTTAGCCTTAGTGTCCAGGAACCGTAGTAATGACTACTTGCACTTATCCTGTCAGTTTGTCTAGCACTTTCTTGCAGTCCTTGACAATTCTGGATATTGCCTCTCTTTTTGAGTGTTTCCATGGCAAACTGACTTTTACTATAAATAGTAAAACAGGGTAAATGGCTATCTCTGCTTCCATTTACCAGTTTGCCCATCTAGTTGCCTCTGTTTCATCCTCGCATCTCATGTATATGCCTGAACCAGAATGTTTAGTTCATTATTTAAAAACAATTCTGAAATATATCATAGGTATACAGAATTACATACTAGCTGAGATCTACTTCTTTACTTATAATATATTCCCATATTAAATGTTAGGTGGATACCAAATTCCATAAAAAGAACTCTAAATATAACGCAGGAACCACCAGTAACTTCACCTTAAATTTACCTATGTATTGTAGTTGTTGTAATTTTGACAGGCTTGTCGGTGTAATGGTAGCAATGTATGTCTAATGGGTCATGTGTTTGATGACCATCCGGTCCAACATGTGTTTAATCAATTTATAACTATTCTTAAACACATAAGACTTAATCTGCAAGTCTGTTCTTCTGTTCTGTTCCTCCTGAATATTGATACTCCATCCAGGTCACATCCACGGATAAAATAAGTGTGAATTTTCAGTCTGTGGATTTCCAAATAGGTTGTTAGCACATATTTTGAGATGTTATATGGCTGGGGTACTCCACTTACAATCAATTGAACCTGTCCTCCTATCATAAAAACAAAACTACTTCTATGAGCAAATATTAGTTTCCACATTAAATTAAAACAATTTAATTATTCTTCAAATTATAGCAAAAGTAGTTTAATTTGATTTATTTTAAAATTGGTCGATGACAAAGAAAATAACAACATGACATTATCAATGATTGCCAATCAGTCTGTCTGTAGCTAAAGTCAGAATTTGTTAATATAACAAAGCCTAATTTGTGTACATTCTATTTCATAAAAAAGACGTTTAACTCTGGCTGCAGATGTTTAATTTTTTATAAGTATGAACAATTCTTTACTATAAACCTTTTCTAAGTATATAATTATATCCACTCGGCATCTTATTAACAGTTTCCTTTACTTATATTTCTGGACATCCATGTTTAGGTACATAAATAACTATGCAATGTGATCCTAAAATAATAATTCAATTAAAACTTTTTCTTTATTATAACAAAGCTTCTTTGATTAATTTAGAAGCTTTCCTTTTAATTTCTATGTTTTAATTATTTTGTGCTTTTCTAATATTGTTTTGTATTTGTTTATTTCTCCCGTAACTCAAGGTTGGACTCCTTTACACGAAGCATGTAATTATGGTTGGTACCATGTAGTAGTGATACTAGTAGACAGTGGGGCTAACGTGAACGCAAAGGGATTGGATGATGATACACCACTTCATGATGCCGCTACGTCTGGAAACCTGGAAATGGTCCAATTTCTCATTGAAAATGGTGCAGAACCCTTTGTTAAAAACACTAAGGGAAAATTGCCTGAAGATTATGCTGATTCACATATCTTCGAGTACTTTGAATCCATCAAAGGTAAGATATGATAAGGTAGAATTGTGTTGTATAATGTGGACAGTTTGATTTACTATGAGACCCTGTACTAGTCCTCAAAAATAAATTAGAATAAGGTGAGCTGATATATAGAAAAAATTACATTGCCGGAGCATTATTTGTAGTTTTCGCGGCGACACATTTAAATGAAACATTTTTAACGGTGTAAAACACGACATATGCGAAACACAACTTTAAAAATTAAAAACATGTATACATTTCGCGTTTTAAACTGCCAAGTGTGTTTTAAAAGCATTAAATATACATAAACCATTTCACGTAGATTTCTTTGTCATTTCAATACTAACAATATTTTGTATGCATTGAGGTTTTATCAAATTAAAACGGAAAGGATTTGTTCACAATATCACCAAAACATAGTATGATGTAATATTATAACAATTAATGTTGTTATTGTGTCATACTTGAGTAATCACATACTTACAATAACTTATTTATTAAACAATTCATTTCATTTAAAATATAGCGAACACAATATTTTTTTATGTATTCTGTAATTAATTCTGACTATATTCAAATGTAGTATATTTGAATTAGTAGTTGAGGAGTAAGTAATTTCCCTGTTGTAAAAAAAAAGATGTTAAATGTAACTGTAGAGATGTATACTCCTTTCCAAATGAGTTTGTAGAAAATAAGAAACCTCTACGTTTTTATATATAAATATATATATGAAATTCTATATTACTATTATAGAGCCTAAGAGTTTGTCTGTTCGTTTGATTAAACACGCTAATCTCATGAACTAGTGGTTCGAAGTGGAAAAATATTTTTATGTTGGTTTCTTTAAAAGTAAAAAAATATGTAGGGAGAATCTCTTGTAAATGATCTAAGAAAATGTCCGCGACATGTCTATCTTTCACTATTAGGATTAACACGCCTGAAGGACGGATTATGGACGATATCTTGGGTCAATTTTTTTGAAGATAAATATGTCATTTTTTACAAATGTTTCTGGAATAGAGTGTACTAATAATGTGGGTGCGAATATAACGAAAAAAAAAGATACATACATACATTTGCTATCACAGTCATTGCCCTCATTTTAGCAACGCCATAACAGGGGGGGGGGGGGATATTTTATATTTACTATGCCTTTATTAATTATTAACTATGCCTAATATTTACAACGCCATCTAGAAAGTGATAATAAAGTTTAAAAGTCATCTATAGCTTTGGAAACGTTATTTAAGTTAATTCCTGTTTTCCCTAAACATTATTGCCTTTTTTACTTATCGAGTGTATTTACAGCCAAGTAGTCGATATCACTTACCTGCCCTTAAATCATTATCTATGCAACAAAAAATAAATTTAATATCAGATTAAGTAGAGTCGCTATCTCGTATAATTTTATATGAACAAGTGTTCTTCGTGATTTGTGTGTTCATCGAGTGAATTATGTTTATATCTTGTTAAATAACTCAAGGTCAATCAAAAAATGTAGTTTGTCCCCCTATCAATTGAGTACAGCGCCATCTGACTCGAACCGGTCACACTATGACGACCATGTTTCGTGGTTAGTGGCGATGCTTGTGGCATGAGGCATCGACCTGCCGTGCCGTTTCTTTACACGCAATAAAATAAAACGCATTGAGGTTTAATGTTTTAAATTAGAAATATCTAACAAAATTCTATCATCGTCAATGTTAACATTATTTTTACGGTTTAAAGCTTAACTTATACTATATGTACACATTAATCTTTGTTAATATTCAATAATTTTAACAACCATCTGTTCACCAATACAATGTATCGTGTAATATTAATATATTTTTACAGTGTATGTTGTTTTTATACAAAATTCAATTGACATCAATTTAAAAGAACGCATTGTAGTGAATAATTATCATTCAAGAAGAAGAAGGCAAGCGTGGTCCACACCGACCACGCTTGCCTAAAACGGAACGGCTTGGGGCGTGTTGCTAAAAGTGTTGGCCTCGATTCCGTAGTCATGGCCGCTTAGTAACGTCAACTTATTGGTGGTGGATTTTTTAAGACTGAGTAGGCAAAATTGATCTGAAATTATTGTCTGCGGCCGACGAAAACTATCCAAAGTGTCCGCCGACGTGAAATGCAAAGGAGGGCGCTCCCGCACAACAAAGGGGAGTCTATATTTTCGGTCACATTAGTGTTCAGTTAACGTATAAATTGTATGCACGCCGCTTAAATAACTATTGTGCTGTGTTGAGACTATCGGTAGCCGTATTAATGTTATTACAAGCACACCACTCCGGCAAAACAGTGTTGCTCCTAAAATGGTAACCGCGATGCTATAGAACGTCCCCCGAAACGCCGAGTAGATCAATTAATTATTTATCAAGTTATCATATTTAGTGACTCGATTTTTAATGACATGTTTGCGCTAAGTATATTTAACCTATACTGAATTTTTGTACGCGTAAATGACTGATCAATTCTCGTAACGGCACGTAACAGTCAGGTTATTAAAATCAATATCGAGGTAAGTGGATCCAGCATATGGTATATTCAACATGACTTCAGTTGGTCTTGGCTGCATTATTCATGAATACTGTGTATCATACTCTACAATTCATTATCTGGCGAAGTTCAGCATATTTCTATACTATAACTACTTAAACTAATTATTTGAAGTGTAGCACAAGAGTCATGGTATTTTTCATTGTTTGATAGCAGGGTTTTATAAATGTACTCTTAAGTATAACTCTACAATTTCTGAGGTTTGGCAAAGTGAAGTAAAAGTTACTTACTAAGTAGAACTTTTGAGTCGCTAATTCCATTTTTAGTTAATTATAAGGCATAATTATAAACTAGAATTTCTTTTTATAAAATTACATAATGAGAAATTTGGTAGAGAAAGTTATTAAATTGTAGAGACATTATGCCTACAACATACCTACCATTATTATAATAAATCATAGCATTATATATTCTTAAAAATATTTTTATTTTACTTGAACCACAAATGACAAACACATTTCTATAAATGCTTTTTTTTCCAATGTATTATCTTTTAAAACCTGTTTAGCGTAAAGTCATTAACATCAACTCTACATTTAGATGTCATTAATTAAACACAAATTATTAAGGCATTTTACTTATAATTCAATTGTTAAAATTTACGTTTAACATTATTTGTTGAATTAAAACAAAAGAAAGTCTTAAATATTGCAAAGTTATTTTTTTTTGTAGTTCTCTGCAATAGTTTCTTAATAGTCTGAAAGTTAAAGTAGGATAACTTTCAGACTTAAGAAACTAATAATATTTATTTCTACTATTAACTAGTTGAACCTTGAACCTTACTACTTTGTATACAATAATAATGTGTTTTGCTTTGGACAAAAATGTAGAGATGTCACTTTGCAGATCAAGAAAACTCATAATATGAGATGCCAAACAAAACACATTGTACGTGTTATATATTAGTTCTTTACTTGGAACTATGCTTTCTGCCACAGATAATTACGCGAGAGCTGCTCACGTTGCAAGACCAAGGGATGACAGTACCAGGAAAAGTGGCAATGCAAGTATTAAAAGTGAAGGTGGCAAAAGAAGCAACATGGAAAGCCTAGCACAGGGCGATTTCGAGGGGAAGGAAGGCATTAAGCAAGAATTCAAGGTTGAAATCAAAGAAGGTAAAAAGTTTATTCGCTTATTATTAAAGGTTTACTCCGTTCCAAATTAATTTGTAGAAGTTGCGCAGGTGTGAGAGCCGTCAAGTTTAATCTTGTTTCAGTCTTTGGATCTCTGAATATCCAAAGCCTAAATTAGTCGACAGTGCATCTTTTTGGATGTTATTTGGCTGGGTTATTTCACATATCATTAAGTGACCCTCACGCTTGTGTATCCCTCTATCATAAAAAAAATGTTGGAAACAATCATTAATTCATTAAATTACAACCAAATAACACACACACACATAACTGCTGCCACTACACATTTTAAGTTTACAATTAATTGCAAGTTTTAAAATCTTAAACTAAAGGTAGTCTCAAACACAGCTTCCATTGTCATATTTTAAATTCTAAAAACATATCTCGAAAAATTTCGTCGAATTCGTAAAATTAGCGTTGTGCGGTGTTTTATATAGTAATCGATCAAAATTTAAAAAACCTTATTAGTGTAATGATATTTTGATATAATTTTTTTTTCATTCGTTTTGTTATAAATTTCAATAATGCAATTAAGTTTATAAATAAATTATTTTCTTAGACCCTTTAATAACATAGTATTCCTATCATTATTTGCAGAGCCCGGTCAGTTGAGTAGTGGTGTGGTGTCATCTACCCAAGATGACACACTTGTAAAGATTAAGAAACGAGAAGAGTCTTCAGATACCGATTCACTCGAGGATGATGTTTCTAAGCGGAAGAAAAGAAAGGATGACGAGAAGGAACCGATGGCAAAGCCTTCACTTGTCTCCAGAGCAGGGCCTGGACGGTAAATTTCCAATCTCTACTTTTGTAGTAACTATATGCTCTTGTATAATTTAGAGAAAAGGTTCAATTCAAGTTTACCTTTTGCAAGAATTGAATTTTTTTTAAATAAATGTTTAAAAATTGGTAATAAATAGTCACTCTATGTATCTCTTCAAGTTCATTTGTTTTTCGATTATATTTAAGAATATAGAGTTGTACTCAGTAAAAATATTTTTTTAATAACTATTTAAATATTAATGTCAGATGAATTATATACCCCCAATAAAGTTTAATAGAGTACTAATACTATCTGGCAGCAGGCCTCTGGGGCCAGCTGGTAAGAGTGGTGGATCGATGGTCAGCAAAGGAAACACTGCGACCGTCAGCAAGAGTGTAGCCACATCGTCAACTGGAAAAGTACAGGCTTCCGGAAAAGGAGCAGCAGGAAATAAGGTATAGTTTTACTCATAGGTACTCGGAAGAAAAATTTAAAAATAAGCTGTTATTATAACAAGATTAAATATATCTGATTAAAGCCACTTGGCTGATTGCAGATAGAAAAGAGAAAAAAAAAATTATAACAAGAAGTTGTCTTTTATGATGTACTATATTGTGAGATAGAAGACTGTAAGATTGTCACATGTGTTATTTCTTCGTAGGGCAAATCTGGGTCCAGTAAGGCATCACTACATAGCATCAAACAAGAACGCAGAAGTCCAGTACCCAGCCCAAAAGTCAACCAGATCAAGGAAGAACCTGATTGTGAAGACACAAAGCCTATAATAGAGGCATTAGCTCCGAAAGTACCACCATTGAAGATAGTTATCCCCGGTGGAGCAGGAGGGTCTGGGAACCGGAATGAACAAGAAGAAGGTAACTTATACATATCTATTAACTAGTCTATCCTATAATTTACAAGGTTGTTAAGTGGTTCCCATAAGACTGGCAAAGCCTAGTTTGGTATCCCTTTAGAAAAATATATATCCACTCCACTTGTACAAATAAAACATATTATTATTTGTTTAGATTGGATTTATGTAGTTATTAAATATATTTTTTTATGTATATATGTATAAGACAAAAACAATGAAATGTGTACTACACGCTAAATTACTACTAAAGACAGTAATAAAAAAATATATCCTATGATATAGTTGAAGACTCCCAGCGTCGGTGTAACCTTGTGTTCTTGATGTCATTGTCGTAAGCGCGAGCGGTCGTGAAGAAATAAAAAGCTTCCGTCATTGTTAATTTTTTTGATGCGACGCCTAGGAGGTACGGGTCAACGTGGTGGCGGGAAGGGGCGAGGCAACGCGTCTACGCTTCCGTACGTGATACCTTGCACGACGGACACGGGCCAGACGTCCGATAGCTCAGATGGTAACTCCGACGACAAGCGTGCGGGGGAGGGGGGAAAGGTTAGTTCACGCTGTAAGATCATGATATCTTTGTTCCTTTCCTTCAAAACCTAACGGTAGAGGATTGAAAGAGATAAAGCTAGTCGTGTTCAAAATCAAATATTAATAAAAAAAAAATTAACCAATAGTTTAAAATCTCGAATAGCTATTGTTAGCTATGCAAAAATGTGATTAAAACACTTTTGTATAGCTAACAATATAACATCACTAATAACAAGTCATGTCATGCTTTAGCTTATTTAATTTCACTATTATGAAGCGAGCTCCAAAATGGGTTTAAAACTAGCACAAATAAGTTAGATGAAACATCGTGGGCTAATAGATCGAATTACTATGACATTCTAAAATATTCCATATTTGCCATTGTTGCCAAATAATGCATGATTTTTTTTGCTACTAAAACTAGCATGGCCTTAATAGAACATTTCAAAGTTACATTTCTATGATATATGTGAAATAGAACTTTGAAACCGAACGCAAAGATTTTTGACACTCCCGAGCAATCTGCGCGTCCTAACATAATTACAAGTTTACCTGAATTAAGTGCTACAATATAAGTACCATTCGCTTGAAACTATGAAAGGTGCTCCCATAGATTAAGTAAAAGTAAAAGAACATTCGATGAAACGTAGATAGATAGTAAGTGCGCTTCCGTTACGGTACGTTTATGTGGAGTTTGTATTATAGGGCGGGCAAAGAGTACTGCGTTCGCATAGAACGAACGACGGCGAGAAAGATAAAGAGAGAAATTGTCCACAAACTGGCTCTGGATCTAACCAAGCTTTGAGCTCAAATAAAAGCCCTCCTCCCAGCTCAGTAAGTAGTCATTTAATGTTCGCTAGACGCAACGACACCGCGAAGGTATCACATGTTCAAATATTTTCTCGATGTTTTAGACTTTCCACTTTGATTTTCCATTATGTGTACCAGGAAGCCCTTTCGACTCCCGATATCCGCTTCGTCTATCTACGCAATTTATTGTTTGTCTGCATGTCGAATATTATGTGTAATCACTTTTATTTTTATCACATCCCGTAAAACTTTGATCCGTTGAAATTTGTTAAGTGTCTTTTATTTTTACTTAAATGCTAAACTTCGTTTGCACTCGTTTTAGAAACGGAGATGTCGGTTAAGCGATGGCTTCAGTAAGTCATATGTAAAGACTTTTCAGGGTTTGGATGACACTCCGTCGACATCCTCGGCAGCCTCAGGTGGGAGGAATGAAGCAGGTAATTATATTTGCACCGCTATAGAAAAACATCACGACAGTAGGTACCGTTTCAGTAATCGTAGGATGTTTCTCTCGATAACCTATTAACATGAAATAACATTAGTATTTGAAAAGAAAAGAAATAGTTCTATCGATAGTAGCAATTGAGCATTGATGTTTTTCTATCAGGTTACTGTGAAAATTTTATTGACTAATTGAGGATACATCTGTTACTGCTTTGTGTTTAACATCGTGTTTGTAATTGATATGTGCACGCACATATGCGAAGACGGACCAGGAAGCAGAGGCCGGCGCTATCATTCTCCCTTAAAGTCTCCCAAGAGCACACGGCAATCTTGTAATTCATTATTATATAATATTTCTCTGTTCTTCCATTATTTCTTTTCTTTGAAAATGTTCAGTAGCTTAACAGTGATTTTGTTTTGTTCAAGTCTTAACTTGTATCACATCTCACAAAGACAGCCACGTAACGATTGTTAGATTTGATGCAACTGATAATGATTCTCATCTTCTGTAAAGATTTCTTTAGCTGTTTCCATATTTTTATTTTCGTTTCGAGCTGTTATTGAGATTAAATGTTTAACTAATGAGGGCTACCATTTTGGTGTTTGCCAGAAGGCGATCTTCATCGGAAATCTTTGCAAGAATTATGATCTCGAGCACATTAAATCTTTGACACTTGTTAATCTGGACTAATATTAATAGTGCCCCTTGCAATTCATGTAGATTACTTGCCTTTGACTCATTATTGTGGTTGTGTAATGTGTCAGAATCCATTTACAATATTTGCCCAATTAATGAGTTTTGGGGTCTTTCGGTCTCCGGTGAGGAGATTCGACTCGGGAGTACGCTGGCTGACCGCCCTCGTTGGTTGCGCTTGCATCACGAACCAATCAGAGCTCGCCATTTAGACTTCCGTTTCGAAAGCTCCTCTCGGATTCCTGGAGCACCTTTGCATTTGCCGAAGAGTTTCGTTGTATGCCTATTTCTAAGACTTGTATATGTTACATAGAGTTAAAGACAGCGTCATTCTTGGAGATTGCCCTGCCCCCTTAACCATGGTCGGTTCGAATGTCCTGGTGAATTTGGCATAGATAAATAATGCACTACCGGGTACCAACTGCTCGAATGAAATATTACATACAAAAAGCTGGTAGCCCTAATTAGCCTGTCAGATTTCTATGACTGTTTACTTAACATGAATTATATTGATATGTGCACGCACATATGAAGACGGACTGGGGGGCAGAGGTCGCCGCAGTCCTCACATAAAGTCGACAAAGAAACGAGGACACACTTGTAAATTATTAACATAATTATTTCTGTACTTCCGCTGTTTCTTTCTGTTATGTGTGTCACACGAAAGAAAAGTTTAATGTCTCATGAGATTAACGATTACGTTTCTAAGTGGATTGGGTCATATTCTCGCATTATGCATGTCCTCGAGGGACCTATGTGTATCTCATTGTAGCTACCGAGCCCCGTATGGCGTGTTCAGTCTGTTAATGTGTTTAATGACATCGCGGCACCCGTTACCATAACGCAGTTTTGTTCATTTATCTCGGACTTGACTATGCAACTTTGTTTTTTAGCCTACCCTCATGCTCGAATTAACATTGAGACTATACTATTTTTGAAAACGAAGAATTATTAAACAATTATGTCAGAGCAATCAATGTTAAATCGATAAACTTCTATGTGTATCCTATTCTTTGATCGAGCAATGTTGAGACTTGGACTACCCCAGCTTTATTCGGCTTTTCATTCGAATCGTGTGCGATGTCATTACACCGTTCGTTGTCGGGCGAGGCAGCTCCTACCATTATGTTCGTATCTTAAATGTTTAGTGAATGCTCTTTCTGTTATTGGTGTTAATTTGATCTATATCGTTGTTGGCCTCTTTGCGTTTGGGGAGTGCGTGTTCACGGTGTGTATGTGTGTACAGCTGCCGCTGGGCCATCAGTCGAGTTGCACCCGAGGAAGAGGAAGATCAGGACGTCGAAGGAAAGCCACTCGCGGGAGGTGACGATTAAGACGGAGCCCTCTGAGAACGCGATCCATGCTCACACGGTCACGCATTCGAATCCATATCAAATGTACATACATAAAAGGAAGCAGGTCAGTGGAGTATTTTTTTATGTACTTTTTCACTATAGATGAACAGAGTCGTATAAAGTATTGATTTTTATTTCATTGCAATTCATGTTAACTTTTAACTAATCACTCTCACACAGATCGAGCGACGCCAGAAGAGTTTGTTCCCCGTGAAACCGAAGCCGCCGAAGGATTTCAACAAGTACCTCATGAACCGATGTACTTACACCCTGCAGAACAACGTGAACCCCGACCCTCAGGTGGACATACCAATCAATCTACCGCAGCAGATGATCAACGAATTCAAAAGTCAGGAGAGGGAAAGGTGGGTGTGGCTAAATTAGATAACAATTTATATACAGACAAACAACAAACCAACTACATACATAATTCAACAAGATCTATTCCCAACAATTATTATTACTACTTATGTATCTAACTTAAAGGTATGTATAAATAAATATTAAAAAGCAAATATTTTTACGTAACAATTAAAACTACAGATAAAGGTAGGTAGGCTAAACAAAAAAATAAAACAACTAATTAAAATGTATGGACGGTAAAATTATTGATCCAACTGTGTATGTAATAAATAAGAAATAACAACGCAGAATTATTAGAAAGATATATTGACTATTCAATCGGTCAAGTCACTCCTTAGGCAAGTCGGTACAACCAAACTGTCGAAATGAGGCGCGCACGCGCTTATAGCACTACTTCGTATCCCTTGATGACGTCATCTCAGCATTCCTCTAACAATATAGATTAAAATAAAAAATACTTTGGAATTTTCAAACTTATATATTATGTATATTATTTTCAGAACGCGACTAAGGATACAACATCAAGTCGAAAAAGAGAAATTGGTGTTGGGCGTGGAACAGGAAATACTACGAGTGCATGGACGGGCCGAGCGCGCTGTAGCGAATCAAGTAAATATGACCATTTCTTTTAAGTTAAACAATTTCTAACGGTTTAAAACCCAAAGCTGCTGTAAAGCAACTGAGACGTCGATTTGTAGTTAAATAAAAAGTAAGTACGTTTGTAAACGTGTAAACAAAACACGTTAACGGTTTTAAACGCGATATATATTAGTTACACTACAAATACACAACAAAACAAATACCAACTTTGACTTCCTCAATCTTTAGTCTCCCCGTGATCACGGCTGCTGCAAAACATCCAGAACGTAGGGCCGTAGTAAAAATTATTCAAATAAGTTTAACTAATATATTGAATCGCGTTGTAAACCGTTAAAGTGGTTTTTACTTTAACTACAGATTATACGTGATAATATATTTTATTGTAATTCTTTTTAAAATTTCTTGTGTTGTCTCTGAATAAATGTCTGGATATTCTATATCATTTCTGTAGATTGGTTCAGTAACATTAGCGCGAACTAAATATTTGCCAACATTCAGATAACAAAATGGTAGAGATAAAACAATTTAATTTCCCGTTACAAGGCTCTGCCGTTTTCCGTATGCACAATACTACGAGACAAAGAGGTGTACAACGTTCTGGCGCCGGATCAGGAAGAAAAGCGCAACGCGCAGCGGTCCAGGTGCAACGGAAGACAGATCAACTCGTGGCTACAAGAAGTGGACGATAAGTGGGAGAAGATCAAGGTGCGCTTGCTTTATTATGTAGCTTTACTTTGTATAGTCATATGAGACCGCTAGAGGCAGAGTAGCCTAACTGCAATTTTATGGCCGGAGTTATTTATATTTTCTTAGTCTAAAAATGTTAATCTATAAGAGCACTATATATATTGATAACATAATTCTTACACAAGTAATAGTACAAGTTGATTGAAAATAATGTTTTTTTTTTGTTATTAGGCCACTGTGCCTAGCAGTCTCATAATGTCTTTATCATGTGAATCAAGATGTGAACGACAAGTAATCTTTTCAGGAGGGTATGATACGAAGACAGCAAACCGAAGCGGAGACACTGTACGCAGTGCAAGTGATGGGATGGGAATGGAAACTGAAGGAGCTGGGTCTGTGTGACCACAAGACCACACCGAAGATCGATCCGGCCCACGTGCCTCAAATACACGTCTCAAATTTTGATTTGCCCGCTTGAGTTTTAAGTTCATATTGCCTGAGTTCATGTGACGTCAGCGCGCCTGCGCACTGGCATAAATACTCTAAATTTAAATTTCGAACGGTCATCCATTTTTATAACAACAATTGGTAATACGAATCAAGCGGAGCTACTAAATTGGATTTTATCTAAATTCGGTTTACTCGATCGCCATCGAGCCTTCCTACGGGTGTCTTTCACTTGGTATCAGTGTCGGGCGACCTTCATTCTCGGTGTCTGTGTTTCTTTTGCCAAAAAGTCGTGCGCCACTGGTATATATTTTCCTAACGATTCTATTATATAGGTTTGAAATATACTCGAGATCTCATTCACGGCCTCTTTAGGTTGAACGATTTATTTCTCTCCTAGAATTCCTACTCTATGAGTGCCTGCTATGCTTAAACTTTAAGTGGGCGTTGGAACGAGATACCTGTTTTAGAATTTATTGAGGCTAACATGAAACGCTTCACTCTATTTTCATTTAATGTTTCATAATAGGATCCCAAGTTTCCAACGCCTGAATTTCTTGTCATAGTTTGCATTGTACATTTTTCTCATAAAACATTTGCTAAATATACTTACCTAACTTTCTAATTACGATTATGTTGTAAAAATTATTTATCGTACACAACATCATTAATTATTATGTTGTCTACGATAAATATAATAAATTATGATATTTTCTGAAAACCGTTTACAAAGGAGGGTTTTGCAGTTTCATGAATTTTTCTTAGTACGAGAATAAGATTTTGATTAGATGGACCATTTCAAAATGTACATAACCAACATACTTTACAAATCAAACATTATTAAAAAAAAGATTGTCGAAAATGTAACTAAACGCGTGGTAGAAATGCCTTAATTTCGTCTGGTTAATGAACCATAGTCCACAGATAGAAAGCCGTGAAGTGTAAATTTCCGAATGTCTCACAAATAATACGAACGTGATAATTTTGAATGTGTGTATACCTGCTTCGGTCGATGGCCAATTCAAAAGTTCTGACTTTGACATATCTTTCAAATTATTTTATTACTTTCTTATAGCTAATATAGTAACTATTGCCAGACACTTTTGGTAAAATTTTAAATTTCAATATCTTTCAATTTTTATATGCGATAGATATTTGGGGAACTATTTTAAGAACTATGGTTAGCAACAATTTGAAGGGTCCAAACATCCTCCCAGACAATGTCGCAATGCAAATATGGCATATTTAAGTCAAAAAGTGTAAAAATCTTTTTTTTTTTAATTTATATTTCTACTTCCTTACTATTCTTTAACACTGTTTTCCTTTCTTCCCACCACTACATAAATTTCGCAATTCACAAAATACACGATTTAAATATTTGGTATCTTACATTTTATAATACTAAAAATATATTTGTTCATTTATTTAAACACGCTATAAATGGAAATTCATTGAATCTACTTTAGAGAGTCTAAAGCTTTCACGCTTATATACATAGCTACACTATGTTTGGCCCTTCCAATTGCTCCGACTTCTAATATATCTTAATATAATGAATTGACCGTCGACCAGAGCTATCAGGCACACATGTGAGAAGTAACATCTTGGTGCACATTGGACCTTGCTTTAATAATTAAAATGCGTTAGTCTACCCGCATTTTTTCTACCAATATGGCTAAACGCTTATCTCCGCCGATTCGTTTTGAAAAATTATTCCACTGTTAGTTAGTTCATTTCACTTGGACGTTTTGAAGCTATAAGGCACCACGCTGTAGTGTGATAGAAGCGGAAAATCTGTGATAGTTGTTGTTTAACCGGGAGAAACCTATAGTATAGTTTTCTCCCGTTTTTGGAACATATCTTTAGTTTTCCGATGCTATACATCATAGCGGGATGTTTGATAGCCTATAGCCGTCCAGAGGAAAGAGCTACCTAACACCAATTTTTTAAACTGAGTTAGTTATTTGGTGATGAAGATGTTTAACGAAATTCATGGCAAACTTTCTCCTTTGTAAACGTGTTAATATCATTAAGATTATTCTGTGATAATTCTAAGATTAAAATTGCGACTTATTTTATAAAAGCAGTACCAAGTCTAAAATGTAATCTTCATATATTACTAGAGATATATACCAACCCTTGCCAAAAATCTTGCTTTTCTATGTGTCATGTATGATATATACTTAACTTGTTTTTGGCTAGAGTAGGAATATATCATCTTTTACATTTTGATAAGTTAATATTTTGAAATCTCCAAATTGGGACTGCTTTTATTTTTTGTTATTTTCTAAAACCCTACGAAATATATTTTGAAAAAGTATTTTGTCTTTTTTTTCCACTATTGAGAGGAATCTTTTCTAGGAAACACAAGACATTTGAAAACTTAAAAATGTTAAGTGTTTAGTGCCGCTGAATATAGTGGATGTCGGTTCTAGTCTCGCCTGTTTAATTTTTTTTAAATTAGATTTTTAACTAACACATGCCAGAAAGAAAATCTTGTACCACCTACGGCCAGGCCAATCAATTTCATTATTTACATAACTTTTTTTCTTTGTTCTGTTTCATAATGTTAATCTCAGGTTAAAAAAACAGGTATAAATAATTTTCTCTATATTAGAAACTACAAAACAATACAACAAAAACCATTAAAGTACATCTTACACAAGAGGAAGTTTTCTTATAAAGTAACGGTGCCACATAACTGCCGTAAACCCAGATAGCAGGTACCATGTTATCAAATACGACATGTGTTCATTTCTTAGATTGACCCGAGTTTGGTTGGGTAGTGGCCAGCCTTCTGGTGGTTCGGGGTTTCCTTTAGCATCTAACCATACAGGGGCGCAGTCCAAATAAGCACTCATCTGATTTAAATCCCTGAAAACAAAATTAGGTTAGTTGCGGTTAGCAAAGGGTGGAGTGATAACCCGATTTTCTATTCTACTGTAATCCCCAATAATACTAGTACCCTATAACATTCTGTAGCCAAGCAATAGTGGAAGAGGTAACAAATGAATCATAAAATTTTAATTAACTATTTTCAGTATTGTTACATGTAAAATATACTTCCAAATTTATTGTAGGTACCCGACTTCATGCAACATCCGTCAACAAAATAATAATGCTAATATGAAATACAACACTTAAGCAGATTTATAAGTTCACAATATACCGGATATGTGACACCCAACACAATATAAACTTAGATTGCAAAAAATGTTTCAAAAACCGATGGGACTCAAACCAGCATCTACAGTGATCCATGCTGCTGCTCTAACCAATAGAGCTTGCAAAGGAATAATGCAGCATGATGCATATCTCTTAGCAAATGCAACAATATACATTGTATGCTCACAAGTAAATACATACAAAAAAGGATTAGCTCTTGTAAATTCCTAGGAATTAAACAATATTATACACCAAAAATTGTTGACTAGTACCAATATCCGTCTCTGTTGGCTAGTACTATAATATTCTTGCTATCAAAAATAAGTTATGTAAAAAAGTATATTGTAGTACTCAATTTGTTTTTAAATACCACAGTTTCTTACCTATAGAACCATGATCCTTTCACTGGGTTGTTTTTGGGCATAAACGGACCTCTCGTCTCTGTTAATCTAACAGTTCCAACCAATTCCACCTCATCAGTGATCATTGAAGCCTGACGTTTTTCTTTTGGGCGTAATTGCTGAGGAATCCAACCACGATTTACTAAAATCACCTCCCTGTAAATGTCTGATCTGTTTAATACTGATCTAAGTTTTTGTTAGATTTTAGCTTAAATATTTTTATTGTAGACGATTAATACAATTTAGTGATTCAAGTTAAATTAACATATGAATGTAAAAAAAATTACCCTGTTTCCGACAGTTTAAAAGGTGTTACCACCAGCCATCCTTGATTCTTCTTGGGATCAGACACAAGAGAACCGGTTCTTGGTAAGACTTCATTCTCCACTAACGACCTTGGGCCAATCAATATTTCCTTGTCATGTAAAAATTTGCCTTTTACTTTCACAGATTTATATTCCATTGTCTGAAGTTTATTGAAACTGAAAATGATCATGATAAAAATAAAATCTCTTTGTGATTCTCCATTTCTCTTGTAATCGTAATATCATTATAATCAATGCAACGTATGTCTTTTTATAAATCATGATATAGAAGAATAACTAGCATTGTATGGCTACTAATCAACGGGGCGTGGATTCTATCCCAACTGGTTACAACATGTTTACAATTGTTGGACTTTGTCTGGAAATCTGGATACTAAATGGGTGGTAGGAATATAAAAATTCCATCCGGGTCACAGACCAACGTCCACAGATGAAAATACCATGAAGCTTAATCTTGATTCGGTTTCAGTCTGTGGATTTCTGAATATCCAAATCCAAAATAGGTCAATAGGCGCATCTTGTTTAAATGCTATAGGCTGGGGTATATCAACTACCATCAAGTGCACCCCAATTATGTGCACAGACATGAATGGGGGGGGGGGAATCCCCTACCATTAAAAAGAAACACTATTTAAAAAAGTAACCTCTAATTAATCTAGTCTAAGAGATACATTGGCAAGGAATTATTTTCAGTACTTAACTTACTCGAGAGGCATATCCACTGGAGGTGAGTTTGTTTTTGATTGCATTTTATCTATCAGTTCTAGTTTCCACTGCAGCCGATAAACTTGCCAACATCCTAAGCCAAACGAACCTGCTGGTATAACCTATGGATAACAGATAAATTTTCCTTTGAGATTGGTATATATTGTCTTATCAGAAAGTATCAAACATCAGTGATAGCATGAAAAGTTACCTTATTATTCATTTTACCAAACATATAATCAAATTTTTAGCTTGAATGATTTAGCGATAAGACAAATTTTCACAGCAAAGCAGCCACATTCTAACAATAATAAATCTACACTAATACAACTGAAGAGTTTGTTTGTAAACATTAATCTCAGGAACTACGGGTTCGAATTGAAAACAATTTTATGTTGGTTAGAGCATTTATCGAGGAAGGCTATAAAACAACATATGTGACTAATAGCTATGAAGAAACAGTGGGAAATTTGATAAAGGCGGAGAAAATCATTCATCTTCGTGGGCTTCCTTCACGTGCGCTTGGAAAGCGGTTCTAGATATAATATGTATGAATGAATGATTCCTCTTTAAATTATGTAAAAAATGTTCAAGACAATATATGTCTATCTTTAAGATTAACTTGCCAGAATGACGGGACGCGACGATTTAGTGGATAACAACTAAAATTTAAAAGATAAGGAGGAGGTGTGCAATAACTAATTTTGATACCCACAATAATTATTCTACGCGGCCGGAGTCGCGGCCACAGCTAATTTCCTTACAACTATCTATTTACAGATGGATTACAATAGTATTTAATGTGTTACTAACTCACCAATAAAATCCATTTAATAACTTCTCCTGGTTCCTTTTCCCGCACCTTTTGCAGACGAACTGAGCCCGATGTAAACTTTGAATTTTGCCTTACAACATTTAGAGACAATTTTTTCGAATCACTACCGAGCAAAGTTCTAGTCATAACACGTAAAGCGCTTAGCATCTTCATGATTTAAAATAGTAATATGTAAAGAAAAGGTAAATTTAAAAGCACAAATGACAAAATAAAAGTTCAAAGAATATGTTATGGTATAGATAATGTGACATTAGGTAATAATGTCAAATTTGACACAAAATTAGTGTTGTCAGTTAATTACGAATTAGATGTGCAAATATTACAATTTATATAAAAAATATATATACATTTGATATAAATTGTAAATGGATAAACTTCCATAAGCATAAATTTAATAATAATATTCATGAAATTAAGATACAAAAGTACGAAATAGCATTAGTCAATATATAAGTTCTATTTTTTTCTGTTTTTTAATTCTGTATCGGTTATAATATTGATGGATAATAAAACCAAAATTATTCTTCTTTATTTTCTGTCATTACATTTATAATTAAGTTATCTATCTACTTCCTAATGGTTATAAGTCTGTTACCATGAGCTAGTAGGTAGGCAAAATAATACGTTTAATTTTGAATCTTGACTGCATTAAGTACGTAAAGATCTTTAAAATCAAAACATATTTCTTTTAAATTCTGTCTGTAGTTTACGCGAGTAGTACACATTTAAATAAAATACTTTAACCGTTTAAAACGCGATATACATTAATTGAATTTGGTTGAAAATCTTTTGTCTCCCCATGACCACGGCTGCTACAAAGCATCCGAAACGTCGGGCCGTAGTTAAATAACTTTCAAATAAGTATAATAATATATTTTAAACCGTTAGAGTGTTTTATTTAAATATTTCTCTTCTTAGTTCGGTAAGAGATGTGTTCAAGGTCTATCATGATCAATCCACGGCAGCATTTGCTGGCGGCTACCGAACGCGCATGCGCGCCTCATGCATGCGTCATTCAATACGTAATCGCAAGTGGTGCCGAGTGACATCCCTAGCTTTAACTGCGAATCTCATTCAGTAACCGCGAGGGCACCGTTCAAACCACACTGTTTAAAATATCGCGCGTTAAACAAGCTCAGTCGCTATGTCGCGCGTTTATCAACCTACAGCCCACGTAGTGGGAAAATCGAGACTGCCGTCATTTGACAAATACAAAGAGATGCACAAAAAATCCCTCGAGAACCCCGAAGAGTTCTGGTCAGAAATAGCCAAAGAATTCTTTTGGCAGACACCGCACCAGCCCGGCAAATTCGTATCTTACAATTTTGATTTAACGAAGGGCGACATTTTCGTTAAATGGATGGAGGGCGCGTCCACCAATATTTCGGTGAATTTGCTGGACAGAAATGTGGAGAAGGGGTACGGTGACAAGATCGCTTACTACTGGTGAGTTTCGTTGGCGATTCCCAATTGCCTCAATCGATAGACAGCTGAGCGAATGTAGTACACCGAGCCACTGAGACGGCGCGAATTATTGATTTTCCGCTGTGCATACCTAGTTCCTTGAATTTCCTCATCCTAACGAGCATTATGTCATACAATTTATTACGCTTTTAATTTCGAAAAATGCTTAATGGCTGCGAAACTTTTCGTTCGTTCAACGCTTTGATCTTATGTTTTATTTTATTACAATTTTGCATTCCGAGCTTCTTTAATTATGGTATAAATATCGTGTTTTTTACGTTCTTTCGAAGTAGGCGCATAAAACTTTACCTAGCAATGTTTGAACACTTCGTAATAGGTATATAAACTGAAATCATAATTCAATATTAACTCTAATGTCTAATGTGTCTTTGTTAAGTAATAAACACATTAACTTAGAGAACTATTCGAAATCATACTATGTAGTTTGATTATTCTCTTTCAATATTAATTAAAATGGTGACCTTTGACCAACAGCAAGCAATAGCATTCGAAAGGGCATAGTAAGTGGGTAATGTATGTAAAAACGTGATACGTAGATACAGAATCAATATTATAGTAAAGGACTATTGTTTTAATTCGTTCATTACAATCTCCAAAATGGCTAGAAAAGAACAACTTGACATCGCAAGTGTTAGGTTCTTAAATCTATATTTGTTACAAACCTGAACACGCTAATCTCAGGAACCACAGGTTCGAATTGAAAAAAAAATACTTCCCTTGCAAGCGCTGCGAAAAAGGTTCACGAAACCAAAATATAATTATAAAACAGTTATTCCTTTTTAACCAAAGATGCCGCATCACCTTTCAAATCAAACTTGCAACAACCGTTTTTATATTGAAATTTGGTCGTTATTAATGCATTAGCACTTATTCGTTTGAGTTTTATCAACACAATATTTATATATCGCAAACAAATAACGTTTTCCGGATCAGCTAGTTTATACTATAAAGTAACTTTCCTTTCAAGTTATGTATAATGATGTGTTATGATAAGATAATTGCTGTTACTTTGGTGTTGTAAACCCTTGAGAACTAGCGAGTATTTTGACAATTACTTCCTCATGCTTGCCCATGAGTTTCATAGTAGAACTGTGATTAGCGGTTTTATGCGGTTTAAATGCGGAAGCACGCACTTGACCAGAATATTATCCTAAGTTTAGTAGCTAGTAACAAATGAGACGAGTTAAATTAAATGTTAATAAATATGTAAGTCGTTATACAATAACTTTTAAATATATATTTAATAAAATATTAGTAATTACTTAAATACTTAAAATGAGTAAGCTAAGCACCTCATAATTATTTTATTACTAGCTGTCGCTGTCAGCGACTTCGTCCACGTAGAATAGTTATTTTGGACATCCAAATTTGTTTTCGCAAATCTCCTCTTCACCTTCATCATTTAAAGAGAATCCTCTTATATATATTTTTTGTGTAACCGTTCTCGAAGTGTACGCAACGGAAACTCTCAAAGATCAAGAATTATTTCTTTGCTCTTAGTAGTCATAGCGGTATGTTTTATAACCTAAAGACTGCCTCGATAAAAAAAACAATACATTTTCAATTCAAACCGGTAGTTCTTGAGATTAGCGCGTTCAAACAAACAAACTCTTCATTTTTTGTTTATAACATTAGTACAGATGTTAGTCGTTATACATTAGTACATTAGAACAATTAGTATATTTAGTAAAACATTAGTAACTACTTAAATACTAATAATGATTAAGCTAACGACCTCGTAATTATTTAATTATTTTGATTATTGACTGTTGATAACACACAAAAGGTTCGCCTTATCTTTGTAAGAGAAAGTAGTTATAATATAAATTTTATTCATCTTATCGTACTGAATAATTTAAGAAAGTAGGTTACTTACATTTCCTGACTTAATAGACCTACGCATTGAGGAAAGGTCCTTGGTTCGAAGTCAGGTGAAAAATGTATAATCAAAAGAATAAAGATATCACTTTTTACGCGGATTTACTATACTCACACAAAAGTTAAAAATTAGACTGGTTTTCCAAAAATTAATAATTTATATTATTTTAACACCCGTGTGTATATAATATCAAGCCTCCATGGAGCATGGGGCAAACACATACCTATCTGATACCGAAAGAATAAATTATTTCCCCGGGACTCGACCCCAGGACCTCACGCGCATAAGACACTGCAGGGCAACACGTTTAAACATTTAGCTACGGTAGATACCTTATTCGATGTATTCATAATATAATACGTTTCTTTAACTTACTACGAGTGTTCAAATCAAAAGTAGACCCACTGCACATCTTACACCCCCCTTGTCTGTACCTTCTGGAATAAAAAGTAACGAGGCTTACATAAGACCTGCTGCATTGGAGGTGTGCCAGGGTCACTGTCACTTGGACTTAAGGAGACCCAATTACGTATGCAACTTGCTGGGACCGACCTAGTTTCGTGGTTTGAATTTTGTTCAAATATTTTATTAATAGATATTATTTATCATTACTAATGTTTTAAACTGAAGAGTTTGTTTGTTTGTTTCAATGCTCTAATCTCAGGAACTGCTGGTTTAAATAGAAAAAATATTTCCGTGTTGGTTAGAGCATTTATCAAGTAGGGCTATATAAATTATAAAATACGGTAAGAGCGAAGATACAACGGGAAATGTGGAAAAAAAGGGGAAAAAATATCATTCATCTTTATGGGTTTCCAAAGCGTACGTTACTAGTAAAATACCCAAAAAATGTGTATAAAAATTATCTTTATAATATTATTTAAATATTCCTTTTTCAAATGATCTCAAAAAAATCCAGAAACAAATTCAGATTTCTAAATAATAGTTATTTACGCGGGCGAAGTCGCTGACACACCTAGTACTCTGTAATCAAAAAGGCTACCTGAATAAGGTTAGGTGTGGTATGTATTTAATTAAAGTATTATTAACCGTTTAAAACGCGAAATATATTAGTTATGTTTATTTTTACGACCTTACGATTCTGCATCCAAATCATTTTACCAATCGTTGCCTTATTGTATTTAGATATCTCAAATACACACAGTAAAGATTTGTTGAAAAACGTTTTCATATTAATTTTAATAATTATAAATCATACATTTAAGAACAAAATGTGCGAAATAAACTGTCAATAAAAATTTAATTTATGCAAAATAAAGTATCACCATCATTTATACCAAGACTTATGAAATTAAATGTCAATAACTGAAATTAAACACTTATTTAATGGGTTGAAACGCAGTTCGGATGCTTTGCAGTAGCCGTTGTCATGTCGTGACGTAGTTAAATTAAATTAAAATAAGAATTTTTTAAGAATCACTTGCATGAACGACAGGACGAGACCGACTTCGTGCGTGACAGCTAAAAATTTTTACAGATTAAGAGGACGTTTTAAAAAACCAATTTGGATGTCCAAAAATATTTCTCTTCGCGAACGAAGTCGCTAACGCAGCTAGTAAACTATATTAAAACAAAGTCGTAATTTATTTATAGTACGACCTCAATTGACAGAGCAACCGAGTCATAATTGTTTACAATCTAAAATTACCTTCAATTTATAAAAGGCCATTAGAAGTTATGTATATTTAAAACCTTCATGTTACATTTAATTTATAAGAATTGTTATGTAGTATATTGTGTGCGAGTATATTTATGACTAGCTATGCCAGCGACTTCGTCCGCGAGAATCGCTATTTTGGGCATCGAAATGAGTTTGTATAAACCCCGTCATTTTTATAAGCTCAAGCTGTTAGCAACGACGTCGATCGCGTCTCTTACCGTCGTTCTTACAAGCTAATCTTAAAAGATAGACAAATAACGACTTTTTTTTAGATCATTTAAAGAGGAATCATTCTTTTATACACATTTTTTAGTTATCTTGAACCGTTTTTGCAGCGTACGGAACTGAAATTCACAGAGATGAAAAATTTACCCCGTTTTGTTCACTTTTCACTGTATCTTCGCTTCTATTAGTCACAGTGCGATGTTGCATACTATGATGAATGGTCTAACCAACACAAAAAAAAATTCAATTCGAGCCCGTAGTTCCAGAGATTAGCGCGTTCAAACAAACAAACAAACTCTTCAGCTATATATATTAAGTATAGATATTCTAAAGTCTTCATAGGGGTTGTCCATTAATCACGTGATCTTTTTTTTTGAATTTTTTAACCCCCCCTCCCCCTTCTAAACATCACGTGTATTTTTAGTACCTACAAAGAATCTTAAAATTTTCTGAATATTATCTTAATTTAAATACAGGTATAGACTATAATCTTATTTTATTCTGAAATTAAAGACCATAATAAAAATGTCTACACCATTTGTTTAAAAATCGCGCGTTTGAGAAGACGAACACGAGAAGTAATAAAAGGTTATAATGAGTCTAATGTATTTCCCGGAAGTATTTCGCGGCCTCCCGTTGAGTCAAACTGAACATCAAATTTTTACTTTTGCAAAAGTAACGATTTTACTTTATAGGATAGAGAAGGGCAAACAAGCAGGGAGTTCACTGGATGGAAGGTCTAATACCCTAGCCTTATAACATCTAAACAAGAAACGTTTTTGGCTTTCGATATCCAATTTTCAAGATTCAAACTTCGCGGCTTATTCTATATAGGATGATTCGTGGCGGACGAACTTTCGATCTTGCTACCATCTATTTAAAATAAGATTTCCAGGCGAAATCCGAAGAGTTTCAGAAAAATTATATTCGGAAATCTACAGACTGAAACTGAAACGCGATTCACGGATTTCACATGTGGATATGAAATAGGAAAACTTGGTGTCGGAACAGAAATTAGACAAAATAATCTTTATGATTGATTGACTCGTGATGAAAGATAGTTATGTACCGTCTTTCCTTAACAATTAATCTTTTGACATCAATTGACAAGTATCAAGTGGTCATATAATTTTCTTGAGTACCTACTCGTAAACTTGTAATGATTTTTATATAATGTATTATGTCTTATTTAAATATGTACTTAAGCTAGTTACACACCACCTAAAATGTAAATTCCAACATACAACAGATAAATATTGGCTTGCCTAAGGTCGGATTCTATTTGTGTTTCAACGAAGATTCATGAACCTTGTAGGTACATACTGTATTTGAAGAGTAGAAACGATTATGGTAATTTTGTCTGGAGAACTCTCTTTAACTTTGTTTTTTTTATATTTATTTCTTTATACATTTGTACATATGCTCGCCGGGCATGAGAACGCCAAAGCGGTTTATATATCCCAGGGGTCACTCGTTAATCAATATAAACTATACCCTATACCTATACCTTAAATTACCTAACACTCTTACCCTATTCTAAATTAACTAATTACCTAACGAACTAAAATGTCGTCCGCACTGATGATGGAAATTCTTTTTGATTATTTCCTTACTCTTCCGGCGTGATAACTTTGAGTATATTGTTGTTGCAGACATACTGTTGTTATACGAGATGAGAGTCTTATTAACTATCAAACGAATAACGATTTTTCTTTTGTTCGCATGTAGATAACACTATGAATTTGCTTAAGTGCCTAGTATTATGTACTTTTTAGTTTCATAAGTACTTTGAGCAACTGACGTGACACACGGTAGCACAGTTTGGATCGCGCTTCATGCCCGGCCCGGGTCATCGAATGATTTCAATTTTCAACCTTAATCGATTTATGATTTCATGGTATAGTTATTTAAAAATCGATGTTTAAATTGAAAATAATTTATGAAAAGAGCAGGTCTCGAACCGCCATCCATAGCGTTCCTTGCTGTGGCTCTAACGAATTACGCTACCGTGTCTTACACGTGATCGTCGAATTTATTCAATCTATTGATATATGCGCGGCTAAGTTAAAAATCGATTTTTAATTTAAGTATATAGTGCCATCACGTGCAAGTTCTCAAATGTTATAGTGACAATTTTTTTTTTTTATAGATATCCCTTCCATTATTTGGTATCTATATTAAGATGAAATACAGCTAAATTGTCCGAGCATGGAATTCGTCTATTTCTCGTCTAAATTGTCTTGTGATTGTTACAGGGAAGGAAACCACCCGGACGACTACAGTCGCATAACGTATAGGAAACTTAAGGATCTGGTGTGCCAATTTGCCAATGGTCTGCGATCGAGGGGTGTCCGTAAGGGCGATAGGGTAGCGATCTATATGCCGATGATCTTGGAGACTGTTGTCTGTATGTTGGCGTGTGCGAGAATCGGTGCTATACACTCTGTAGTGGTAAGTTTTTTCTATTTGTTCACATATTTTTATAATAGAATGCTCTATAGCTTTTGATGCTTCTAGAAGCTTACCAGGGTTGAAGCATAAATATTTTGTTCTGTTCTGTTCATGTCAAGAAGAGAAGTGAAATAATCTCTTCAACATAAACGATTACCTTCTTATAATTTAACTAAAGATCCTGGAGATTTTAAAACATCTCTTTAATTTAAATAAAAAAGTGTTGCCTGCCTATTATTTACATACAGAAAATAGAAGAATAAAAGAGAAGAAACTTTAACACCCCATCTTAATCGTGGTGGACATACGTATAAGATATCACTAGAATATCTATTTTGGCATCAATATTAGTACTGTCTATAGTTTACGCGAGTAGTACACATTTAAATAAAACACTTAACGGTTTAAAACGCGATATATTAGTTAAACTTATTTAGTTAGTCTCCCCGTGACCACGGCTGCTGCAAAGCATCCGAAACGTCGGGCCGAAGTTAAAAATCATTTTCAAATAAGTTTAACTAATATATCGCGTTTTAAACCGTTAAAGTGTTTTATTTAAATCAAAATCAGTTTTTGCTAGTCATTTAAAATTATAACTGTTACTTCTGCCATCGTCCGTGTCGCGTCGTTCATGCAAGTTAATCTTAAAAGATATTTTTTTTTAACAATTTAAAGCGGAATCATTCTTTCACACATACTCTTATTTTTTGGGTATCCTATACCTTTATTACAACGCCCACAATTTTCCCCGTTTTTGCCATATTTCTTACTGTATCTTCGCTCTTATTATTCGCCACGTGATGTTTTATATCACAAAGCCTTCCTTGATAAATGCTCTAACGAGAACAATAAGAATTTTTTTATTTAAACCACTAGTTCCTGAAATTAGCGCACACAAACAAACTCTTCAGCTGTATATATTAGTATAGATGAATATATCTTATTATATAATTTAGTTCGCAGGTTTTTCCTCCGACTCGCTGGCCGAAAGAATGTCTGATTGCAAGGCTAAAGTCCTGGTGACCGCTGATGGAGGTTGGCGTGGGGAGAAACTGCTTGTATTAAAGAAGACATGTGACGAGGCCTTGGAGAAATCGCTGAAGAAGCACAATCACAAAGTGGAGATGTGTGTTGTCGCTTCGCACCTCGCTAAGGCAACGCCTTGTGGAAAGCTGGACGACGTTAAGTCATTGGTAGGTGAAAGTGTACTTTCTTGGAAAATTTATTGACCATATAAAAATAAATTGAAAAAATTTTCGAGGCGGGCAGGGCTTGAACCGGCATCGTCAGCGTTCCGTGCTGTTGCTCTACCAATTGAGCTACCGAGTGCTACACCTGTACATGTAAAAATTAATAAAGTTTTCAAATATATGTTGTTAAATACTGTCTATAGTTTACGCGAGTAGTACACATTTAAATAAAACACTTTAACGGTTTAAAACGAGATATATTAGTTAAACTTATTTGAAAATGATTTTTAACTTCGGCCCGACGTTTCGGATGCTTTGCAGCAGCCGTGGTCACGGGGAGACTACGGGGTCACGAAGTTAAAAATCATTTTCAAATAAGTTTAACTAATATATCGCGTTTTAAACCGTTAAAGTGTTTTATTTAAATATATGTTGTTTCCAAAACTTTTTTACGACTTTGTTGGTGCTATAGGAATGTATGGCTAATAATCAACGAGTCACTTCGGTCGGGCTTGATACCCACCGGGTCCAACATTGTTCTAAAACTTTTGAGAAATCGGTATATTAAATGGTGGGAATATTGAAATTCCATCCGGCACACGAACCACATCTGTGGATATATAGTCTGTGGATATATAGTCTGTGGCTTAATAAGCCAAATTAAATCGACAATGCATATATTTAGTTCTTTCACCTACCACCATATGAAGCACATACTTATCGTGGCCTTGGGGAGGCTTTTAATTATAATTGAACATGACAAGGCTACTTCATGTTTAATTATTTTTTGTTTTAATTACATTGAAATTATCATAACAAATAACTTTATTTCATTGGCTTATGTCCGTGGAAAGACCCGTAGTTACAATGTTTTCCGTGATCAGTATAAACATACATATAGACAAATATATATTTTTTGGTGACTTAATTTTACCTTCTATTTAGTAAATGTACAAATATCTTGAGTTACTATCTAGTAAAGCCGTAAATAGACACACACACACACACAGAAACATGTCTGACGTGTCATGAGTTTTTACTATAACACTCTCTTCTTGGTTTTCTTGTATTGTAAAAAAAATGCGTTACGATGTAGAGAAATACATTATTATAACATTATGTGAATATTGTGACTTATTTTTATAAACATTTCAGTATAAATGGAACGATGATATTGACGTCTGGTGGCATGACCTCATAGAAGATGAATCGAACCATTGTACTCCGGAGTGGATGGACGCTGAAGATCCTTTATTTATGCTGTATACGAGGTGAGTGACTTATCTTCTCGTGATTGTGATAACAGTCAAATCAATACAAGCATTTAATATAACTACTGCAGGAACAAAATAGAAACTATACAAACTAAACCATTTTCGACTCGGGCAGGACTTGAACCGGCATCGTCAGCGTTCCATGCTGTTGCTCTAACCAATTGACCTACCGAGTCATTTAATTTTAAGAGGGTCGATGGAGACTTTTCACAATTCATTTATTCATTCGATTTTTATATACGACATATAGTGTGCTTGAAAATTTTACTGGAATTTCTGGACTGCAATTTGAAACCAACACGTATCTATTTTGCTCTTACAATATGTATTCACACAATTGTATTTCACAGCGGTTCCACGGGTAAACCGAAGGGTGTTCTTCACACCACTGCTGGTTACTTACTCTACGCGGCCACCACCTTCAAATACGTCTTCGATTATGGAGAAAATGACATTTATTGGTGCACAGCTGATGTTGGCTGGATCACAGGACACACGTACGTCGTGTATGCACCTCTCGCAAACTGCGCTACATCTGTTATGGTAATTATATTTTTTTGTATCCAATTATTTTCAACAGGGTTGTTCGTAATGTATGGCCAAGAATCAACTCTATCTCCACAGGGTCCACCACGATTGACTATTTATAATGTTTTTCAAACATGCTGGACTCGGTCTGGAAATCTGGATGTTAAAAGCGTCCACCGTCCAGAAAAAAATCGTTTGTATGTGACTCTGGATTTCCGAATATCATATGCCAAAATAGGCCAACAGCGCATCTTATCGGGGTGTCATATATCGTGCCTGTGTCATCGTCAAGTGTATTCTTATTTAAAATTTGAAATTCACTAAAACTATGATGAAATCTTTTTTGTTTAACGCAAGAGCAAGTTTTAGGTTCAAACATTGTATGCCGTTATATTAACCCAGATAAGAAAGTGTATCTGTGGTGTCCGCTTTTTTTTACTTTCACTATTTATATTTCAAATCAAATTGAAAATCTAAATTTTAGGCGACTAAAGCATTACTCAGTCTAAATATACTATCAGAGCAACGTACGTTTGTCTCACATTATTTTTAATTACTTGCGTTATCGATACTTACGTGTTTAGGTTAGACAATGATAGTCTAAACAATTATTTAAAAGCGTTTTTCCGTTGTCATTCTTGTAAGATAATAAAAAACTTGTAAATCACAATAAAGTGACACTGTATTTAAAGTGAAGGGCGTAAAATTTACTAAACACTTTCGCCGCGACTTGGTCTGCTTGGAAGCGTGACTTATGGCAGCATGCTAATTACTAAACAAATATTTCCCTCATTCATTTAAAATATGTCTTACTTGCAGCAAAAAAAAATGGAAAATGCATTTTTTTTGCCAAGTTAAAAAGTAATTTTCTTTTTTACCATGGTAAAAATTAAGTACTGTCTGTAGTTTACGCGAGTAGTACACATTTAAATAAAACACGTTAACGGTTTAAAACGCGATATAAATTAGTTAAACTAATTTGAAATTATTTTTAACTTCGGCCCGACTCGTCCCTGTCGACGTTGACTCCCGGTACCAAAAATTAAGTATTAAAAATAATAAATAAGTTTAACTAATATATGTCTCGTTTTAAACCGTTAAAGTGTTTTATTTTTGATTTCGAAAATCTATAAAAGTCTATAATGTTTTCAGTGGCATCCGATTTCAGAAAACCTACGTATTGTGTGCGTCAATGTTGAATCTATATGTTCAGACTTGAAAACTGTGATAAAAACCGCACAGTAGTTTCGGATAATATCGAATATCTACAAACAGAATATAAAATATTTTGCCACTCTTCAATGCTAGACATTAAATGTAACGAATTTGATTGCTCACTAGACGTAATATGGCCTGAATATATATATGTTCAGTAAACAATTTAAAAGAGTGAGATCCGCGCAGTAGTTTCCGGTAATGTAGAAGACATACAAACATAATACTTAAAAAAAATTAGACATTTTATTTTATTAAATATATAAAAAGTAATTGCTTTCATGACATAATATGACCTGACTCAGTGAAAACTGGAAAACAGTGAGATCCGCGCAGTAGTATCGGATAATATCGAATACATACAAACAAAATAAATTTAAAACTTTTTGTCGCTGCAATAAGACAGATTGATATCCGTTACTTTTATTAAATATGACGAAATTTATTGCTTTGATGACGTAATATGGTACCGTCTTATTTTAAATTTGGTACACATTCCGTACCTGTACCATACTTAATTATACTTTTAGCGTTGTGAATATTGATCATGCTATCTAGATTCTTATTCTTCTTCTAGATACGTCTTGATACCTTTTACTGTACAATCTCTATCACCGCTTCACAACATCACTTATCTCTCAAGTTCAGGCTAACTATGTCAAGAGAGCAAGCGTCCACACGCGATTCTATCTCAAAATTGTTATCAACTATTTCCTAGGAAACATTGTTGAAAGTCATTCATTATTATAGATTATGAATCGTACTTTATGGCGTGATATAAGTTTTTTGAGTGCGTTTTATGTTTCTGTTTATTTACGAGGTAATATTACGAGGAAAAAAGCTGCTTACGTGTTTGATAGAAGTGCGTCGGTAGATTATAATTGATTATAAAAGGGTTTTCAAAGCTTTTTAGCTAGAAAAGTTACAAACATGAATAATTAAAAAGGACAAATATATGTTATTTATTTATTGATAATTAAAACCTGTAAAGCTCTTTTAACGGTTGTAACGCGAAATATATTAGCTATACTACATCCTACAGTTTCGGCGGTCTTGCAGCGGCAGATTTTACCAGTGGGGGGGGGGGGGGGTGTGACTTAATATTTTTCGAGATTTAAACCATTAAGAGTATTTTGGTAGGCAGAGTACTTGGTAGAGACTTGATAGAGTAACATAAAATATATAAATAAATTTCTAACAGTCATGATACTTATCTACTGAAATCTCGTGACGTTGATAACTGTGGTTCAAGTTCCAACGTTAGATAAGGGAAAGCCTTACGTTCATCTGAATTACAACTAATAGTTAATAAAGAAATCTTATTTTCGTTGAGTACTTTGTAGAATAAACGGTACATTTCGTGAAATTGTAAGGCAAGATGACTATGGGTAGCTTACAAATTATATAAAAAATATTGTTGTATACTGTTGTATGTTGCAAATTATCACACAATCAAAGATCTTTCGTGGCTCAAATCGTAAAATTTGATATGGTGTTTAAATTAACCTTTAACAGTTTAAAACACGAAATATTACTTAACCTGAATTATGTCCCCCCGAAACAACTACGTTGTGCTTAAGTTAGTCTTATCTAATATATCGCGTTTTAAACCGTTATTAGCTCTTTTTGTATGCTACTTGAGTAATCTACAGGCAGTAGGTACTTGATATGAAATTTATTCTACATCGTAAAATGATGTATTTTTAAATAAAATGATTTTTAACTTCGGCCCGACGTTTCGGATGTTTTGCAGCAGCCGTAGTTAAAATAATTTTCAAATATGTTTAATTAATATATATCGCGTTTTAAACCGTTAAAGTGTTTTATTTAAATGTGTTCTTCTCACATAAACCACAGAGTACAAACCCTATTTAACTTTTATTTTTTAATAAATTCATTTAAAAATACACGTGTAGGTTCAGAGTATCAACATTGTATTGTTATTAAAAGTTATTTCAATCGAATACTATTAATTATAACTATTAATAATTATTCGATAATCTCTTCTAATGAATATAATTATGCTAATGCTTATTCTTTCCTTTTTTTGCCTAGTTTAATTATTGCTTTTTGTTGCCTTTTATAATGAGGAAAGTAGATTTAGGGTTTTTTTTCTTTCCAGTTCGAAGGAACACCGTTCTATCCAGACTACGACCGCTATTGGGCTGTGGTGCAGAAGTACAGAGTGAACCAGATGTACACAGCACCCACGGCTCTCCGTTCGCTTATGAAGTTTGGTGATGACTACGTTTCCAAGTGAGAAAATTTCGAAGACCAATTGATAATTTAATTGCCCGTTTTTCTTCTCGTAGTTATCTTAGCCTTGTTCTCATCCAGCGCGGAGTCGCGTGTAAATTTCTTGTATATTCACGAATTCGTTAGTTACCTTACGTTTAGCTACTAGCTGACCTGGCGAACATTCCCCGTCTTTCCGCATTATTGTTCCTTCGCTCCTATTGGTCACAGCCTGATTTTTTATAGACTGAAGCCATTCTCGATAAATGGTCTAACCAAGACAAAATAATTTTTCAATTCCGACCAGTAGTTACTGAGATTAGCGCGTTTAATCGAACTCTTCAGCTTTATAATATTGGTAAACATACGTTTTTGGTTCTCTGTATCATGAGTCTGAATATTTTCACACTTTAGACAAAATGACGGCATGGACACGTTAAAACCTTGAAGCAGAGCAGTATTCTAATGTCACGATTGTAGTCCAACCCTTAATAATGGATTTTGGAAATAATCTGCAAATTTAGTTCGAGTTTTAAAGTTCGAGCATAACTTCGTCCTTTATAAACCGAATGTGGTGTGCGTATGAACTAGAGAATTCGCGGCGAACTTTTCAAAATTGTAGGGAGTAGTGCATGGTCTTTTTGTTACCAGTTTGTCGTCGGTCATTTTTTATATTAAACATGATTTGTTTGAGTCAGGCCGAAAATAAAACATCTAATGTAATATAACTAGTGGAAAGTGGAGGTTTATGGGATTAAAATTCTTCTTTTAGGCATAACATGGAATCTTTACGGGTACTAGGCAGCGTGGGAGAACCGATCAATCCAGAAGCGTGGCATTGGTACTACAATCTAGTTGGAAATGGGCGCTGTTCCATTGTGGATACCTTCTGGCAAACAGAGACTGGTGGGCACGTCCTCACCAGCTTGCCGGGCGCCACCCCCATGAAACCTGGGGCTGCTGTAAGTGGTCTTATACTGTGCTGACTTCTTACATATTTTTATATTAATACGTTAAGAAATGAAACTATCCGTACATTTTTCATCTTTCTAAAATTTCTTTCATTATCCAGGGATTCCCATTTTTCGGAGTGGAGCCGAGTATTCTGGATGAAAGCGGCAAGATTATCGAAGGGCCAGGCGAAGGCTACCTGGTATTCTCCCGGCCCTGGCCAAGCATCATGCGGACACTGTTTGGGAACCACGAGCGTTATGAACAAGTCTACTTTTCCAAGTTCCCGGGATACTATTGTACGGGCGATGGTACGTTTGAAACTGAGAATTTATTATCTCTACATTATTATAGGTTTACGACAAAGCTTGTTTACCTAAATACATTATAATAGTTACATCTCTTTCTAGAACTATATTTATTAAAATTTTATGCATCTTTCTTATTTAACATGTTATATTACTACGAAAGGCACGCATGTAGAGATGTGTAGTAAAACGTTTTTCATGTACATACATATAACATTCTAGACATTCATTTCTGGTATAAATTACAATATTTTACCAAATTACCACACCACATACATTTGGGAAAAGGTTTAAAATATAAATTAAGATTCGATTAAAAATTTAAAACTTTACGACTGGGGCAGGACTTGAACCGGCATCCGCGTTCCGTGTTGTTGTTCCAACCAATCGAGTTACCACAAAATTTATACAAAATTCAATAATAAGAAGATACTTAACACTAAAAGCATGCTTTATTTACATTTCAATATAAACACCATTGACGCACATCATACAGTCAACATTAATGACGTCATTGTTCTACAGGAGCAAGGCGTGACGAAGACGGTTTCCTCTGGGTGACTGGGCGTATTGATGACATGCTCAACGTATCCGGGCATTTGATGTCAACGGCGGAAGTTGAGAGCGTTTTAACAGAAGACTCTCGCGTATCAGAAGCCGCCGTCGTATCCAGACCTCATCCGCAGAAGGGCGAGGCTTTACACTGCTTCGTGATCCTCAACGATGGAGTACAACAGGACCCATCTATCGTTGACGCTCTGAAGAAGCACGTCCGCGCAAGAATCGGCGCGTTCGCAGCGCCTGATGTTATCCAATTCGCTCCCGGCCTCCCCAAAACGCGATCTGGTAAAATCATGCGCAGGATATTGAGGAAAATCGCGATCGGCGACACGGACATCGGTGACACATCCACATTAGCAGACCCTTCTGTTGTGGGCGAGTTATTTAAGGGCAAACCCTAATTCACTCCTTTATCAACAGCTTAACGGTGTAGGATTGGGTTATTTTGCCGTATTGCCGTCTCAACGTGGATAAGCATTTCGTTGCATTTCTTATGTGGTTTTTGCTTCAGAATTCAGCGAGCTGAGAATTTACGAATTTAATATTATTGATACTTAGCTTTTTAATTTTAAGCCGTCCGAGAAAGCGATCTAAAAAATATTTTCAAGTAGAACTAGCTACGGTTCTGCTTCAGTATTTACAACTCACTTTTGAGGTAGTAACTAATTATAAAAAATATCTTTGAAACAAACTTAAGTGTTCCTCTGTAACGATTCGTCTTACATTTCCTCCTTTGGAATTCTTTATAATAAAGTATAAAGTTTGAAATAATGAAACAATGTAATAATAAAATTACGTAAACGAATGACTGTGAATGTTCCCAAACTAAAACAAAGAACGTACTTATTTAAATTTCCCATTAGAAATAATAGCTGAAAACCATTCCATGTAGTGTTTTATAAGTTTCTCTTCGAATGTTACTTTGATGGAGGCAAAAGGTGATAACCGTTCAACTATTTTATTTATAAGTTAACTTGTAATTTAATTATACCAAATACTGGCTGATAAGTTTAACTTATTCACGGAGTGAGGTGTGTGGATGTTTTTGATCACAAAATTAAAACTATACAGATAATAAAAGGATTCTGGAGCTTTCTGTTGACTTAAGATTACCGCCTTACTCCTACAACATTGTGAGAACAAACAAGGATTTGATGATTCGAGAATCCTTTAAAGTGGAGTGATTCTTATATTATGTATACGTTGTGCAATGTAGGCGAAAAATTTATTTAGCACTGTTAGCATATAAATAGTACACTTTATATATATGTATGTATACAATCACGTGACTGTTTAGAATTATCAAATTGTCATGATCCATAAAGAAATAAGCAGTTTCCGGCAGTTTGCAAATCGAAATTGGAAAGACAATTGACTATTTGTGGTATAGTTGTCTCGTTCACACTATCGTAACGTCAGTGCTGTAATAAACAATGAAGGTGTTATATTCAAATTCATATTAACTTCTGAGAGAATTTTAATGGCGCCAATAATTAATTGGTTAAACTTTGTCTAATGTTATATAGTTAAGTATAGTCCCCAAAGGTGTATTCGTGTTTTATGGTTCTAGATTCAATGTCTATAATAGGCACATTACAACGCACAGTTTTTAGCCTGCCCGTAAAGAAATACGTTATATCCATACAATAAACATAATATATAAATTAAAGCTTGGCATAACATTATCCTGTTGTATTATTCAGTAAGATGTAATATATCCTTTTGCGTCTTATTAACTATAAATTAACTTGTAGTTTTATGAAGTGAGGTCAGAGTTAATATAAATATTCGAAATATTAATCTGAGATTTCATATAGGACTAATATTTATTTCTGGATAGAAAATCTATCTCGGATATTTGAATAACCCAAGCCACGGCTTTAAACTCGCATAATTGTATATAGACTGTGCAGATCAGCCAATAGAATCATTATAAGTATATTTAGTCTCGTTCGGACTGTAATATAAGCTTAGGTTATGTTATACGTAGGACACCGATCTTGTCATACGGCAGTATAGTTTATATGTAGTGCGTGAGGGTAACAAGGTTAATAGATAGAGTTGAGTACCACTTCAGTACTAATATAACTATTGTATAAATTTAAAAAAGTAAGGAAAATACCAAAAAAAAACTACAATTACCCAAATAATAATCACCACAGTAAATACTGTCTATAGGTTACGCGAGTAGTACGCATTTAAATTAAACACTTTAACGCTTTCAAACGCGATATATTAGTTAAGCTTATTTGAAAATGATTTTTAACTTCGGCCCGGCGTTTCGGATGCTTTGCAGCAGCCATGGTCGCGGGGAGACTCACCGACAAATAAATTTAACTAATATATCGCGTTTTAAACGGTTTAAATGTTTTATTTACATCACCACAGTAGTCGAAGCGACAACTTTTTTGTCTTTGGTTGTTTACTAGTTTCATCCTAGTTATATGTAATTTATAGCACACAAACGTCAAAACGACGACTAAACGGTTTAAAACGCGCCACATATTAGTACTTAAAATAAGACCCATGACCGGTCATTATTAAAAATAAGTTAATGAATATATTTCGCGTATTAAACCGTTTATATCGACGCCTAGTATTAAAATTGCACTAGTACGTATTCAAAGTTACAAATTTATAAAAAAATATCTTGTCTAAATGTTGTATCGGGGTTGATCTTAAAATTTACAAAATAAAATGCATTTATCTCAATGTTACTAATGACTTATTATTAACTTATTTTAAAGTTACTAAGTGTTATGCACAAGATTAAGCTAATCTTTAGATTAACAGTACAATACAGTACATTAAGTTAGTAAATTCGAACTACGACCTAATGTTGTTCCCGCTTTCCAAAAAACACGGTTTCAAAAATGTTTGCATGCATCGGTTTATTTCGCGTTTTAACTCGTTAAAAACGGTTCAATTTAAGCTGCATGCTTAGTTATGTTAAGATATATTGTGATTGTGTAAACGGACATATCATTAAAGGTGATAATATTCTCCGGGTTTTTATTTACGTCCTTCTTTACAATTGTTATGTTAATGTTTGTATGAATAGCTCGTTCGTTTAATAGTAGCAATGTATGGCTAGTAATCAACTGATCGTGGGGTTCCGGTTCTGGATATTAAATGGATGAAGATAAAAAGCCGTGAAGTTTTCAGTTTGGGTTTCCGAATATCCAAAACTACAATAGGCCGACTGCGCATCTTGTTGAGTTATATTTCTGGGTTGTCACACTAGTGATTGTCTGTCTTCCTTTATAAAAAAGAGCTTTAGGTTCGATTCTGGCTGACAATTTACGATCGGTCTACAGCCAACTGCAACTTGCCTGTACAATCAGCGAAGCGGACACAAAAATGTGTCCCATGCCCAAAATTGAGGCCCCTAGAGGTAGTAGCCTAACCGCAATTTTATGACTTGAGTTATTTATATTTTCATAGTCTAAAAATGTTAATCTACAAGAGCACAGTGCCCGTAAATTGTTAACATAATTTTTACACAAATAATAGTACAAATATCCATTTTCGCCCAAGTTAATTGCGCTTTTTTATTTTCCTCCTTATTGAAAAACCATGTTATTATCGTTAGGCCCTTCTGGCTCTAGAAGCCTCATATAGCTTTAAAACAAAGAAACAAAGCTTTGTTTTTGCTATTTTCAAATTTAGTGTTTTTTGTTATTAGGCCACTCTGCCTCTAGCAGCCCCAATTCTTAACGCAATAAAAAAGCATTATAAACCATTTCCTTTATTTACATTAATTTATATTCAAGAATATTCTATCTAATATGTACAATACAGTCTAAAACAGTAATCTCTTTGTGCCTTACGGTCTTATATATAGCAATAAAATAGGTTTCGATGAGTAATACCTATTTATACAGGGTGCTGTGACTTATCACACTAATTTTAACTGCACTAATGCCATGTGCATTAGTATAATTTAAATAAAACACCTTAACGCTTTGAAACTCGATATATATTAGTTAAACTTATTTCAAAATTAACACACGGTCTACCCGTGACCACGGCTGCTGCATCCGAAACGTCGCAGTTAAAATAATTTTCAAATGAGTTTAACTAATATATATCGCGTTTTAAACCGTTAAATTCTCTTTTTAATTTGTATTATTCGCGTAAAAACAAAACGCGAAAAGATTGTTACGTCATGCCTTCAACGTTCGAGAACACGCACTTTGTAGTTATTTGTATATCGGTTACATCTATTTTTTTATGATTTTATACAAATCATAATATAGAAAATGTAAATACGATGGGCTGTCGATCTATTTTGGCTTTGAATACCTAGAGGTAAATTCCTGATGTGTATTTTTAATTAGAAAGAGAGCTCATACGCCTAAACTATTCGACAGATTTTAATAAAATTTTGCGAATACGCTAAGAATCAATCAAGACACATTCTATTAAAATTAATGTGATAACTCCTATAGCACCCTGTATAATAAAGTGGTCATTTACATGAACATTTACTTGTAGTTATATCTGCAGTTTATATACATGGAGGTTATACACATTTTACATACATAATATGTACATGTTTGTGTAATAAATATATATTATTATTATAATACGTAGGAAGCCCTTTCAGGGAGACGAATAATTATTTTAAGCAACTACTTGATTGCCCAGCCCGTCCGAAACAATTTTAGTATAGAATATCGCAATGATTTTCCCCTTATTGGCATTGAAAGAAATAATTTTACCGTACGATAAACATAATAATTCACTTTACAGTTCAATTTTTGGGTTTTTAAGACTTTAAGAGATATATTTTGGATATTGGAAGTTAAAGATTAAATATTGATTTTCTCAAAACTAGCATCCGGTTTTGCTCTTATAGCGTCCATGAAGTTCTTAAATATTTTACAACGAATATCTTGTGAATGTTTGCTGTACATAATTATATGTTACAATTGTTTTAAATATATGTCTCCCTATATATTAGTAAACCTATTGAGGGAAACTTACACCAGATGGCGCTGATATGAAAATAAATAGAAATTAAAGTAATTACTACTAAACATCTACTTTTAAATGCTCTATAGATGTAACATTAGGAAGTATGCTGTAGGTTTAAACGTGCTTTGACATTTATTTATATTATACAATAATATTTACTAACAGTCCTCGAATTTTAGCAGTCTTTAAGTCAGTAATTTTTAAATTCCTGTACATAAAAGCTATATGTTCTTTAAAGATTCGTGGACTGTACGTCAGAAACATGAACAATATCGCTAGTATTGTCTGTCGTTACGTGTAAAAAAAATCAAATAATCTTTTTGAGTTTTTTTCGTAGGTCAACTTGGCAATTAAGTTATTCTTTAATAAAACACTTATAACGGTTTCAAACGCGAAATATATTAGTTAACGGCAACGCTTAAATTAAACATTAATTAACGAATATATTTCACGTTTCAAACCGTCAAAAGTGTTTTATTTAAATATGTACTATACTATGTATTAGACGAAAATTAAGTTTTTCTTTTTTCAGTTATTCTTCCAGTCCATTCCATTCCAACTGAATACGCTGGTAAAGTTGGTACCTCATTCGGGTTTGAGCGGTTTCCCCGAGCGGAAATGTCTCGTTTCACCAGGATTCGAACTCACTACCTCCGAGGCGACGCGCAGCACTCGCGCCACTGAGTTGCGAAAGTGGTTTCGGCCTCGTTTCAATTTCTCCTAGGTGGCTAGGGAGATTAATTTCCGTCGCTTCATCTTCCTGCCGTAGCGTTTCCAGAAAATAACAGTGCAATAGATTATAGCCGATATTGCGATGAACATAAGGGCTCTATTGCTGTAACTCGAATGCTCTTCGGAGTCCGAACGCTGTTTGGCCGGGGCTACACCAGCGCCGCGCCACGCTCGGGGCGCCGGTTCGGTGCCTTCTGTTTCAGGTGCCCCTGGAAGGAAGCATCATGAGGATCTTACCTATTTTGACTTTGGATAATAAATATTATTGTTAAGTGTTTTATGTAAATGTGTATGTGTAAATTAAAGAATTATACTAGCAAGTGTTTCGGATTCAGTCTGTGGATTTGGAGGCTCGTGACACAGATTCAGCGACCAGAGGTCATATAATATTTCAATGAAGCATTTAGTTCTTTATGAAACCACTTTGAGAAGTGGTATGTATCATATTTATATGATAAATGTAATTATTAAAACTGCACTGAATAGTAAACCTCGTATTTTTAAAGTCTTATTTAGTGTTAGGTCTAAATCAAGAGGACAAAAATACGTATGTCCTGTTCAGATAAAATCTCTTTATGTTCGTCAGAATAAGTATTCAATATAAATTTTGTAATGTCGTTTTTATACTAACCTTACTTACGTTAAAGTTAAGTTAAGTTAAGTTAAATCCCGTATCGTGGGGTTTAGGTCGAACATTTTTCTGTGTCTGTTTCACTGATCAACTACTTGTTTGTAAGTAGAACCGATACTTACAAACAAGTAGTTGATCAGATATCTGTGCCCTGCCCAACCGAAACTGTCTATTGTTTACAAAGATCTCTCGCGTTTAAAGCAATTTTCCTGGTGTGTTTAAATATTGATGTTGCTCATGTTTACTTTTTTATTCTGGAGTTTATTCCTATACGTACCTATACTTCGTGGATCGGTTGGGTGGTGTCTTGGCGCTAATGTGCGGGCGGCCGGAGGAGCTTGCACAGGTGACGCCACGAGGGGTGAAATATCCTCGCATTCAGGTATTGGACGAGGGCCACTACCATCAGCAGCTAACACACGCGAATACGCGTGTAGGCGCCCGCCCTCCGCCCGTTGTGGTAACTCTGTAAAAAAATATTTTAGTTATTTTAAAACAGTGTTTATTGTGATGGGATAGGACAGACAATCATGGCGTTTATTTATGTCCCAGAATTAAGCTACACCAGAGCCATATTCTAAATTTAATGTTTGTAATTAAGATTATCTTGATAACTTAATTTTAATATAAAATAGTTTAGTAAAGATTTTTTGCTCAATACAATCATTCTCGATCGACGACAAAAAAAAAGATTACTTCAAGTGATTCTTTAATCTTTCGAAACAAAAAATATTAAGAAAAAAAATCTCCATTTTCTAAACATAACAACCTAAAAAAAACATTTAACTACTTCAACGCAAACAAATGTTTTTGGCTTCATCTATACTAATATTATAAAGCTGAAGAGTTTGTTTGAACGCGTTTATCATAGGAATCACTTTTTCGAATTAAAAAAAAAATATTTTTGGGATAGTTAGAGCATTAATCACGCGGCGACGCGGCGAAGGAACAGTGGGAATGGTGAAAAAAAAACGGGGAAAATATTCAATATTGATAGTATCGTTGCGTTGCGTGCGCAGCGAAAACGGTTCGAGATACGCATACGTGATAAATAATAATTATTCTTTCAATGATTAAAAAAATGGCCGCGACAATGTTTGCAATCTATATCCCTATGTGTGCGACAAAATGTATTATACGATCGCATCATTCGAGCAAAAGGTGCTTGGATTCCCATGTTTGTTTTGACGGGGGGAGTGTAGAAGGTGTTACTGATGGTAGAACGAGGATATGAATGTGGAACACTAATATTAATTGATTCTATAAGTTCAATTAATATTAGTGTGACCTTCTATTCTTACCTTATCAGTCCTTAAGAATTAAATCTCAAATTTCTAATCAGACACACACTTCGTTGTTATTTACCTGAAGGAATAATGTGTACATCGCGATGCTTTGAAGCCGCTTCCTTCAATGACGTCGGCACATGTCCGCCGAGGGCGTACTGCAGAGCGGCAAGTAGCAGCCAGTGGCACGGTCGGCCAGCACCGCTCTCCAGACACGAAGAGTCTCCATACACCACGAGACGACCGGCCTATAATATAAAAGAAGGAATATTCATATGAATTGATGCATGCAAGTAAAATGGGAGGCTGAAGTTTAAAATAAATACATGTCTGTAATTGAAGCAATTAGTACACACACACAAAAAAGACAGTATTAATGGTTTAAAACGCGAAATGTATTAGTTAACCTTTACAAATTATTTTAACTACGGCCCGACGCTTCGGATGCTTTGCCGTAGCAAATATAATACAGTATCCGAATGTCCAAAGCCAAAATAAGTCGACAGGGAATTTGGTTTAGAATTTGTCATCCATAATTTTTCTCCCATCGAGTGAACCTCGTGTTTGCCTGTCCTTCTCTATATTAAAGAAAAACCGAATTCCCATTAAAAGCGTACCTTTGGCAACTTATCCATCGTATCGTTAGAATAATCTTTGGTTTCACCATCTGTCTGCAAAAGGCCTAGTATGGGCACATCGACTGTTGGTAGGTTGCTTTTCGCGTTGCCACTAGGTTTTCCACCAGACATTATCTATTGGAAACATGGAAAAACATCACTACATAATACTATGTAAAAAACAGTCAATTTTTCTGTGTACGCTTAAATCTTTAAAACTACTCAACCGATTTTGATGCGGTTTTCAAGAGAAAGGTTTTTATATACAACGTTCACACTTTTTCTGTAGTGTATTTAGTATCAGCATTGCACCTGAGCGAAGCCGGGGCGGGTCGCTAGTAATATGTTGAGTATTCATTTTTCGATGACCCGAGGCTGCTAGAGGCATAGTGGCCTAACTGCAATTTTTATGACTCGAGCTATTTATATTTTTATAGTTTAAAAATGTTAATCAACAAAAATTGTTAACACAATTCTTATACAAACAATAGTGACATTCATTTTCGCCTAAGTTAATTGCGCATATATTTTCCTCATTATTGAGACCATGTTTTTTTAATTTTGCAGATAGGCTACTCTGCATCTAGCGGCCTCAATCGCAAGTTTTCAAGTCAGTCACAAAACATTTGTAATACAATTTGCACAATTGGGCAATTAACTGGCAACACCGACCTGTGACGTCACAATAGCATACCTGCTGCCCTTGGTCCACTAATTGCGCATTCACGAGGACTCCGTGTTCAGGGAAGCTGTGTATGTGTGTACCGCTCGCGTAATACATAGTGTGTCCTCCTAATGTAAATGTACCCTCAAACACGCGATCGCCTAACGCCACCTATGGATTGCATAAGGTATTACAGTAGTTGGTAGCAGTAGCCATCTAGGTAAACTTAAAAACTGGATAAAAGAAAATGATAATATTAATGGGAATAACAAATTATATATAAATTTAAAATATATTTAAATGCAATACTGTCTGTAGTTTACGCGAGTAGTACACATTTAGTTGTCTTCCCGGCCACGGCTGCTGCACCAGGATCCGAAACGTCGGGCCGGGGAAAATTTTATCACCTCAGAGAGATAAACGTATGACATTTTAAAAACGAAAGTTTTTTATATATTTATTTCTAAAATTAATAAACCATATTACAAAAGTAATGCATCTGAACAAGGAAGTTATACTTTATTTACATAAATAAGTTTATTCATTACTTTATTTATATAAATATTTGTTTATATAAATCACCTGGAAAATACTCAGCAAGTCGTTCAATGCAGGGATATTGGCACCGCCCGTTTCTGGAATCCACCTGAAAAAAAAATGGAAAAATATTTTGAGAACAATTAAGACTTTTCTATGATATTGTTGTTAATAACTTTGCTCGCTATAAAACTTCGAATAGTATTTATCAGAAATATTGTACAGTACATTTTACGACAAACAAGGATGCGAGGTGAGCTCTAGCCTATATCTAAACATGATGCACTGTCACCCTTTGGCTTTAGATATTCTGAAATGCACGCCAAACTTGACGCCTCTTACGTCTATGAACGGTAGTTCGTGACGCGGACGAAATTTCGATATTCCTACCACCAATTTAATATCCAGATTTCCAGAAGTCCAACATGTTTATTTATTGTCAAATGCTAAGTGCTTAGTGCTACTCCAAAAGTATATAATATGTTTTAATCTTTTTTTTTGCTGTCAAACATATCTCTTAAACGAACTTACCACTGCCTAGTATTTTCGTCGTAAAACTTCACGTGACGCAGCAGCGACGCGTTGTACCAGTCGGCGAACACGATAAGTGACAGCCCTGAATCGACGGCCTTCTTCAGGGCTGCCATCTCCTCTGGAAAATACTCATCCTCTGGATCAACCAACAGCAGAGCGCCGTACAACGATGTATTGATGCACGTGAGAGGGCTACCTAGTAGATAAGGTTACTATTAAATAAAACACTTATTACATATAGAATTAAGGTTGAAATTACAATGCGCGAGGTGCATATATCAATGGGTGAAAAGAATTCGACGATGACGTGTAAGGCTCCGTTGCTAAATTGGTAGGTACAAGCAGGCACAAGCAGTGGTTACCAGTTCAAGTCTTGCCCTTGTCGTATTTTTTTAAAAGCGTTAATAGATTCTTAATTTATACAATGCCATCGTGTGCAATAACATGTGAGAAACATTGAAATTTCAATGATTTCGAACCGATCATAAAAAATAGGGGAAATTTTGAAAAAATGTTGAAACCATTCATCTTTGAAGGGCCGTTGAACCGCCACGGTTTAAGATGCCAAAAAAATATGCACAAGAGAATGATTCCTCTTCAAATAGTCTAAAAATTGTCTGAAAATATGTCTATCTTTTAAGATTAACTCACAAGAACTGTCTTTATTATAATGAAATTTTGTTCAAACGCATGTCTTATTACAAATTATTTATTAGAGCTATATCAACATTAAAATCTTGCAAACAACAAAACAACGCTTGCCGGTTCATCTAGTAATCCAATTTCTGAATGAACTCACCCATAACTTCAACATAGTAGCCATGTTCGCGCAACCGTAGGTACATGTCACGGAAATTCGTATGAATATGATCCGCGTGCCAATCCAGGGGGTCGTGCTTGGCTCGCAGGTCGTCCCGGGGGAAATAACCACCCGGGTATCGGAGGCTGTGAAACTGATCCCATAGGAGACGTCTCGATCGTAGTGGAACGGGTATCACGCGCGCTCTGTAATTATAGAGATAGTATTTGTTAAGTGTTGGTTGAGCATTAAAAATGATAAATCTTAGGAGAGGAAATTCGCATCGGATATTCATGGGCAAAAACAAATGGGTTCCAAATCATGGCAACTCCACTGTCCAATTCTTTAAAAACAACCGGCTTAAGAGTTGAGATATATACACAGAACGGCGAATGAAGGAGCAAAAGTCCCTTGCTGAACTCGCAATCAGGTCCAAAGGAAAGCACGGGAGACCGAGGCTCCGCTCGTGGGATGGAGTTGTTAGGATCTGGGCTTCCAAAACTGGAAACAGGAAGCGCAGAATAGATCGCGATGGCAGCAGCGACTAGAGGAGGCTAGCACCTACAAGAGACTATACAGCCATTGATGATAAAAAGTAATTATTAGTGATGATAAACATAACCGAAGGCGTTCTAAGAGGCATGATGCGCTGGCACACCTCGATTCCAGGCTCTCACTACTGATGCATCGAAAAATTCGAAATGCCGGACTAAAATTTCATTTGACGCATCTGAAATTCCTTAATTTAAAAAAAATGTTTAAATAAAACACTTTAACGGTTTAAAACATGATATATTAGTTATCCAGCCCGTACTGGTTAATTAAATACTGTCCATGGCGTAAACTAAAGACAGTATAAAAAAAATGTGTAAATTCGAATTTTTATGTTTATACACTCACCGTATCGGCAGCATGAGCGTCATGTTTCTTGTCTTTTGACGAAACGACACGTCAAAACTTTCCACCGTTACGTTTATATGGCCCTGTAACAAACACGTACATTATTTTCCTGAAAGAGTGTTGTTCAATTTCCATTAAAAGTTTTGAAGTATGCAATAAATTAGTAATTTAAATTACAGAGTTAAACGCCGGAAACATTAACTGTCACGTTTATTAAAATGAAAACTATTTTCAAAATATTCAAGTTTAAATATTTCAAATAGCCACTTTTAGTATAAGTCAGAAGTCGTAAACAATAAGCAAACAATACATATGAAAACGTTCATATTTTTCTTATGCACATAATGGCATTATATAAATTAAAAATCGACCTAACTCAATTGGTAACAAAACAGCACGGAAGGCTGTGGAATCAGAATTTACTTGCTTTAATTACATAATTTTTGTTAATTCGAATAGGCTAGGAATACCTAATAATCTACTGGAAAGATTATAATGAAATTTTGCCCAAGTACTTCCTAGCCACATCATATTAAAATTAATGCCATTACTTTGGTGTTACAATACAAATCCATTTGATGATTGTTGAATAATTAAATGATCTCACTTCATAAATAAACAATCGATTATAAATTGAAAAAAATTAGGACACGAACAGTTCCGTTGCTCTAACCGATTAAGTAGATTGATACTGTCTATAGTTTACGCGAGTAGTACACATTTCAATAAAACACTTTAACGGTTTAAAACGCGATATATTAGTTAAACTTATTTGAAAATGATTTTTAACTTCGGCCCTTCGGTTCAGTCTCCCCGTGCCAACGGCTGCTGCAAAGCATCCGAAACGTCGGGCCGAAGTTAAAAATCATTTTCAAATAAGTTTAACTAACATATCGCGTTTTAAACCGTTAAAGTTTTTTATTCAAACGTTTCGTAATTTTAAACTATTTTCGCGTTATTCACTTAGTATCGTGTGTCTCACCTCGACGATCCCATCAAAATCGGCGCCGCTTTCAAGTACGCTGAACCGGAGAGCCAGCCAACCCGAGTACGGCCAGATGATATCGATATGTTCCATTGACACCGACAGTATGAGACCGTTGGGTAAATGAGGGTGCCACGTTACATGTTTCTGAAACGTATCATTACATTTAAACAACAAAGAAACACAAGTACTAGTAAATTGTGTAAGGCTTTCATGGTCATCTGGACCTTGAGAAAGAACATAGGAAGGAACGTTTTTATTGCGAAAAGGGTGTTGTAAGGGGTTTATAGGGGGGTGAATGTTTGTATGGAAATTCGTGGTTTTTGAAGAACAATGAAAATTTCTTCTTTGGTTTTTTGGGAATAGGAGTGGGAGTGGGAGTGATGTGAGGTGAGAGTGTTGCGGCGAAGTAGCATTTACAACATAGATTGACTGCGATAAATGCGCAATTACATAAATTAATAAACAGCCTTAATAACTAAAAATTCAACCCCAAGTCACTATTCCACGCGAGCGAAGTCGCGGGCACAGCTAGTATTAGTATAGATACCAACTGTTCTATATATCGCAGACCTATACAAGACTTGGAAAACCATTATGAAACAACTTACAACATTCCCGGCAACACCAAGTCCATTTATGATGGTAATGTTAGCGATTGTTGGTTGGCCACTGTAGTACAGTGGCTGGGTGCAATACGGCCACATATATTGGCACTCCGTCAGGTCTATATACGGAGGACTTAGGCTGGCCTGAGGCTCGTACTCTCTAAGGAACTGAAAAACAAAAAAGGGTCATAATCAGTTCTTTAATAGTTCCCACAGCTGGGTTCAACACTCGTAAAGAAGCCCATAGACTTAAATATACCACGCTGGCCAAATAAATGTGGCCAAAAGACACAAATCTTTGAATTTTTGGTTTTATGTTCGATTCTGCACAAATCATATTAGTAAACTTCAATTTATTTCAACTATGGCCCATTTCTGATGCTTCTCAGCAGCCGTGATCGCGGAGAATACACGTTTTAAACTGTTAAAAGTGCTGTATTAAAAATGTGGTGTATCAAATGACGAAAAACAATTACGGTATCAAATTATACACGAATAAAAAACATATAATTATTTATTTATTTCACACTTAGGTACACCGAACAGAACTTACAGATACTATGCAATTTAAAACTATAAAGTGTACTGGGCAGTCTTATTGCTTATAAGCGATCTCTTCCAGGCAACTGACAATTTTTATTTATTTATTCTGATAATTTTTCAAAATCAATGCTTTGGAGTCCTATAAATGAACTACTTATTATAAAGATCGAATTATATTCAAATACTGTCAATTTAGATTCGCGTAAATCGATATAATTTGCGTATTTCCCTTTACAAAAGTAACATGATACTCATAATACTAGTTCTTCGTTTAAATATTATACGTCACCTGATAAGCACTTATAAGATCCAACTTCCCGTGACCCTGTTCAAACATATTGGGCCCCTGCAGGCGTCTGGCTGTGATGCATAGAGCTTGTTTGACAGCAGCCGGTGTTAAATTCTGCCGGGGCACTCCGCTAGCTAGCAGAGCTATGGCACCGGCCACAACTGGCGATGCGACTGACGTTCCTGTAAGTTAAAAACGTTAACTATTAATATTAGTAATGGGCTATTTGATTATTACTTTTTAATTTAGTTTAGTTTTTTTAATTGATCTCAATAAAAAAAATAAAACAAGTGACGTCACTTGCTTATAAACAGCGTTACCTATTGTTAAAACTGTTCTATTCTCTGCATTAATAAATCGACCGCGACGGCGTGAATTCTTATTATACATGGCTAATAACCAACGGATCGTGGGGGCGATTCCCACCGGGTCCGACATGTGTTTAAACAATTTATAATTCCTATGAAACATGTTGAACTTCTGGAAATCGGAGTATCTAATTTTTTATTGGGGTCACGAACCACCGTCCACAGGCAAAGGGCGTGAAGTTTTCGCGTGTCGGGTTCAGTCTGTGGATTTCAATAAGCTGACAGTGCATCTTGTTTAGATGCAATATGGGTATATAGGTATGACTTGTGATAGCTAAGTCTGGTCTACGAAAAATAATCAAAATGTTTCTATTTACCACTTAAAGAACGACAACCGCCGTTCAAACTAGAACCGCGCACTCCGCTCCCATAAGTTACAATATCAGGCTTCATACGTCCATAACCCTGTAAATAAAATATCACCTACATATAAAAAAAACTTCCTTTCACCGTGGTCAATTTATTTTTAATATTATTAATTTACAAATTAGTGTTTGTTTACAGGCAAGTACTTCTATTTAGTACTCTTTTACATTGAATAAGAATAAAGAGTAGGGACAAGACAACAAGTAGTTGTTGTTTAAGGGAAATTTTCAACAAAATTTAGTTATTCAGTTAGTATATTTTAGTGGTGTTTGACACATTTGGATTTTAGATTCATTAAATTCCTTAATTCTCAATTCATACATACATAAATAATATTATTCATTTTCTAACAACGGTTTGGTTAAAATAACTGGAAAAAAGTAATGTAATGTAAGTTATATACGGTCTGTTTGTAACACTTTAACGGTTTAAAACGTGACCACGACTGCGAAGCATCCGAAAGGATGTAGTTGAATATAATTTTCAAATAAGTGTAACTAATATTAGTTACATATTAACAGTTTAACATAAAACACTTTAATTTTATTTAAATAATGTAAATTATGTTTTTTTTTTTAATAGGTAGGTTCTATTTTAAAACTGATTAAACAAAATGTCGAGTTAAGGCATTCGTCGTTTTTACAAATTACATAAACAGAATAAAGCCAGGCTTACATGCGGCAACTCCCACGTAGTCATCCCTCTAGACGAGAACTTCGCTATCCGATCATCGAACCCGATACCTCCGACGCCGATTACATCCATTTGGTCCGCTGGGTTATTAAGAGTACCGTATAGTGGACCATCGTTTCCGATCGCTGATACCATTATTACCTTAAAAAAATGAAAGTACAATAAAAACCTTTCAATTTCTTGAATTTATAATCATAAAAAAATATTATGCTAAAAATGTATGGACGTGATGGCACTATGTAAATTGAAACTTACATTGCGCGTGAGTATGATATTATAGTTTGAAAAACATCAACGATGACGTGTCGGACACGGTAGCTCAATTGGTTAGAGCAACACCAAGGAACGCTGTAGATAGTGGTTCAAGTCCCGCCAGTGTCATACATTTTTTCCATATAAAATCGATATGCTAAAGAATTAGTTTATTTTCATTAAATTTGGAAATCGTCCTTCCCCTACATGGGGCATAGAACGGACATAAGTTCATGTCTCTTGCACTAATCGTTTATTTGAGTTCCTTCACTTCGTGTCTCGCCCGACCGGATTTATTGACTCCCAAGGATTTAAATGCTACGGTCTACTACTCTAACCAATTGAGTTACAGTGTCGCTAAGGGTCCTTTTTTTAAATTGAAAAGATTTTTTATTTTAAATGCCATCATGTGCAATAAAATGTGAAAAATACTCAAGTAGTTTCAAATCTTAAGGATGATATTTTTTTTTGCATACATATGATATGGAAGACCCTGGTACGATTAAAACTAAATGTAAAATGATTTTAACCTAGTTTTGATCATAACTTTTATTCAGGATAAATACTTTTTATTTTCTTTCATTTGTTGAATCATACTCATAATAATAAGTATAAATTAATGATTACCTTGTTAGCGGTCAACTCCCAAACTTTATCAACAAAAGGGTGATCCATAAAATCGGGCCCGCCAATGCTTAGATTGAGCACGTCGATTTTCTTCATTATCGCATAATTGAATGCATCTAAGAACCATGATGTATAAGAAACCTGGAAGAAGTTTTAAATTATTAATTCATATAGAAAAATCTTACCGACTCGGGGAGCAAGGTAAGTTTTTTTTCCCCGGGTATCATCACTAATTTGGTACTTGGTAATCGTTAAAACCCAACAACCTACACGGGTGCAAGGTGTAAACTCTTAAAACATAGGTTGAAATGACAAACTCCCATCACATACCGAATCCAAACAATCTTTCATAGTTTTGATAACACCAGATTTTAATTATGAATCTTCAAAAACCTGTTACATTATTTCATAAATAAGCGACAAAAGTGATCAGCACAGCACAATCCTTTCATTTATATATTGAACATACATAAAGTAAATATTTTTTATTTACTTTGTTTATTATTTTAATTACTTTTATATGTATATAACTCAAAAATTAAATGTATTATAATCTTATCATTGAACATTATTATATATTATTACTAAAAACTATAACTTTGAAACGACATAAGTAGACAGTCACAATTTAATCCAAGTATTGAAGGTATCATTAAATTGATACATTTTTTTTTCAAGGAAAAGACAGAAAATCACCAGATTTTAACAATACAAAGAAAACAAATTATACATTATAAACAGCACTTTACTAATTGACAATTTTTAATGCCTTCCCTAAAAATAAATTTAGGTGTTACAACAATTTCAGACAAAATGGAAATGAACTAACCTGATTATCAGTAAACACACGGAATATATGCAACTCAGCATCAGGAGCAAAACCTAGGCAGTCGGCTTTAGAGGCAATCACACCAGCAACGAAGGTCCCATGCCCCAATGCGTCGTCTAATGTCTTTTCCCCAGTCCAATCAGTTCGCTCCCGGATGTGACCGAAATGGGGATGATTTCGGGACAAACCAGTGTCAAAGACTGCTACTTTGATGCCTTCACCTGGGGGTTTGTATATTATATAGGATGTAAAATTATTACAAATATAACAAAGCAAGTGAGAGAAATTTATACAGTAAATGGTCCTTCACGCTTCATTCATAGGCGTTTTTCACAATTCGTGGATTACAAAAATGCGACCCAATTTCCTTATTCGCAGATCGAATAAGTACATACACAATCATGAAAGTATTTCAATAGGTACCCAACACAATATTCTTTGTAAGTCCCGTCAAATGGACTAAAAAAAGTTAAATAGTCTTATCAATAGTCTAGTCTATGGCACGAAGTGTATTTCTAAGAGGCAAGTTGCTAATGGGACTGCTGCATATCAGTCTGAATTAAGGGAGCTTTTAAAATCGTCCAAACAAAGAGAAAATTACAAAATTCTTCAAACTATTGCCTGAGCCTTAAGGTTATTTATCAAAATATTCCAAAACTTCAGCTTAATAGATTTTTGACTCGTCTACCCCCTATGTTTCCCCTATAATCCCATATAAATTATCATTCCGTTTTCACGGTTTCTGTATTTGCGGTATTTTGAAACATATACCCCGCCAATATAGAGCTTTTACTGTACTACTAATATATATTTATTGATTTGCAGTCAGTAGCCTTCTAGTAGTAAATCTTTACATTTTGTTCTTTATTAAAATTCCCTTATTCGGGACCATTATTGTGTGCCTATTCCACTGATGGATTTTTTTTAAGAAAGCCCTTAACCGTAGCAGAATGAAACAGTATTTATTATAATTACTATAGTTGACATTGCCGTCTAAATAGACATCTTACAATAATAGGAATAGGCAGCGACCCCCTATGTCCGGAGTGCAGAGAAAGTGAGGAAACAAGCTTCCATCTACCGAATGCTCCGCGTACTCGAGGCTAAGACAAATGCATATGGGCTCGGACAAAGTTATAGAAGAAGACATTAAAGAATTAAGGATGGAACAAATAGTAAGATTCTGCAAGCAAACCGGAAGGTTTGAAAGGGAAATGGTCACCTGATAATGTGGACTGATCACCCGGCCTGAGTCCCTGATAGAAAACAATAATAATAACCCTAGCAGAATGAAACAGTATTTACTAGACAGTTAAAGTTATCAAACATCAAACTAAAATACATGCAAAAACTTGAGTACCTGTAACGCCAAGGGACCATAATACATCTGCTTTAAGCACAGATGTTATCTGGCGAGGGACTGTCCGTAACAGCTTTCTAGATGAGTATCCATCATTCTAAATGCAAAAGACATGTTTTTAGTAGATTCAAGTAATTTCTGTAGTTTACAATTACATGTATTAAAAATTGGATGTCCAAATAGGATAATACAAAACATATTGTATTTTTAATGTTTCGGATGTTGCGAGCAGCCATGATTGAGGACTATATCTGTGAGTGCTTAATCTGAGAAACTGCTTCTATTGGCCATTCGCAAGGCAACAAAACATATGTAAGACATTCCTTTTTTTTTATAATTTTTCATAAACAAAAATTATACATACTTCATGAGGTTTTCTTAGAGAATTCAGAACACGGGATCTTCGTCTGAATTGTCTCCATCCTGCATAAAGACATTCTGGGGATTGGCAGTCATCCTGAAATGAGAAATGGTAAATGAAATTCTTTCATATTATGCTTGCCTCTATAAGCATGTGAATAATATTCATAGGGTTGCAATTTGCTCTTAAATTAAATGTATGCCATGCTTGTCAACCTCCGACGACACTCATAGGTGGGCTTAGCTTCTTTAAACATATTAAACATTTTAAAGACTATACTGTTTTTTCTAACACCAAAACTGTATTGATTTTTACATTGACTTTCTCTTTATCTTATCATTAAATAGACTATATAAAAAGTTACTATGCCAAAAGATAATAAAATTATTTATAAAAGTGATTTTTTTTATATAAAAGGCATTACAATTATGTTCTATGAGCGGAAACAAATAATACCTCATTAATATATTTTATGGTACGTTGTACTTGACGCTGCGCTGTGACTCGTCTAACAGCAGGATGATCACGTAAAGCATCTAGGGCTGCTTTATGGTTGTCATTTAGTGTAATCACTTCAAAGTCACTGGGTAAATCCTTAGCACGATTTTCTCTCGTCACCATAGTCCAATTTTTAATCTAAAAATAATATTCTAAGAAATAATTATTGTATACTTACCTAAAAATGTGTGGCGCTAGCACTTATCTTATCAATTACAAAGCATATAGAAAGAAAATTACAGCTTTAGGTATGTTATAACGCAAGCAACGCATAGCAGTACACACTTTTATAGATACATTGAGATTCCATTACTAAGTATTAATAATATTAAACATTTTAGTATATTGCAGTGTTGGAACAGTTTTAAACAAGGTGTACTACAGAATTAAAAATGTAATTGTATATTTTGTATGTTATAAAACATTGTGCACTTACTCCAGCATTTTTCAATGCAGCTGAAACATAATTTTCTCTTGATGCTTTCATATAATAGCCGGTGAATGTTATTATATATTCACTTCTAACTATATCCGTTGTGTATTCGTATTCAATTCGTTCTGAAGCCGTGCCATTACAAGAATTTCCTTGTGTGCAAGTAATATTCTTAAGTAGTAAATACAATGTGAAAAATTTTATGCAATGGGTCGAACCCATATCTGATAAATAATTGTATGATTACATTATTCAAATTATATGCAAATAATGCACTATATCACTATCGCACGTCGATGTTGAAACATTTACCACACTTATTCCCATGATAACAGTAACTGAATTTCAAATTTATAAAGAATGTGCAGCCTGAGAGCTCTGTTACTGAAAGTTATTGTGTTTAATTTACATTGTTCTTAAATATTTAATTTTCTTAGATCATTAGTAAATATAAGTATATTTAATTGCAATGGAAATGGAAATTGAAATAAGCAAGCAATTGTTGTCCATATCTTGATTCTTGACAGATGTCAAGTATTGGAAAACATAGACTACTTTGGGTCACAGACTACGAATCTAATCTCATTTTATTTAAAAAATTATTACAATATAAATACGGTTCCCCATGCGCTGAAAACTTTGTGTAATTAAACAATTACTATTTTTTTTAATAAAATTTTAAAATTAATCATAAGTCATGATGATTCCTCTCACCCAATTTTATTCCTTTTTACGATACCTTTGATCGTTGTGGCTGATGTAAAAAAAGAAAACTGTAGGCCAAATGTCATAACATTTCTTGCAATGTGAGATTAATACATAGGTAATATTGTTTTATTGACGTTCGTAACTGTATTTTAATATTAAACTGAAAAAAAAATATTTTCATCAAATCTATAAATAATTACTTTTTATAACAAGTACTGGTTAAACAACCATAAGTCTTACCCAATAGCAAACTACTTAAGTCTCTTGTTTTACTAGTGTAACAAAAAGTCCAAAAACCTCGGAATCCAAACAATATGTCTCGAATACCGGCCGTGCATTTCACAAAAAATTCAGGAGCTAGACATACAGGCACTGTTATATTTTTTCATGGATCAGGTATGGGACTTTTGCTTATTACAAATTCATGACTTAACAAATAACAGCTACTCAATTTAACTTTATTTTTTAAGTAGTAATTTCCTTAACACTTATCCATGCATTTTGAATTTTTAGTCTGTAATATTACATTAACAAACATGTTATTTTACAGGTGGAACTGGAGATCTAATGAAGCAGTGGGTTGACTTACTAGTGAAAAATTTTTCTTTCCCTCAAATAAAAGTTTTGTACCCCACAGCTCCATTACAGCCATATACACCTGCGGGTGGACAAATGAGCAATGTATGGTTTGATCGACGTGATATAACTCCTAAAGTTCCTGAAGTAATTAGCTCTTTAGAACAAATTGAATCTGATGTAAGAAATCTCATTAACAAAGAAGTGACATCAGGTATACCCGTTAATAGGATAATTGTAGGTAAGTTGGTAGTCATTGTATAATTTATTTCTTTGGGTATAATTAAATGTATGTTTAATATTCAAGAGAGTTTTAGCATCTGTACTTTAATGAAAGAAAAGAAATAAACATTTGTTTATTTCACATTGAATTGAGTGCGTCAATCTATATATATTTAACTAGTTGTGTCAGCGACTTCGTCTGCGGGAATAGTTATTAACTATGTCCTCCTTTTCTTGTTTTCTTGCTTTAGTTGTTATCTCCTTTTCTTTATGAATTTAGGCTGTAACTCATGATGTGAGTCTCTTCCTGTCTTTCTTGCAAGTGAATCTTAAAAGAAAGACATATAGTGTGCAGGCATTTAAAAATTATTTAATGTGGAATCATTCTTTTCTACATATTTTTTGGGTACCGTGAACCAATTTTGCAGCATATGAATCAAAATGTCAAAATACAAATACTTTTCTCCGTTTTCTCTACATTTCCAGTTATTTCCTCTCTGCTATGAGTCACAGCATGATGTTTTATATCCTATAACCTTCCTCAATAAATACTCTAAAGCTCTTTTCATTTTTAAATATAAGTATAGATTGATAAGTAATGTACTTTTTTTTTGTTAATTGTATGTGAAATGAATCAATTGATTTTATTGTAATACATATAATTAAATTCAGGTGGATTTTCAATGGGCGGAGCATTAGCACTTCATACAGCTTACCGATGGGAGACTAAACTTGCAGCCACATTTGCATTTAGTTCCTTCTTAAACGAAAATTCTGTTGTGTATGAAGAATTTAAAAATGCAGCAAATGGTAAGATAATATGTCGATTAGACAGTGTTATCTGGATAAACTTTAATTAATAAGAACATGAGAAGTTCTTTTGTATTGTGTAGATTGTAGCTTAAAACTATAATATGTTTTTACTTATCTTTATTGAAATGTTTCAGTTCCCCCATTACTTCAAATTCACGGAAATGCCGACGACTTAGTTGATATAAAGTGGGGTGAAACAACTTTCAAAGAATTGAAATCACTAGGTGTGGAGGGTGAATTTCATACAATGGAGAGGCTGGGACATTCCCTCAACAAAAGAGGTTTACTATTAATACAATCATGGATAAACAAATATTTACCTGAATTATAGGAAATACTAACACGGTGTGGTAATAGTTTGGTTTTATAGTTTTAGGTACATGAATGTAGTAGTTGTGATTAGATTATAAATAATATAAATGTTTTATGAATATCTGTTTGATTTGAATATAATCTATACAAACTGTCAGAGAATATTAAATTATAGTTCCTATAAAAAAACAAAACCAATTTTTTAAATTAAGAAAGAGACGAATGACACTTGTGTCATTTGAAAACCTACATTTTCCAGTTGCGATGTCAGTGAAAGAGAAAACAGTTTAAAATAACTTAAATGACCATTAAAATAATACTTATTCTAAATAAATACAATGGCACCCAAGAAGCCAGTAAAAGATACAAATGACGAGGATTACTGGCGAACTTGCATTGAAGAAGCGTCCTTGGATGATGATACATGGAAAGTTAAAGTAATTATTTTAGAAGCAGCTGGTAGTGATCAAGATAGACTATATTTAAATAAGTTTGAAGTGTATGCGGCAGAAGAAAGGCGGTTCGTCATAAAAAATATATGCAAAACTGAGACAATATTCATGGTCAATCAACTTGGTGGTGAAAAAAAAGTTAAGGATGAGAATCTTCGCGTATTTGAGGAAGGGCAGTCTTACTTAAAAGATAAGAGGGATATTCCACCAGACATTCTAGCTTTAATTGTTAAAAAGCTGATTCTTAAGATGAAAGATGAATATCTCTTTATTAAAAGACAAAGGTTGGAGGTGAGGGAGGGAATGAAAAGAGAGTCTCATACTATGATAGGGAGAGCAGAAGTAAGGGGGACAGTTATTGTTAAGCCGCCAGAACCAGTTGAACCTCCACCAGAACCACCCAAAGGAAAAGGTAAAAAGGGAGAACCGGAAATACCGGAGCTGCCTCCTGTAGACGAAGGAAAGAAATATAATACATTGCTTCGAGTTAGAGGTGAAGAATGGAGGGATAAAGTTTATGTAGATGATTTTCCCACCGATGGCCCCAACCTTTATGTTGCAGTGACAGGCTTTGTTGAACCATATCTTGCAGAGAGTCTCATTAAAATTGGAATACCTTTAACAGCTGTTGTACAAATTCGTATAAATCCTACGGAAGTAAGAGTACCGTCAAGTTTATTTCGAGCGACGAAACGTGGTCAAAGTCAAACAGACGTTTTAATTGAGAAATCACTGAAGTTTTGGGAAGACTTGCAACAATTAAGAATACAAAAGGATTCTGCAGATTATTTTAAAGGTACGGCGTTTTTAGTTTACTCACCTCCTTATTGGGATAACGAAAACTTATCAGGTGAACCAGAAAAAATTTATGACGAGTTGTGTTATTTGATGTATGACATTCAAGACTTGTCAAGGCAACACGTTCATTACTTGGACAATGTGGATATTTTTAGTGTGCCTGAAGATGAGAAGGATAAACGTTTCAGTAGCTATTATAATCAGTTAGCTGAAGACGTACCTTTAGAGTGCATGGTCATGTGCTCTGTTTTGGATAATATACTACAGACAGTTTGCAACAGCGAAAACTTTGGCGAAGATAGCAGCCAGACTTCATTATCTACCGCTATGACATTAAACCAACCACAAGAGAATTCCGCAGATGTTAATAAGTCGGAGAGAGCAGAGTATTTAGTAAAAGGCGTATTTAAAGCTTTGTGTAGTGCTGACGCTAGGAACCATTCGTATCGTATTAGTTACGGAGAAGAATATGAAAACCATAAAAATCCAACAGTTATAAATTTTGGGGACTTTGTTAAATATAACACCTTTCATCTGGGGAATTTAAACCTGGACAACTTAGTCAAGGGTATGCTATTAGGTATGCCTATAAATAAACTGTGGTTTAATTATGACTATCCCAGTGGTGATATAGAAGCAAAGATTCAGTTTCATGTTAATGTCCTTTTATCGTGCTTTGAAAGAAAGGACGTGGAAACTGTGGAATTGAATAGACTGTTACATATTTTAGCATGTCGAAAGCTTTATAATAATAGAAGCTCATTAAAGAAGTTACACTTACCGTTAAATACAATAACAGAATTTAAAAAGGTTTATCTTAAACGCAGTATACTTGCCGAACCACTACCAAAATGCCCTTCCCTGTGTGAAAAGTGGAGCTCAACAACACTACCTTTTTCGTCGATGCTCAAAAGTAATGAAGATAATATAATACTAAATGACGGTGACGAGGAAACGTGCCGTATTAAGTTTCTCTTTGAATGTCCTGATATAAGTGAACTAGTTTCTGCAGCCGAAATAGCCACACAAAAGCCGATAAACCATATTATTGACGACTTTGATTATTTTGAAGACTTTACAGGCACCATTGCGTTTCAAACAATGTCGGACGCTTTTTACAAATTTAATTGTGTTGATTACAAATACTGCGAAGTGACAGATTGTTTAATAATGATGTTTTTTAATAGCCACGATTCCGACGGAATATCGCGTGAAGAATGGCGGTGTCATCTTCCAACACCAGTTTGTTTGCAAGACTTTTTTGACTTTGTTTTAGAAGAACAATACGATTGGATTCAGAAAGAAGAGATGATTTACGACGAAAAAATGGCTCTCAAATCTGAATCTGAATGTAAAGTATTATGTCGAGATTTGACTACTAAATCCTGCGTTGATAATACTGAAGTGCACCTGGAGTTACTAATGGAGGGATCACTAAAACATAAAGAATTGATTGCGGCTGAAGATGCCGAACCAGAAGAATCTGAAGAACAAATTTCAGAATCGAAGAAAACAACGAAAACAACCCCTTCTGAATCTGAAATGGAATCTAAGGGTAGCAAGAAAGCCAAATCTCCAACAGCATCCACCCCTAAACCATTGAAAAGTTTACAGACTACTACATCTACGGTATTAGAAAAAATACCAGTAAAGCCTTTTTCTGGATATGACTTGGGTGACAGAAGAGTTGAAGTCTTTGGAAAAGACTCTATATTTTTCTCTCAAGATGGCACCCGTATTGTAACTGCCTACTCATTAATGATCCCAAGCAATCTGGAAAATATTACGTTAAATATAATTCCAGGAAATGGGAATACTGAATTCTGGATGCATAAAGTGTTAGGTGATTCTATCGCACAAGAAACTATAGATACATGTGAATCATTTAGAATTGTCAGTAAAAATAATGTTATTATATATGTCAAGAAACAAAACTATGAATCGCCGTTGCCTACATTGACAGCTGTTTCTATGGATACTACAAAACCAAAAGAGAGCACAGTCAAATCTCCACTGTCTTCTAAATTAAGTAACGCAGTTCCTATGTTCTTTGAAACAAAATCGTTTTATTCTCTTTTTGTAACTTGGCCAAATGGCCTTATTACGGAGACTGTTCATGTCGACAACTCACATGAAGTTTCACACGTAAAACAATATTTCAGCGGTAATTCAAATGAATTATTAAAAACCAATGAAGAAATGAGATGCATAAGTCTAAATGGAGAGGTAATTATATTCAATAGAACGGGGAATGTAGAAGTCTTACGACCTGATGGTTCCTATATAAACGTAATCAAGTGTGAAAAGCGACTTATTTGCAATGAGCCAGAGGATATTGCCAGTGAGGTTAGTTCTGACAAAGGTAAAAAAGGAAAGGGCAAAGAAAAGGAGAAAGGTAAAGTTAGCAAGGCTTCATCTAAATCCTCTAAAAATGTTATGATCGATGATGACGAATCTGAACTAAAACCGCCCCAATATGAATTAGTAATTGAAGAGTTTGAGACCATTGAAGCGAATGGCCTTAAAGAGAAATGGATTCATGACATTTCATATTTCATGGAAAAACTACTCGTTCGAACTGCTACGGATTATTGTCTCGGTGAAGTCTTTTCGAGAAGAATGGATGGAACACATATTTTGTTAAATAAGGATGGAGTACAAATCGTCACTTTTCCAAATGGTACTAGAATTATTAGTAGATATTTTCTTGAAGATGAAATATTCCCTGAATGGAACGAAGAAGAACTACAGTATTTTGCACTGTTAGAATCCGATTCAGGAGATGTTGATACATTGAAATCAAAGTTATCTGAGTCTCAGAAGAGTATTAATTTAGAAGAGGCGGAATATAGTAGCAGTTTTGCAAGTGGCATGTCGAAAAAAGTGGAAGAGGAAGAAAAGGTGGAGACAAAGGTCCGTACAGATGGATATGTATCTGTGCAAATTTTATACATAATCGAGCATCCCAATTTGACAACGGTGACCATAAATAAATCTGATGGAAAAGTTACCGTGGATTCCCCTAATGACACTAGCGTTACCGTATGCAATAACAACAACTTCGAAATGGTTCTTGATGAAGCTACAGTCGCCAAATTCAACGGTGAAAATTTAAATATAAATTATGAGGCCTGCTGTGATTGCAAATCGAAGACTACTTGCACTGTTAAGATAAAATGCGACGAATTGTGCAGTGTCACACAAATACACCGCTGTTGGCTCAAGATGGAAGATTCTTTTTCTAAGAAAATCATCGTTAATGATGAGGGCAATATTAGCGTTAGTACCGACGCAACTTCCGAAGAAGTTTTAATCGTTGATGAAACTTGTCCCAACGAGGAATCACTTCAAAAGGAAAGTAAAAAGTCCTTACAAGTGAAATCCGAGAGCTCGCTTCAGACGCATGGAAAATGTAACGAAATGTACAAAGCGAAGAACATGCGCTTTTTTGTGTTAAAGAGGTAATCAAAACAATAATAATATATGAAATTTACAGCGTCTCTATTGAGAACAATTATTTCTGTAGGGACCTGACGTGTTCGGAGTTAGTGCACCGCTCTGTTATCGAAGAATACAAGAGGGAATGCCGGTGGCAACCGTGGTGCTCTATCAACCGATACAATACGTTTGGCGATCATCGAAGTATCGTGTCGATGTTAACACCAGTTCACCGGACTGAAACTGAGGTAACGTCGGTCCTCACCGGTTCCAAAAGTTTTCGATTAAAGTTTAAATTTTTCTAAAATATGCTGGTCTTCTGGAAATATGGTTAAGAAATGGGCGGTAGGGTTATCAAAATTCTGTCACGAACTACTGTTAACAGATTAAAGCCGTAAAGTTTTAACTTCGGTTACAGTCTGTGAGGTCGACAGCGTATCTTGTTGGTGTGTTATGTGGCTGGCCTATTTCACCTACTATAAAGTTTCGCTTTTATAGCATCCACATTAATGACTGTCGTTTTTATGGTGTGTTAATGGCAATAACTTTGTTTTCATATTTATTGTCATTTATCATGGACGAAGAAGCGACCTCTAGAAAGATATTTTCTCAATTTTAGGGCTTATACCTGTTAACTTTTCCTAACAGAAATGGTTAATGGAGTCCAAGTTTGCGGATAAACCGAAATTCCTGACGTATAAGGATCTAAAAAAGGATTGCGGTAAGGGCTTTTATCATTGGATGAGGCCTTATGGAAGGTTTGAACCGAAGCCGAAGAAACCGGACAATGTCTTACCTGACAGGTTGCCCAGAGCTTACGTATTTAGGTAAGTATATTTTTTTGACACTTTAAATAAGAGGATTGTGATGAAAAAGGTTACACTCCAGCCATATAACATCTGACAAGACGCACTGCATTTTTTGGCTTTGGATATTCGTAAATCCACAGACGGAAATCGAAACACGATTAAACTACACGGCTTTTTCATTTGTATAAGTGGTTTTTGACCGGGGCGAAATTTCTGTATCTATTTCTGTACTTAATTATTATCCAGAGTCCAAGAGAGAGTCCAACATGATTCGGAACAATTCTAAATGAATTAGAAACATTAGATCTGATGATTATTAAAAATACGCCGCTACTAGACGAACTAGCCCGTTAAAAATACTGTTTATAGTTTACGCCAGTTGTACACATTTCATTTAAACACTTTAACGGTTTAAAACGCGATATATTAATTAAACTTATTTTAAAATGATTTTTAACTTCGGCCCGACGTTTCGGATGCTTTGCAGCAGCCGTGGTCACGGGGAGACACGGTAAAGTGTTTTATTCAAGTGAGACCGTTGATATTTCCTCAATTTCCACTAAACTTCCTCATTTATGAAAAATGGAATCTCAATAAGAATAAATCAACTTATTGGAGAAACTCTTTGGTTATCTTGGTCTTTTGGGTTATGTGTATACATATAGGTGCTAGTAATGACCTAATTTTGTTAAATGTAAAGCAATTTTATTTTTATCTCTTTACAGAGTTGTAGAGCAACAATGGAATGAGAGTGAGAGAGAAGAATTGAAGGGCGGCAGAGAACTTTTGTACGCAATATTACGGTATCGCAACGTGATAGAAAAAGACAGTGAGACAATTCTTAACATTCCTATCATCGATTTGCGACCAGAAGATGAAAGGCGAACGGACAGCATAATACAAGCTATAGCTCACAAGTAATTTTTCAATCTATTTATGTTTTACTGCTGTAAATAAAAGTCGACCAAAAATACCTGTGATAAGTAGAATTAATCAATCATTTTCGTCAAATACCAACTACGACGAAACAGATGGCGCTAGCGTAGCAATTTGTATTTTGACATTAGAGTCTCCGTCCATCTTTAGTCTCCCCACGACGACGGCTGCTGCAAAGCATCCGGACCGACGGGACGAAGTTACAATTTTCTAAAAAAAAATAACTGATATATTTAGCGTCTTTAAACATTTGTGTTTTATTTAAATAAGTAGACTTAACAATAAAATCATGTCAATAAATTCTATGTATTAAAATATCTAAAGATTCAGGGTAACTGAATTAAAAATATATTCTGACAATCCATTCTGCATATTTTTCCCTCTTTCTAATAAATATATATATATATATATATATATATATATATATATATATATATACCCATATATATACCTTCAGGCATAACAGTGTTTTAAAATGGTCAACTTTTTATATTAAATTGTATACTTTAAGAACTAGATTCGTGCTTTGCAGAACTTATGAAGAACTGAAAGTAAAATTGGCGGAGGACGTTCAAAGTCGTGTGAAGATGACGATCACTACAAAACCTCTAAAGTTAAAAGAGGAAATGTCCATCGAAGGAGAAGCGGAGGAAGGTGAGAAAACTCTGTTTTTTTGTACGATAATGGAATGAAACTAGTGACTTGTAAAAGATCTGGGGAGCAATTCTCAAAAATGATTTTATTTCGTAGAACATTATTAACGGTTCAAAACGCGAAATATATTAGTTAACTTAATTTAATTATGGCACGGCTTTAATCTTGCAGCAGTTATCAGGTGTATAACTGATTTATTTCGCGTTTTAAACAGTTATAAGAGTTTTAAATTAACATTGTATTTCTATTGGAAGTATTAGAGTGGCTTAGATCAGTATATATTTAATGATTAATGATAGTTTTCTAAGCATGGGGTGAATTGAAATATCCTATTTTGCGCTGTCGATCTATTTTGGCTTTTGTTAAACATATATTAATTTTTAGGGGAGGCAACATTCAAGTCATCAGAAGGCGAGGGTTCCAGCTTGATACAAGAAGTAGCCGTGGTTGAGGATATGAGCTCAAACCTCAAACGATATTGGCGGCGTCGCGCCGAGGAGTTCAAAGAAGAACAATTCTACCAGTCAGTTTACTATCTCACGTTGAATCCCAAATTGGTATACCATTAAAGTTATTCGCAATAAATCGATAATTTATTAACAATCATGAGGATGATGATGATGATGCTTGTGGTGGCGATGCTGGTGATGATGGTGATAGTGGTGATGGTGATGAAACAGGTGCAACTGTAACTCGCAAACTACAAACTCGACGGGCTCATTGGTCTAGTGGCTTCGATTCCGACCGGGACTAATATGTTACCAATCGATTTATAATTTTTCTGAAACGTGTTGGGCTTTGGGAAATCTGGATATGTTAAACGAAAGAAGTTTGTGCATTTACTTAAAATACATTTTTAATGATGTATTTTGTAATTTAAGCACGAAATTGTGGTTTTTTACTAAGCGAATTGGAGGTAACATTAGTTTAATATATGATCCAGTATCTCAAAGTGCTTTAATTGTAAATATTTTTAATTCTTGTAAGATAATCGCGATTTTATGGAAATTGTCTTACCAAAAATGCCAAGTTAAAAAAAATGCAATATAGCTAAATGTATCCAACGCTCTAGGTATCTTCTCCGCGAGGGTAGTGTTCCACCCTACTTCCGAAACGTGTTAGGAGGCGCTATATGGTGGGAGATGAACAATGCAGCTGGTGACGCAGCCAATTTAGCTGAACGGAGAAAGATGAAGTGCGCCTGTCCGGATGAAGAGAAATCCCCGACGGATGTAACGCCGTTTATGTAATAAATTATAGAACAAGTGTTTGACTTTTTTAACTAATCTTAACATGGACACGTTGGTCTCAACTGACACGCAATTAAATTTTAAGCCGAAAATATTACAAGAGCCAATATTGTTTAGTAGCTGTGGCATCAAGATTTGTTTCTGCAAATCTTTATCAAATTCAGCTGCTACCTACGACGTCGTTCTTGCAAGGTAATCTTATAAGATTATAAGACATATTGTCGCAAACTTTTTTTTACATCGTTTAAAGAGAAAATTTTCATTGTTTGGGATTCTTGAACCGTTGGCGCAGCGCGTTCAAAGGACACTTTCACATTTACCACTGCTCTCTCGCTCTCACAAATACTCTAACAACGAAAAAATAATCGTTCCTGAGATTAGCGCAAACAAACTCTTCAGCATTATAATATTAGTATCGATTCAGTTTCTGCAACAGTATTACAACTATAAAGTTTAAGCTCAGGGTCAGAAAGAGTCTCTGGCACTCTTGGGTCTAAATAACCTCTTTTCCACATTGGGTAGATGTACAGTACTGTATTGTACCTACTTACATTTCAGCGCGTGACTACATAAGAACCATTTTATAAGAACCAACCAAGCTTAGGTTATTAAAAATCCGTATTTAAATCTGGACTGTAGTAAAGCTATTGTTTTTTTTTAATAATAGAGGACAGGTAAGTATGATGTTCAATTTATGATAGGTACAATCCTATATCATCTAAACAAGATGCGTTATCGACCTATTTTGGCTTTGGATAATCGGAAATCCACAGACTGAAACCGAAACGTGAGTTAATTTCACGGTTTTGTCACATGTGGACGGTGATTTGTGGCGCGGACGAAATATCGATATTACTCCATATATCCAAATTTCTAGACGAAGTCCAACATGTTTCAGAAAAGTTATAAATTCATTAAAAATTGTCGGACCCGGGGGCGATCTAACCCACGATTAATTCGTTGATTACCAGCCTTAACCAGCCTACAATAAAGTAGGGTCCCAAAGGGTCGGGAGTACGATACCCAGTAGAGCCTAAAATTATATTGAAATAAACATAGCACGGAAAGAGGTAGCTATGTTCTACACGAAAAAATACAACCACAGTTCTAATAACTATAATGATTAAAAAAATAACGGAATAAATTAGTTTTTTTATAATCTTTCTGTTTAAAAGAGTTAAAAGTTTTTTTTTTATTGTAATAGATTTTTTACAACGCATTGCGTAAAATACGTTATCACTTTTTTTTCATTTGAGGTTTTATTACCAGCTTGTAGTCTTTATACATATTAGATACATTTTTAGAAAGTTAATACGACTACCATAAATTGTAGAGTGTCCAAAGGACGCAATATCCAATAGAAGGCAATATTTGAAAAACAATTAATGAAATATGTTAGAGGATAGGCTAGTACGTTAGGATTAACCTACACGAATATTATAAAGCTAAAAATTGCGTTTTTGTGTTGCTTAGACTATTTATCTTGGAAGCCTTTAAAATATCAGGCTGAGACAAATAGAAGCCAAGAAACGGGAAAATTATTACTTAATCATTGAAATAATCTAAAAACATGTCCGCGACATTTAACTCAAAAGTAGAGAGTTTTTATGGTAAACGAATTTCCTCGAAACATACTTACGATATAAGTTAAGTAGCATCCTAGCCAACAACTAATCATATAATAATTAATAACTGGCAACAGTTTACGGTTTTTTTACCTGACGACGGTGGTTCGCGACCCGGTTGAAATTTAATATGTAGATTTTTGAAGAAGTTCAACGTGTCGGAAAAATTGATTACACTTGTTGGACACGGTGGAGATCGAAGCCACGACCTGTTGTTTATTAGTCATACATAATATTAGAGCAGCGAGCACCTTCAAAATTCTAAATTAGTTATTAAATAAAATTTATGTTAACTACTTGTTCATAGCTACTAGGTAGGTAGTTACCACTGGTTTGTCAAACAATTTGCAACATAGATACAAATAATTACAAGGTACATATTCTCGCCTCTCAAACCAATAAACCGTGTTAAGAAATTAAAATTACAAGAGATTATGGTCTTAATCATTTCGCATAGTGAAATTTTTAATCGTGACTAATATTAATTCAAAAAAATACTTATCTCAATAATTATAGATACATTGCCAGAAGCCGATTGCCAGATGCAAAGCGGTGTGATGTAATTGTTAATTATTTAAGAGTCATGTAAAATAATAATCTTTTCATATTAAAAAATTACTTTACTGTAACTCGAACCTGCGTCCACAGGCGTTCCGTGCTGCGCTAACCAACTGAGCTATCTTGTCCTACACGTCATCGTCGAATTTATTGACTCATGCACCTCTTGGGCAATCTAAATAAATATTTAATTTTGCAATATGCAAATATTTGAAAAATATTTAATAGTTATAAGAATACCACGAGAGACGTGCGTTTAATTGGAAAACTAGGCATTTGAAAACTATAATAATTTTCACATTTCTAGCACGTGTGCAATATATAAATAAGAAATCGATAATAAATTGAAAAAATTAACAACACGGGCAAGACTTGTAGCGGCACCCACAGTGTTGTTGCTCCAACCAACACACGACGCGGTAGCTCAATTGGTTAGAGCTACAGCACGAAACGCTGTTGATGCCGGCTCAGGTCCTGCCCGAGTCGCCAAAAAGACTCGGTAGCTCAACTGGCTAGAGCAAACGCACACAACGCTGTGGATGCCGCTTCAAGTGCAGGTCGTGTCGTAATTTTTTTTATTTATAATGTATTTTTATTTTGGCATTGAAATTTATTAAATAGTACTCAATAATTATCAATATTGTACGTATGAATTGCGAAGCGCGTTTAAAAGTAATGTATATCTATACGAAATAAGTATGTTGGTCGCCCCACCGCTGCAGCCGCGAAGCCAGTGACGAACAAGCGAGTCGGAGCCGGCGATTGGCGCGCACAGCAACCAATGTCGGCGCGATCTCTCTATCTGCCCTAAGAACGAAAGGGACCGCACACAATCCCATATCCCGGGCAGTCCAGGCCGGGCCCTTGCTTAGGATTGTGTCGTTGACTCGATTTGCATGTGTTTATCAACAAATGTTAAAAACCGTGAGTGCAATAAAATCGGATAGTTCAGTGCCTTCGATTCACGTGAGTTATTAACATAACGATTGTTTACGTGTCGCGATAAGAGATGGCGTTGGTTATCTCGTAAGTCGGTCGATGGTGTCATTGAACTTGAGGTGTTACGCGAGCACAGTGCGCTGTGGGGAACGCGACCTTTATCAATGCATTGTTATTGAATCGTTGGTAAACAAACGCTGTTTCTTCGTTTTTACATGTGTCGTTTCACTTACAATAATACGATAGCTAGTCACGGGAATTGAGTACAAAACATAGAAAAAAAATACTTTATTGCCACCACAATGTTACGGAATAAGATTTAATTTGAAGAAAATCCGAAAAATGTAGCGAGCGAAAAAGCGATTTCTTCCAGGCAACCTGGAAGATGCAGCTATAATATACAATGCTACGATTGTTCTCAATTTGACTAAAACAAAATAATTTTTGAGTCACAAATATCTATTTAATGCATCTGGAAACATAACACTAATTTTGTATTATAATCTACACAAACACTTATATATAAATAAATAAATAAATAAATAATCCGTTTATTATCACAAAGTACATAATTTACAATTAAAATAAGTAAAAAAAGCGTAACCTTACAATTAAAAGAATACAAAAAAAAAAAAAAGTACAATGTTAACTTTGTGCTAAAAGGCATCAAGACTCAGCATGTGCTCAGCAAGGCTTGCTAAGCGCTGATTTTCAGTCTGTCCCTATCAGATAACAAGTAGTACCAAAACATATAAATATTGTGGAAAAGTTGTAAAGAACTTAAAAAACTATAATTATGACTTACATAAGTGGCAGTGCGAATGCAAAACTATTGTCTCTTTATTTATTCAAAGATATAAGATAAATAAGTAAAACTATATTAATTTTATTTGTTTGTTCAATAAAATATTTTATTCTTTATATCAAATCAGAACTTATTAAAAGTCTCTTACTTAGAGTCAAATAATTTTTCTTGATAGAATGTTTTCAACATTAAAATTCCTTATTATATCCTTATAAGCCAGGACCGTTTGAGTTGTGTTTTTGAGCCAACACAATCCGGTCAGTGAACTTTTCGTTAACATCACTTCCTAAATTATAAATTCATTGATTGACCAATGTTCAAAACAAATATATCTAATTGTTACAAAATTTACAAATCTGACCCATTTAACTAGATTTAATAATAGAAAGAGGAATAATCTGTAATTTGACATAAGTACAATTAATTAAATTAAACTACGACATTTGATTTACCTGCGCTCTATAACTACATACCTATTTACAAAATAATAATGTCCATCCAAATTAAAGACGTTAATCTTTTGATACAAAGTAGGTAAATAGCACAAAAATTTCTACACCTTGTACATTTCTTTTTTACTAGTAGTTGACAACATCAGCTGTAACAGTCATCGATGATTATGATTCATTGAAGCCCTACTTTTTTCTGATTCGAAAAATCAACATGCTACACTTAAAATAATAAGTCTCCCCGTGACCACGGCTGCTGCAAAGCATCCGAAACGTCAGGCCGAAGTTAAAAATCATTTTTAAATAAGTTTAACTAATATATCGCGTTTTAAACCGTTAAAGTGTTTTATTTAAATAATAAGCCGATATTAATGAAATTTCGCAAACATAGTCACGTTGCATTTAAATGTTGTAATATCTGAAACTGTGTAGATGTCAAATATATTTTTATAATCCTTTGACTCGTCTGAACTGGTATTGTTAATATGTGGTTCACAAATAAATGTTAAGATTGTTTACTACAAATAAAAACGTTTCCAGTCATTAAGAAAAATGTTCGTCCTACAAAATCAACACAGTGGCTTACACTATTAATAATAATAATCTAATAAGAATAATTGTCAA